AGTTCTTGGCACCTCGTTCAGAAATGGTGTAGGTGGCTCCGTCCACACCATTCAGCGAGTGATCATGCATCCGCAATACATACACAAGATCTGGAACAATGACGTTGCCATCGTCCGCTTCACCGCGCCAGCTGTATTCTCCAACACTGTCCAACAAGCGAGAATTCCTGGGACTCGGTACAACCTAGCTGATGGTTCCCTTGTAACACACGTAGGCTGGGGCCGACAATGGGTAAGTTGACAGCTATTTAATTTTTATTATTTGCGATAACAACAATAAGCCATTAAAGTCAAAGTCAAAGTCAAAAATCATTTATTCCAATTAGACCTTTACAGGCACTTTTGAACGTCAAAACAAAATTTTGAAGATATCGTGTCAGTCTGTCGGTCAGTCCTCTTAGTGAAGCTATTTCCATAGTTGTTATTCCACAGTTATGATGTCTACAAGCTGTTTTATATTTTTTTTACCACATTTCACAATAGTACACGCATTCTACATTAGCCGGTGATAGTCCTTGGATGCAATTCCAAAGTGCTTGCGAGTGTGCTACCACATTTAAATTAAATTGTTTAAAGGGCCTCTGCGAGTTGGCTTCGGCCTCTTGCAAAGGCCCAGGATCCTTATGATGATGATGATGATGATGATGATGTTTGAGAGCCAAGCTTCGGCACGAATGAATCGGCTTGATCGGAGTGATACCACAGCCTCACAGAAAACCGGCGTGAAACAACTACAACGTTGTATTTTGCCATGTGAGTTAGGTTACAGGAAGCCCAATTCTCGGGTAGATGGGTGGGTAACTCCCCATTTCTCCTTAATCTCTAGATATACGAAACACATTATCGTCAAAAGGCCGGCAACGCACTCCTAACTCCTCTGTTGTTGCGGGCATCCATGGGTGGCAAACCAATGGCAATGGGTGATAACCATCAGGTTATTCGTCTGCACGTTTGCCAACCTGTACCACAGAAAAAGTAAACAGCTTAAACTTACTTATTTACAGTATATTTTTGCAATATTGCAGACTAACGGTCCACTATCGGAGCAGCTGTTGCATGTCGATGTTAACGTCATCAACCAGGAAGTTTGTGCTGCTCGTTATGCCTATCTCAAGACTCAGCCTCGTTATGAGGAATGGCCAGACATTAACGAAGGCATGTTGTGCGCGGGGATACTGGACGTGGGGGGCAAAGACGCCTGTACGGGAGACTCTGGTGGTCCCCTAGCTCACCATGGAGACATTATCGTAGGAGTAACGTCTTGGGGATTTAACTGCGCAGATCCATTCTACCCTGGAGTCAGTGCACGAGTTACGCAATACACCGACTGGATTTTAGATAACGCAAATTAAATGATATTATTTTAAGAGCCTTAAGTATTTTTATCATTATCACCCTATGTGCCCACTCTAAAACAAAGGGTTTTCCTAACACTGAGAAAGTGTGACCATGAATCACAATGCTTCTATAAGGCGGAATGGTGATTTGAAATTTCAAACTATAAATATATAAATTGCAACGGCACTTGCTAGGTTTCGACACGTAGTTAGAACAAAGGGGTCTGATCCCGCAAACATGAGAAACGGGTGGCTAATTATATCCAGTACTACGCAGTTATGTTGTACTTAGTTGAATTGGTACCTATGGCAGAAATAACTATGGAATTTCTTTTCCCCGAGCATGTTTGTGAGACTCGTCCTGCCCAGCGAGACGCGGGAGGGGGTAACAATCCCTTACTGAATGAAGGGTGATTAAAAACACCCATCATCATTACCCATACCCACTTATGGCGAAGTATGCGCAGCCTTGAAACTTTTATGCAAGCTCAGCATTTTTAAATAAGAAGTTATAAATTTGTACCTACACAATAATTCTAATCATAATCTTATACTCTGACTGCTAACTATAATCTTCTTGAATCTTGTTCTGACCGCTGTCCTGTCTCTATTTTACCTTACCTCTCGAAGGTTCTGATACGCTTTCATAACCAGTGTAATCGTATACTTACACTTTTTGTATTGTACTGATTGTACACAATCGTATAACCCCAGCTTAGTGCTTCCTCAGTAAACACAGTCTCCTCAATCCGTACCAATCAGGATTTCGTTCAGGACATAGCATCAAGCACTACAGCTGCGGTAAATATCACGTATGACAATACGATCTGGTATCGACAACGGCAATCTAACACATATACTCGACCTTCGAGATTCGAGTTTTTAGTAACACCTTTAACAACGTCAATTTTAATTTACTGCTTGTAATACTGGGCTATCTTGGATATTCATAAATAAAAGTTCGGATAATGTTTGCGTCAGCTAATTCTTTGCATAGACGTCTAAACTTTATTTTACTTACGAAAATTGCGCTTGCCTAATTGCTTCTACTTCCCATCCTCAATAATACCGATGCCAGCTATTCAGATCTTCCCAAAATGCAGTGAGATAAGCTTGAGCGACTAGAAATTTCTGTATACGGTTTATATTTTGCTAACTCAAATATAATTAACTCTCTGAATGTCGGTCTTAACTCAATTGGCTGCCGATCCGACTTCGCCGTAAGTAGGTAATACTCATATTTTACACTGCAACCCCATTTACCTCAAAGAACGTTTCAACTTCCACTATGACACTCATTCTCGACAAATAAGGTCGTAGGAGAATTTGAGACTTGAGATGCCCCAGCACATGAGCATATGCTTAGATAAATATTTCACGGTTCGAACTGTGGAATGCTCTGCCGATTTTCATTAGACAAGCACAGTCTCTAGTTACTACTTTCAAAGCACTTGTGGAAAAACATTACTCGTATTTGCCCACGCTAATTCGTCAATTGCGAAATGTGGTAAAAATTGATAAGGTTATATACATCTTTTTATGGACGGATTGACATGATAACTATTATATGGAAGTACTATGGCCCTTGCTCCTGATTAATATTGATACATACGGATAAAAAGGTGACTGGCAAATTCAATTAATAGGCCTCGGAAACGACAATTATCATGTGGCGACACAGGGACTACATACGTTGAGCTGCTGTTTGAGCGTGTGATGCCTCATCCCACGGCTTTCAGAGAAATCCCTGAAGTACGGTCAAGACCCCTACCAGCACCTTACTGAGATACATCCTTCCCGTTGTAGAGTTGAAGGAGACTCGGCTCTTTGTGAATCCACACTCAAACCAGACAATTAAGGTATATAATCTGTGATACTACTGATAACTGCAGTAATAAATTGGGTATTACCTATTGATAAAACGGGATTCTTATCTAAGGGAATCTCCACCAAAATTCCGAATTAGGCAGGTATCTAATCTAGTTAGGAAATAAAAAGTTTAAACTTTTACTTAGGTAAGTTTAAAACGTACCTAAGTGTGGTTCTTATAGTTTATATATAGGTACAAATTCGTTTTTGCTGTTGGTGGCATTTCTCGAGGCCATGTTGCAGAGCAGGAGGAACTGGGAAGTTGTTGTTGTTTCTGAGAATGATCGCAAAGAAAGTAGGGGAGCGTTAAGGGATATTATATAACCCCCTCACGCCCCGGTCTCCGCAGGAGGAGACACTCCGGGCGACGGGTTCGCGGGTTCGCGAGGATGGTGAGCAAGGACAGCTAGGGTACAAATGAAAGATTGAAGACCAACTCACGTGAATTAACTGAAAATGATGATAATTCACGTGAATTAACTGAAAATGATGACTAATTCACGTGAATTAACTGAGAATAAATCAGTAAAAAACTGTTAGGTAATGTAATGTATTTGCTTACGAAACTGTAAATCACTGCTACACTGCTTACCTCCGTGACACGCTGTAGCGGCTCTTAATTCATGCGGGAGGTATCTACTGGGGGGGGGGGGTAAGGTAGAAGGATTTTCATTTTTTTGCATACCTATAATTGACTTTAACATCCTTTATTATTTATTACATCCATAAGCATGTTGTATGATTTTGGTTTTATCAGCAATCGAGCTTTAGACAAATGTTAAGTTTGTTTTATAGTCATTTTAATATTAATTTATACATATGCATCGGGTAACAATTACGAAGGCTTATATTGTAATACAACTAGCTACCCGCGCCTGCTTCACACTTATCTTCATTATACAAAATGTCCTTATAAACAATGTTTATAGCTTTTCTTTTTAAGGGCATCATCAAAGGTCTTCTTCAGCCCTCAGTGGGGTGAGAAAAAGTCAGACTCTAACTGATTAAAAACGTTCATCCCGATTCTTCTCCTATCTGGACAGGAGCAGCAGTAGGTACATTACTGCGGTTGCACTCGCAACACCGAACGCTTACAGCCTGTGCTTACAGCTTCAAGTAAGTAATCGACTCTTGAAAGACTCTCATCGCTATCCATATACTTTATAATCTCCTTTTGAACATTAAAGGAGTACTTACAATTCGACAATTTTATAATATAGTCTTTGAGAATAGTTAGATAAACCAGTAGTAATCATCTGACGTTAAGTGATCAGTGTCATTCAGGATATCAATCTCTAATCAACAGCATTACACACATTTCCATTATTTTTAGGCAGTTAGATCAATTGGAATAAGGAAGCGGGACTTACAATATGATTCCAGGCACAATTGTCACGGATAATTTAAAGACAAAATAAGTTTTTACAATTTCTTATAACCTACGGTTAATTCGAGTAAAGTAGTATTAAAGACTGTGTACTGTACCCGCACTTGTGAAGTCCGACCACAAATAGGTAATGGACATTAATTTTAATAATCATAAAATATTTTAGTGATTTTTTAAATTTTCTTCGTCGAAACTGGAATAGGTATATATACAATAAAATGGAAGCTTAAAAGTTGGATGGTAAAAAATACTTTTTATTATAAATATAATATTACATCGAAAATTATAAAATGATAAAAACATTTGTGGGGATTCCTTAACTCAGATTAAACGTTACCTACAGATAAAGCAAATGTTACAACTAGTATAAATACTAAACCAACTATTACTGAAGTCATTCGAGTATCGTTTTTTGTTAGCCAGCACCATGCGTCTTCCCATCCTCTTTGTTCTTCTAGGTTCCGCACTAGGTGAGTTGTAAACGAGTCTTTTTCTGTAGCATATTTTTCTTGCCGACTTCTTTCTTTGTCGACAGACTGCTTTCATTTATTAATTTGTGAGAATTAAAATACTTATTTGTACAAAGTATGGTAATTCAAGGTGACAATTTATAACAAATAAGTAGTTTAAAATACACACATTCCCAAATACAATAATATATGCGTAATTGAGCATACCTTATAGGTAGTTTTCAAATAAAAGGAATCAATAATTCTTACAACTACGATTACACTTACTATTAATAACAATCGCTTTTATAGTCTTTGAATATATTAGTAAAATATTTAAAAATATTTTCAATTTTGTAATATGCGCAAATTGTGCAATTTTTGCAGCGGTCCCGAGAAATCCCAGTCGTATCGTCGGAGGTACAGAAACTACCGTCGAGGAGTACCCGTATATGGTGAACATGCAATACTCATCGTCAGGCATGTTTTTTTGGAATCAAAGATGCGGTGGCTCTCTCCTAACCTCAACTGCGGTGCTTTCTGCAGCACATTGCTTCTAGTAAGTAAAGTATTACGAGTTTATAACATACAGAGCCGAAGAAAATAATATGACTTCAAATTAAATTATATTTCTTTATAATTCATTTTCAGTGAAGACAGTGATTGGCAATGGCGTGTAGTTCTTGGCACCTCGTTCAGAAACGGTGTAGGTGGCTCCATCCACACCATTCAACGAGTGATCATGCATCCGCAATACATACACAAGATCTTGAACAATGACGTTGCCATCGTCCGCTTCAGCGCGCCAGCTGTTTTCTCTAACACTGTCCAACAAGCGAGGATTCCTGGGACTCAGTACAACCTGGCTGATGGTTCTCTAGTAACACACATAGGCTGGGGCCGACAATGGGTACGTCGACAGCTATTTTTTTTTTTTCAATCTTCTTACAATAGACCAAATATTAAGACAACATAAACTTACAATACGTTTTTGGAATATTGCAGACTAACGGTCCACTATCGGAGCAGCTGTTGCATGTCCATGTTAACGTCATCAACCAGGAGGTGTGTGCTGCTCGTTATGCCTATCTCAAGACTCAGCCTCGTTATGAGGAATGGCCAGACATTAACGAAGGCATGTTGTGCTCGGGGATACTGGACGTGGGGGGCAAGGACGCCTGTCAGGGAGACTCTGGTGGTCCCCTAGCTCATCATGGAGACATTATCGTAGGAGTAACGTCTTGGGGATTTAACTGCGCAGATCCATTCTACCCTGGAGTCAGTGCACGAGTTACGCAATATACCGACTGGATTGTGGCTAACACAAAATAAATATGATATTTTTATTAAGAACCTTTTAAGTGTTTTGATCATCATCACCTTATAAGTTTCCCATTCCATAGCAAGTATTTTTCTCACACAAATAACCATTAGTCACCACGATTGCTCAAGGCATTTATTATTTTTATTATTCTGCAAAAGTATTTGTTGTTAGTCCAGATCCTCATGATATTTCCCTTCGCCGTCTATCAAAGGAATCTAAATCAAGTAGGAAGTACCTACATAGGTATAGCTCGGAAAAGGCACCTTGGAACTTGTGAAGTTTTGATCCTGCATATATAAGAAATGGGTGGCTAACTATATCACGTAGTTTTGTTGTGCTTAGTTAGTATTGGCGGACCTCAGGCAGATAAAAAGACACACTCTGCCCTGAGTGACGCGGGATGGAGTGTCAATCCCTTACTGACTGAAGGGTGATTAAAAACTACCCCATATCAACTCCTGCTCCATGCCATGGACTCAGTACCTTTACTTAGGGCGAACTATCCATAACCCTTATATGCAAGCTCAATCGATGTAAAGTACTTAAATAAAGAAAATAAATTTATTCAACCAGGTAGATTCAAACTTTATTGTAATAAATTTTACAAATAAGAAGGTTTTGAGTTAAAAAGTCTAACTCAAAATAAGATGAGGACAACTAGAAAAGTGTAAATAAAATCAAAAGAAGAAGTAAAAAGATGAAATCATAATTAGGTACCTACATAATAATTCTAATCATGTTACTTGCTGGTTATTAATTATAATCTGTGATGCTACTGAAAACTACAATAATACCTACATTGGGTATTACCTATTGATAAAAAATATCACAGCTAGAGAATCTCCACTTAAATACCAAACTAGGCAGGTATCTAATCTAAGGGAAGAGAAACAAAAAAGCCCCGTTCCTTCTCTTGCTCTAGGTCGAAGCCGCGGAGCCTTATTGCGCTTGCCCCGCAACCTTGGATCCAATTCCTTCAACTCCTTCTGTTTTATACTTTTTCAGCGTCGGTTTTTATCGTAGTTGGGTTTAAGTTTTTAAACTTTTCATTAATCATAAAATTGCTTCACATAAATTATATTGGGAATTTGCACACGATTAATAAGATTTTGGTAAAATACGTAGACATAGATTTGGGGTTTTGTAGCATAATTATCTTTATCTTGTAATTACAGTTGGATTTGATAAAGATAAAATTGTTAATATTTATAGATAAAAAATAAATTGTTACATTCATAGTTCTTCTGTTTCTTGTATCCTCACCATGCGTGCAATTATTCTTTTAGCCCTACTGGGCTCAGCCCTTGGTGAGTCCCTTCAAAGGTTTTATTCAATTGTTGATTTTAAGAGAAACATAGGTATTAGGTACTGTTGAATAGTATTTTTATAACTTTGTACCTTTCTTTTCTAGCTGCGCCCAACAATCCTAGCCGCATAGTTGGTGGTTCAGCTACAACCATCCAGACTTACCCTTACATGTCGAACATGCAGTTTCTTTGGTGGGGTTTCTTCTGGGCTCAGACATGCGGAGGATCCCTGCTAACTCCCTATTCAGTGCTTTCTGCTGCGCACTGCTTCTAGTGAGTAACGTTCACCGTATCAATTTTCCCTGTAATGAACATCATAAAAATACCATCAGCCTATGCTACACGGAGAAGGTTTGAGCATTAATCACCAGCTTGCTCAAGGCGGGTTGGCGATTTCAAAGTTATAATAAACCTGTAATCACAACACCTGTAACTACAAGAAATAGGTTATAGGTAAATAATTTTTAGTTAATTTCAGTGGTGACGAAGCCTCGCAATGGCGTGTAGTCCTTGGAAGCACGTGGGCAAGCAGTGGTGGCAGTGCTCACCTAGTCAGCCGTCTTGTCTTGCACCCACAATATGATCGTGCCACTTTGGACCATGACATCGCCATCGTACACCTCAGCAAACCCGCCGTGTATTCCAGCAGTGTCCAGCCTGCTAGTATCGCCGGTGCCAACTATAACCTCGCCGACGGCACCGCTGTCACACACATTGGATGGGGCGCAATTTGGGTCATTTTCTGTGGTTCCATTTCAAAGCCCTAAAGTTACTTTTTTATACATAGATTAGAAAACGTATAAATAAACATATTCCTAAAAATTGTTAGCGGAAACATATTCCAAGCAACCACCCACAAACCCACCTCGGCCCAGAGCAGGAACAGGGGGGTTTTTAGTCAGTAAGAGTCTGACACTCCCTCCCGCCCGGCCCTGGGCGGGAGAAGTCTTTTGATAATTTTCCCAAGAAAAAAATGTATTACATTACAAGAGTAGGTACATAATAATTATAAATTTTATGTTAAAAGAAATATTAAATTAATAATTTTATTTTTCAGGCTGATGGCCCCTCCTCTCAGCAACTCATGCACGTTGATGTTAACATAATCAACCAGAAGCTATGTGCCGACCGCTACGCCTATCTGAAGACTCAACCTAACTTCGAAAACTGGCCTGACATTACTGACAACATGCTGTGCGCCGGTATCTTGGACGTCGGAGGCAAGGACGCCTGCCAGGGAGATTCTGGCGGTCCCCTCGCTCACAACAACAATGTCATCGTTGGTGTAATTTCATGGGGTTATGAATGTGCTGATCCATTCTACCCTGGTGTCAATGCTCGCGTATCAAGATACACTAATTGGATTTCAGCCAACGCATTTTAAATAACAATAAAAAAGGATGTACAAAATAACGAAGGATCTTATCTGTGTTTATTTATCCATAAGTAGGTCGAAATTATAGATCTTTAACTGACTGACCTTACTTATTAAATGAGACTTAAGTGAGTTATGATTATCTGTATTTTATTTTTATTAGTTTTTTTAATGTACCTACTTAGCTATATAGAACGGAAGAAGATTGATCTCCAATAAAAATATCGCTCTTACGAGTGCGTTGCCGACCTTGCGGGAATTAGGAATTTGGAGATTTAAGCATTTAGGAGGGATAGGGAAAGGGGAGGGATTGGATTGGGGGAGGGGACAGATTAAGACTCCAGTAACCTCACTCACACGGCAAAACACAACGCTGTGGTTGTTTCTTCGGTCCCACTCATTCGTGCTGAAGCATGGCTCTCCCACGCTTCAAAGTTCTTTCCGTAACGCGATTAAGTAGTGTATAATCATTACAAAATCAAGTCAAAAGTGCAGTTGCACTTTACCAATGCTAGTGTCTAATTTTTTTATAGTTGAGGTTTAGAGGTATCTTGACTAATTTATTCGTAGCATAGATTCTAAAGTAATTAAAGACAGGTTTTTAGTCTCGAACTTTTATTACAAATTAGTTTTAGACATTATCCCATTGGACTTGCACGTTTGTCCCTAGACCGTACATGTATAATGTGTCAAGTAAAGATACTTATTCATCAATAATATCGAGAGTAAAGCTCTCAACAAATATCTAGTAGGGCACAACATGAGGTGGGAAATTCAGGAGGTCTTTCTACATTTTGTCAAAGTTTTTCAATCATCTTGCCATAATCCTTTCCAGTCTAAGAACTTGAAAGTGTCTTGGATTGATTGTAAGTAATCAGCCCCGCCCATGTGGTGTTTACATGCAACACCAGAGCAGTGACGAGTGCGTTACTGCCCTTTTAAGGATTTATGGATTGGGGAGGGGAAGGGTTGAGCCTCCCGTAACATCACTCATATTACTTATTCACGCAGTTTTCTGTGAGGTCGTCTGTGTTCGCGAGATATGACATTTCTTATTAAAACTCTTGCCGACAAAATCGAGAGGACATTTTTTCTTCGATCTTAGCGACACTACTATGCTGACAGTTTACATTTGGAGCCTGGCAGCTGCGCGCCAGTCGTCACTCGGCTGTAAAAAAAACCGCAGTGGTTAACAAAGTATTTTTTATTAAGAACAAATACAAACTTTTACCTCTTTAATTCGAATTTCGAACACCACATCTACCAGGAGTCAAGTGAATTTAGATCAGGATACACACTTATATGTATTATTATACCTACTCAAACCTAAATAATATGTATGTTTTCCATATCTGCGTTCTTAATAGATTGACGTTCTTTATAATTTGTCGTACAAAATTATCAATGTATAATAGTATTGTAAACAGCACCAATAAAGATAAAAATGTAGCTATAAATACGTAAATTTCTGCGCATTTAACAGTTATGTATTAAATTAACTATAAATCGCGGGTTACTCACGTGTCTATCTTGAGAAAAGCTCTACTAGTTTCGAACCACTTTATGTATTAGTTTTAGTTTAAAAATGTGTGTAATTTTCTTTTTGGCTCTTATGGGCGCAGCCTTAGGTATGATAACTTAAATTTAATCTCATTTCGTTTTCTAAACTTGTTTCGGTTTTTTCAATTAAATTATTTAACACATTCAGTGCCCCCGACGCGTATGTGCGTTTCCTCGCACGCACATACGCGTCGGGGGCACTGAATGTGTTAATGAATTTCTCCAGCTTATACTTGGACGTATGTGTAGTACCTACTTATAAAAAATACTATTCCAGCTGTGCCTACTAACCCGAATCGCATCGTAGGCGGTAGCGCTACTAACATCCAGACTTACCCTTACATGTCAAATATGCAGTTCAGAGTTTTTGATATTCTTTGGACCCAAGCTTGTGGAGGATCCCTGCTTACTCCCACGGCTGTACTATCTGCAGCACACTGTTTCTAGTAAGTAAATTATAGATGCCTGTAGTAACCTAATAGAAATTAAGTACTTGACGTACCTATGTAGGTCATTTAGGTGACAATTTAGATTTTCATAAACATTTTACTTAGTTTGCAGTGTTATGTAAGTATGCTATTAGATACCTACAACACACTAACATGAGTTGAAAAAATGATAATTTCCATCCATTTCTATAATGAGTTGACAAAGAGTTTTCATCAAAACCAGAAATCGATCGAGAATGTACATGTAATTTGTACATTTTGAATTGAGATCGCTGAGTAATTTTGGATGTTAACAAACTTTCAGTGGCGACCAGGCATCACAATGGCGTGTAATCCTCGGCAGTTCGCTGTCAAATAGTGGGGGCACTACTCATGCAGTTAGCCAGCTAGTGTTGCACCCACAATACGTGAATGCCGTCTTAGAAAACGATGTGGCCATCGTACGTCTTAATAACGCTGCCATATACTCCATCAATGTCCAGCCTGCCAAAATAGCTGGTGCCAATTATGACCTCGCAGATGGTACCACCGTCACTCATATTGGATGGGGCACACTTTGGGTAAATAATTAATATTCCTTAATTTAATTTTGATTCTCATCACAGTTTAAATTCCTTAACTACATAACATTTTTCAGTCTGGCGGCCCATCGTCTCAGCAACTTATGCAAGTTGATGTGAAAATCATTAACCAGGAGCTATGTGCTGAGCGCTACGCTTACCTAAAAACCCAACCAGGCTATGCGGGATGGCCCGACATCACCGATAACATGCTGTGCGCTGGTATCTTAGATATCGGAGGCAAGGACGCCTGCCAGGGAGACTCTGGCGGTCCCCTTGCTCACAATAAGGATGTCATCGTTGGTGTAACGTCGTGGGGTTTTGAATGTGCTCATTCATTTTACCCAGGCGTTAATGCTCGCATTTCAAGATTCACTAGCTGGATAAAAGCTACAGTCAATGTAAATAAAGATAATTAGGCAATTGTTAAAATGTTTTAGTAATAATAATATCGATTAAAGGTGGTATACCAAAAATAATCCTTATGTTAACCCTCTACGGCTTATTCGGCATTAGTCTAGGGTGCTGAATAACTAAATAGGTACTTTGTTTTTTTAAATAATAACTATCGTGAGACATACTAAATTAACTAAAATTCGCGGGTTACTACACTAACTAAATAGGTACTTACTTAGCTAGACAAGACACTAATCTAAAGATTTTTATGATACTAGGGTTAGGTTGGTTAGATATAAATTAGGTGATAGCTAATCTTATCAAATACCTGATCGACGCGTTCCGAGCCAGGCCCCCACCTGACTCAGAACAAATCAATGTCTAATTATCTTTAGTCAGTTGGAGGCCCGGAGGCCTCATCAACCTTGCACAGTAACGTTAGTATGTTTATAAAGACCCCCAAATATTATAAAAATATATGTAGGTATATCAAAAAGTAATATGCTTTTTTATAAAATATTGTTTTTATAACTATCTTCAAATGTTTACTTATATTTTACTATTGTGCGTTTTATCACATATTTTCATAAGTATTTATGTAGTAAGCCTAGAACATCTATCCAACAATGATCAGCATTTTATCACCTATAGAATAAACTATAAATAAATTACAAATGAGAAAGAAATTCATTACAACATGCAAGCATTTTATATAATTACGTAGTCTATGGTATGGTTTGGTAGTTTTAGTGACAGAAGAGGTAGCAGACAGATGACACGTGACAGATTGACTTGACAATAAGTTGTTAAAATATAGTTGACGGAAACAAACAAATAACGATCTTAAATGTAAATTAAAAATAAAAACAAAAATACATTCACTACATAATTGATTTTTATATAGAATCTTAATGTGTGAATGTGTAAATTGACACTAAATAAAAGTACCAGGTATTCTTTGATAGTTCCTTATGAAGGTAAGAAGAGGTAATTGAATGAAATAGGATACCTATACTAAAAAGTAATACCTAAATTTGTTAATGTAAAAAAATTAAAACTTTAATAATAATATAAATGGTGTTAAAATCTTAACTTATTTGTGGTATATGAATGTTAGTGATTAATACTGCTATTTCTTATCCTTTAGATGTTAAACTTTATATAGGTACATAACAATAGTATCAACATTTACTTTTGAGTTATTTCCTAAGTAATGGCAGAAATGAACAGCACAGATCCTCAAGTTCCTGGTGCACCTACACACCTTTACTTACTTCAAATGGATTCCAGTATAAATTTAAGTTTAAATGAACAACTTTTACCCCTGCATTTATTAGATAATGTAAGTAAATTGAATAACAAAAATAGATCCCTAAATAAATATGGGTCATTTATATTAATTAGTGCTTTAATATTTTGTTCTAGAGCTTAGAATATGGTCACAAACAGTACCTGTTACCAATTCCTTTAAAACAGAAAGAAACTCAAGATCAACTGGAAGTTCTTATTGGTAATAATTTATTTTAATTTTTAAATGTGTTTTAAGTAAGTATAAGTAAGTAATTTTAAAATGAAGACTGGCTTACTGTATATAATATAGATAATAAAGTGAATAACTAAACTAGATGTAATAAAGGTTTTGTGCTCATTTTAGTTTCCTCCAAACTATTTTGGTCAAACTCAATCTACATGATATCTAGTTTATTCGATTATTTCTTGTCAAAAACAAGCTGCACAAATCATTTGCTTTTTCATCAATCAAGTACTTTTTGGTCAGAGGGTATATAAAAATATATTTTTTTCTATATATAATTTCAGATTCTAGTCAAGGTCAAGCCAAAATTATGGGTGTAATTGATAGAAATCATAAAAGTGCACAGAATATTTTAGCAATCTGTGATGATCAACTTCAAACCTCTTCCATGGTTGAAGGCAGTATCAACATGGCCTTAAGTACAGATCATGTACCACACATGAAAGGGACACCCCTAAATCTAAGTATTGAAGAAACAGAACATGATGACAAAATCAATAAAACTAAAACTATTAATAACTATGGTAAGTGAAAAATATTTCAACAGTAGATATTAAAAATATTTACCAATATAATCCATTAATGGTTGTTACTTGTTATTAAGCTGGTTCATTAACGTCTTCTGCTGTATGTATAGGAGAAACAATACAAAACACATTATGTCTCACATGGATCTGCACTCGGCATATCACGGGTTTAATGAACTATCAGCATGTCTGTTGTACACCTCAATATTGAGCAGTAGTGCTTATACATATTACATACCTTTACAAATACTTATTAAGTAGAATAGGATAAAAAGACTAATTATATAAAAATTGTAATAATAAAAATGTATATCATCTTCACCTACTAATCAGTGGTTGGAGAATGACAAAACGGTGAGCTCCAGCAACATTATTATTAAATTACAAGCTGGGTATCATTTAAAAATATGGTAATGAAAAATTGTCTGTAGATTCTCTATCTACAGATGAATGACCATATTTTTGACAGTATGAACTGCTGAATATGCAAATAACATTTTGGTAAAAATGAGTATGAGTAAGGTAACAAACATTGTGACACAAGAATTTTATATACATTCTAGCTACTCTCGTGCGGTTGGACCCGCTGCTCGGCTCCATTTGGTCGTAGCGTGATGTTGTATAGCTTATAGCACATAGGGACTTTGTAGCTACCTATTAGTCAAAGAATTTTGGCAATCCGACAAGTAATTCCAAAGATTACCCCCTACATACAAACTTACAAATTTTACCTCTTAATAGTACTTATTACGTAAGTATAGATAAGATGTATATTTAAGAAATGCTCTATTTTTCGCAGTTCACATATCTGACCGCATTGTACCTCCCCGCGCCTATGCGGTGCTACCATCGGTACTTCAAATACAAAGACACCATATAATCTCAACAAGAAGGAGTTTGCCCGCATTTGCACGATTTGGTCCTGTTCAAGGTAAAATAGACTTATTTTTCAAAATTAAATGTCTCTGTCTACTAAAACAAATGAAAATGGTCAATGAATATGCTCCAAGGTACCATTTTTAGAAGACTATTTGGGTGTTAATCTTTAGAGAATAGTATTGAACATAAAAAAAGCTAATCACTCCGATATACTCTATAGGATTTAAAGTAGGTAAATTTTACTTTATATCCTATAGAGATTATTTCTTTAATACCATCTATTTCAGGAATAAGAAACAAATTATCTCAATCAGAAGCTGTGGAACTAGTACTTAATGCTACTTCAAACAAAGTACCTTTATTTCTAGTAAGGGACTTAGATGGAAATATCATTCACATTGATACAACTGATAAAGGTAATTCTTGTTATATTTTTAGATTGTAAATTAGCATGTTTAACAAGTTCTAATACAATTTCTTTTCCAGATAAGTCTAATTGGATCGGCTTACTGCCACTAGGAGATCAAAACTCTGCAAATGTATGGCTATATGAAGAAAATCAAGAACTATATGTGGTAACTACGGAAATACTACAACTAAGGAAACCTCTCATACTTGGATACAGTAAACAATATGCTGATGCCTATGGATTAATAGGCCCTACTAAAGAAATTGGAAAAGGTAGATAAACCTTTTTGCTAAGTTTAATAATGTAGCTACCGGGCCCTTCTGGCACAGAGCCTGAAGGTTTTTAGTAATCGGTATACATCTGTGTACAAGATGGACTTAATGCCACAGGCATTCTCTTCCAGTCGTACCTTTGGGCGATGCAGAGATAACAGTAGGTGCAAGAAGCAAGCAAAATCCGTAGCCTCTAGGTTTTTAGTAATTGTCCCATAAAATGAATCTATTTTTTTCTAAAGGCCAAATAAATAAGTGTCCTTTCACATAATGTTAAGTTGCACTTCTACAAAATGTACTATCATACAAGAATTGAAACTTACATTATTCTTTATTAAATTACAGATACTGAAGTTCAGAAAACATGGTGGTGTTACGAATGTCAACGTGCCCTGCCATCAGAAAAACAATTAAAATCTCATACTGAATCTTGCCACAAGGTAATATATATTGTGTTATCCTGGATTTGTTTTAAATATGTTGTTTGTCCGTTATACCTAGCTAAGACGAAAACGCCTTGAAGAAACGGCATGAATATATCATTCCTTATCTAAAAGAAAAAGCCATTTAAGGCAAAGCAAGGTCAAGGACCAAAGCTGTAACCCAAAAAATCAAATCTGCGTATCACTAAGCCCAAAGTATTAGCAAACTAAAATGATTTGTCAAAGAACAGATGACCGTTGGAGTAGAGGCGTCTCGGCAAACATAGTGTAGGGCGTCCTCTACGTTGGATGAGAAGAGCTAGACATCGAGCTCAGTGGCGTGCAATCGGGGAGGCTTATGTGTATGTCCAGTGGACAAAATCAGGATGATAATGATAATGATGATTACAAATGTTCAGGATGCATAAGCCAGCTACAACATAAGTTTGCTAAAAGACATATTATGTAAATTGTGATAATGAGAGTAGTGCTGTAAATATACATTTGATATTCCTTTACACTACCTGTTATAAAAATTATCAATGCTGTTTATTACAGGATGGGGTCTTACTACCAAGGCGACGGTATCGTTGTCGACATTGTACAAGAACATTTTCTAGACTATTTGTGTAAGTATTTTTTATTAATATTTTTATGCGAATATTTTAAGGTAAACTATCGCCATCGTCGTCAAAACTGTCATCTTTTATCCCCGCAACAACGGAGTTGTTGCAGTTTCGTTGTGTTGCCCATTTTGTGGATTGGCCATGGGGGATTAAGCCCTCGGTAACTCCACTCACACAGGTAAACACAACGTGCGGAGCGTAGCTGTTCCACGACGGCTTTCTGTTACGCCGGTCGAGTCGGCTTATTCGTTCCGGAACATAGGTATCATACATTTTGTAATAGGTACTTAATAAATGATTAAAGTGGATCAGTTTACTTACCAACAACTTAATTAACATAGTTTAACTTATTACAGATTAAGACGGCATACATCACTTCATTGCCCAGTAAAATTAGAAAAAAGGTAAGGATTAAGTATAATTTTGTATAAAGAATTAAGCCATATAATTTAGCTGTATTTTTTCTAACTAAAATTCTATTTTAGGAATAGAGTGAGCAATCAGGACCCTAAAAATGATGGACCACAAATTAATATAAACACGTCAATAAACTCTGAAGACAACCGAATACCGTCAGATGAAAGTTTCCAAAACTATTCTAATGGGTTAGATTTCTCCACTAATCTCTTTGATACTGATCGTATTTCTAGTCTTGATATTTCTGGTAATACCAGATCTGATAATGATTTTAATCCTTACGCTATCGGATATAAAGACGAAAATGATTTAGCTAACGATCTGGAATTTTCAAGTAAATTAGAAAATTGTCGAAGGACTTCCAAAGAGGTTTGTAGCCTATTTTTTCCTTTTCTCAGACTTCTCAGACCTAAGACTTTTTCTATGATATTTTTATCAACAAAAATGCTGAACATGTTTTGCACCAATGTTTTACATACATTTTCAGATATCACCAAAACCAGAAGAACAACTTATTGTTCCATGTCCATACTGCAATGAAATTATTGTTAAAGGAAATAGGCGCCAACATATAAGGTAAAGTATTTTTAATTACCATATTATATAACCTTTAATGATAAAATACTTTTTAAATAAGGCTCCCACTAAATAAATCTATCTAATTTTAATTCTTATATATTTGTAGCAAATGTCCAGCGCGCATGTTGACTTGCGAATGTAAAAAAGTATTCAGAAACATGAAACAATTTAAAGAACATATGTGGAGTCAACATTCAAACGAAAAACCAGTTCAGAGTGTAAGTAAGCGACTAAGGTAGTTATAGTATCTGAACAAATTTGAATATTTTAATATATTTTTTATTGTCTATTACAGGAAAGTGAAAATAATGAACCTGCACCCGAAACAAAACCAGAAGGGCCGCCACTGTATAAGTGTGACCAGTGCCAACATACTTTCAAGGTACAAAAATAAAACAAACATCCTTGTTATTTTAAATAAGGATTTACTCGCGTGAACAAATTGAGAAAAGCTCTACTAATTTCAAGTCTTAGCGGGAATTAGTGATAAGCAGCGTAGTAAGTCAGCAGTTCAGCACGTGCTGCCGACTTTGCTGTGACGTAATTTTTTGTAAAGTTGTTATTTTCAATAAACATAGTATCTATGTCTCACGATACTAGCTATTCAAAAATTTATTATACTTTTAAACGGATTGATCAACAACTATTTTCTTTTTTGTCCATATGTCCAAAAGCTTATCTAATTCTATATTATAAGCAATACCTCGCAATTACGCCCATAATTGCTTTATTATGACAAATCATTTCATTGCATTTGCGAAAGTTTTAGACCTTACACACAACGTGAAACAATATTATCGTTAAAAAAATTTAATGACTGTATATTTTTCGTGTATTAGCGTCGAGGTATGCTGGTGAACCACCTATGGAAGATACACAACATGATCTCTGCGCAAGTCCCGCTGGAGCGGCGCGTGCGCCACTACCCTTGCGGGACTTGCACTAAGTTGTACAGGACTGCCGCTAAACGAGACCGACATGTACAGCTTCATCATCCAGGTAAAATTTTATTTTTATTTTTCGTAGCAGTGTAACTTTATGGCGACTGATATGACGTTTGATAGTTTTTTAAGTACTTCTTTCTATATACTTCCTAAATTCTACTATACCTCGAATAGAATTTGAGGGTCTTCTGTCTCTTTTCACCATCAAATTCTATTCACCCCGTTTTACCTACCTATAAAAAATGCAATAAAAATGCAATAATTGGGTATTTTCCTCGGTCAAAAATTAATTCCTTCAAGATTTCACTACAATCAAATATTTAAAAAATACTCGTACTTCATTGATGGATTTGACGATATACTCAATTTTAGATTTTACATATATGATGTCACTTTCTTGTGTTTCATAGGTACCAAATTCATAGAACATTCTGACCACTCCAGATGCAGTGTACATGTTTTTTTTTTAAAGAGCAAAGATTTGTTATTAACTAGTGTCAGGTTTTTGCTTAGGTATCAATATCATAATCACATTTTTTTAATAGGGGCTGCAAAATTCCGTGTAGAAGCTCTGGATGGCGGCACTCGAGTGTGTGAGCCGGCGATGTGTTCCGAATGTCCGCGTCAGTACGTCACGCGAGCAAAGTTACTGCAGCACCAGAGGGCACATCACCCTTATTTGGTAAACTACCCAGCTATCAGCAACTACCTATTTTTTTATAATTTTAAAAAGTATAGTTCCAAATACGTATCCACACACCAACTTTTAAAGTTGGTAATATGCAAAAACCGGCCAGTTATAGCCGCATAACTTTTGAAAACACATTTTGAAAAAACATTAAAGTAACCTATATAGGATAAACATTTTTTTGAAAGAGGAGATTATGTACACAAACCCAGAAAGATATAAAGAAAAGTGACGTAATTCATTCAAACAAGAATTTTACAGCATTTTTCAAATTAAAGTTCTCTTTATTTATTTCACCACCAGATTCTACCGCCAACTACCAAAAAAGGAAAAAGTTTACTAATTGAGCAAGTCATGTAGTTATGAATAGCTGAACAAACAATACCTAGTGGTAAGTAAGAATTAACTTATCTTTTAAATGTTTAATAAATGTACCTATTTGAATTCTTACTATGTGTTTTATTACTAATGCCTTTTAAGTTGAGAAAACAACTAAGTACGACAATATTATTATTGTTATTTTCACTAGGAATGTCTATTTTGTTCTAACGATACCTAATACGTAATGACTGGCAATTTCAATTCCACGATGCCTTGTTCATTGTACAACACAATTACGAAATAAGCTGAAAAAAAGAAACAAAATATTCCGCAATTTTGCTGGATACATAAAAGCGAAAAATCCAGCTAAACTGCGCGGCTCAAAATTAAAAGAATTTTCTGGTCTGGCCTACTTGCCCTTGGTTTATGAATAAAAATTCAATTCGCAACGAAAACAAAAAAACCAGTTTAGTTATAAAAATACTTGAGTTAAAAATTAATAGCACAGTAGTACAATAACATATAAATCTGTTAGAATTAGTTATTTCGTTTCAAGTCCTGCTCCGAAGCAGACAAAGTTTGATAGTTCGTGTTAATCATTTGTTTATACTTTTTTATACCATACTGATAAAACCCGCCTGTGATGATACTGTTTACATATTACATTCATACCTACAAATTTGTTATCTCACGTACGCATCTCTGTTCCACGTAAACCATATGTAACGAGAGAGAAAGAGAAACCCGAATCATTGTTTCCACTTCCCTTTGTTTTGTTACGTTGGGACTGTATCTTGATTGTTGTCATCCGCACAATCTAATACTAGTCCGCATCCGCAACGCGCAGCTGCAGTGCAGTAAAGTGCAACGTACCTCGTAATATAATATTCTCATTAATCCGCCATTAGTGTTCAATTCAATATCCTACAGTACCTAGTGTTCCGTTATACGTATTGATTTTACGACAGTAGGTACCTTGAACTATGTTGACAGTTCAAAGGATATAGGTTCTCAGTGTGTCCTTATATCTAGTGTAGTCGTTGAAGTTATGATATGTGTCAGTTGCGTTAAGATGGATTATGGCGTGGAAGAAGGTACAATACCGAGAGATTTCATAGAATACGACTTCGCTGAAGATGCTCTGGATTTTGAGGTTAGTTTTAACGCTAATTTAATAGGTGTACAATAACATTTATTTCTTGACCAATGTTACACGTTTGACATTTAGCAAAGAATCACAACCATAATTAACAAGCAGTTAAAGACTTTGTATTGTATAAATAATCGTAAATTAATTTAAATGTTTATTTAAAAATCGATAACTTAATTACGTTAGATGTCATTAAGTCTACGTACCTATCAAAACGTCAAGTAGGTATTAAGAAAGTATCTAAGTACTTAGGTATGTACTTATTTATTAATGCATTTTGATTTTTCTAAATAAAAAGGTAACTAGGGTAATCAGCGCTAAATAGACGATCCTCTGTTGAATAACGCTATCATAACAAACAAATGACAGTCGCAGGTGCTACGAATACAATACGATGTCACTTGATTTAATACTAAAGTGACATTGTAAAACACTTCGCTGATTATCGCTTTGCTTGACAGTTGTCTCTTGCGCGTTTGTCTATGGTGTTAGAGCGGAAAGGCAGATGGGCTTGTCCTCTCTATCGCACAATGGGTGTATATTCTGATATACATAGGTAGCGATTATACAAAAACAACAAACAAACGTAGTGAGCACCTACCTCTATACCTACGCTGCACTGCACTACAATATTGTGAGTTTGTGAGTGACGAGTTTTGCGGTAGGTAGTTGGCTAGGCGCGCTCGGCTAATCGTAGCACTGCGATTGAGCACAGCTGGAGCGGATATTTTCGTGGGATACGGTAGCGCGAATTCTGTAAAATTCGTAATTCGAATTTAAAAAAAGTGTGTAAGAAATTAATTTAGTGACAGTGTTGTGAATTGAATGAACGTCGAATATGGTTTGTTTCGGCGATAGATGTGGATGTGGTGCGTTTTGCCGCCGTTTGTTTTGTCGTTCTCGACCTCCAGAATCGGAGGAAAATGAAGAAAACTTACCAGTCTCTTTGGTAATTATTTTAATTTTAATTGAGAATTATTTTTTAAGCTTTAGAATATATCTAAATATTTTATGTACCGTTTGTAAAACTAAATGATTAAATAAGTACTTGCTTCTAGTGAAAAACCTTGTAAACAAAATAATCGTAAGGTATTTTTACTTGATTCTCCACCTTGGGTGACGCATTTAAACATAAAATGACTCATAAAAGTTGTTTAAATAAGTACCTACCTTGTTCATACCTGATAGCTACAGTAGCAGATCTCATCATCTTTTTCTTGTAGTAAAAAATAGTACTTACAAGTACCTTATATATTAATTAGATAGGTACTTTATATGTATACCAATAATTGTTAAAATTTGGACTTCATAAATTGTACATTATCTTTATGAGGTTCCCTTTCTTTGGTCAGTATCCTTACGAGACGAAATATCTGTATAGCTTTTTTTTGTGAGGGTAAAATCATCAAATGACTTCTCCCGCCCATGGCCGGGCGGGAGGGAGGGTCAGAATCTTGCTGATCAAAAAACCCCCCTGTTCCTTCTCCTGCTCTGGGCCGAGGTCGCGGTGCCTCGTTGGGCTTACCCCGCAACCCCGGCAAATGTCTGTATCTGTGTTGGTGTTGGGGCAACAGATCAACACAGAGGGGGCCTAACAGTGCTGATGTTCAGCCGAGGTTGCGATTCAAGCGCCTGGAACAGGAGAAGCAACGGGGTGATTTTTAGTCAGTACCCGACATTCCGATCGACCCGACTGACATTCCGTCTCGCCAAACTCAGCGATAATAAAATTTACCTGTCCACCCTTTCTTGGGGTTCTTGAAAGCTTAATGTTATTATTACCCCAAATGCCCCTGGTAATTACGGATCGATATCCGTAAAAACTTACACATCAAAACCATTATACCTATGTAGGAAGGTACCTATACGTAGCTAGCATACCTAATTACCTAGTCAATTTAAACAATTTGCTCTGGTAATAAAGGTATAGAATTTGAATTTAGAGAAGCTGTGTTGTTTGTCCCTTCATACGGTGAACAGGGTGAATTGAGAAGACGGGTGAATAGATACTGGGAAAATTCGTCCATATCTTTTCACCCCTTTTGTGTATTTACCCCGTTTTACGGTACACAATGTACATGTATATATATCGACATATGGGATAGGAAATAATTATTTTATTCGGCTGCCAAAAGGATGTTTGCGTTTCCGTTTTAGTCAATGTCATGCAGCATTATTACCTACAAAACCATAAATTAACTCAGACATCGATGATAAAAGATGAAATATGATGATAAATGTTCAAATGATCAGTTTAAATCGGCCATGGTCATAGAATTATTATTTCACTAAAACGTAACAATTCGATAAAGCTTACCTAATAAAGTGCAATAAATCATTTTAGGTATGTAATTTATACATTACCCATAATTTATGTAGATACCTAGTTATAAATTAAAAGTTTACCCAACTAGGTACTTTAACTATTAACTATTTTACTTAATGTAAAATAGTTTGATCTTTACTATTTGCTCAAGAACATTGGTAACGGATTTTGATGGATATAGAGTGATTGAAGGTTTATACATATGTACAATTACATATGTTAAATAATGGAGAAATTTATTTGAAAAATAACGTATGTTATCACCACACTGTAAAACGGTACACTAGGTACACACGTACTCACAAAGAAACGAAATCTGTGCGTTGGTAGTAGAATGAAAAATATTCGAAAATAGCGCACCGCGAGATTAGTTATGCCGTAATCAACGAGCGTGTCCCTGTCCTTAGACGTAGCTACAGTGAAAATAAATAATCTGACCAACATACAAACGCAAAATTTTATTTTCAGTGCGAAGGTCAAATGCGATTGGACGCAATGCATTTTATAAAGTGACCAATTGTATCGTGATCTTATCAAATCTATTGTAATCTGCCATAAAAATAAGCTGTATTATAAACATTCGTCAGATTACTATTATGCCTAATAGGGGTGACAAATAAAACTTCTACAGTGCTTCCTAAACGGAGTAATAAACAGAGTTGCGGACATAAAGAAGTTACGAATACTTAATTGTGAAAAATGTATTTAAATACTTAAATGGATTATAAGGAAAATGGAAGAAAGGTATATATCTTTAAACAACGGAAATATAGTAACAATATGAACATCTACTTCCTTCAGAACCTAAATAAGACTAAGTGAGGTAATACATAATTATGTCACTGGTTGAAATAATGAGGATTTTTCCTAAGTGACACAACTGCACTAGGAAAATCTGGGAATAAAAGAAATACTTATAAAAGTATAATTACTAAAGACATAAAATATGGAATATTTTTTAAAGAAAAAGCCCTTTAGGTGCATGACGGTAAGGACAAATTGAAATGACTCAGAAGATCCCGGATCTTAGGTAAGAATGCTCGGCCTACAGCAGGAGGAGGAACGGTTTTTTTTTTGTCAGTAAGACTCTGGCACACGGGAGCGGAAGAAGCTAAATTGACGATTTTCCAATTGCTTTTGTCAAAAAAAACTTAGTACCTACATAAGAATAATGATAACCTACGGTTCTAAACGACCAAATGTTAGCTGAATCAAATATAAAGCATCTTATCTAACACATAAGTTTGAGCGATGATATCACTTCCTTTTTTAAAACTAATATTAAATAATATTAACCGTGTAACCGTTGATATTATTTACCTAACTACGGTACATACTTATGTCAATAGGAGTACTTATCTTAAATTGGTAAATAAGCTTATACAGGAACACCATCAAGTAATTAAAATTGCAGAAACAATTTTATCATTGCTTAATCTGTTAGCTATGAGAGATATGTATAGTAGCTTTAGTTATTATTATACTCAAGGTATAAAAAGTTAAGGTGAAACACAACTGAATTAATCTATATAAATACGTTTTTGATCAAAGTAAACCTGAAAGTGATAGCGCCCACAGGTCCTGGGCAACAAAGAATCTGTCGAGGACAGCTCTGACACATAAGTGGACGCTACTAAAGCCTAAACTTCCTTATCTGCAACACTGATAGGTACTTACTTCTACGCTTCTACGATGACAGACATGATATTGTGTGAAACGCGAACATTGAAATTAGGTAACCTACAATCCACAATACCAGTAGATATACCTTACATTATATTAGTTTATACTTCCATCAAGTTAGGGCCGTATTGATTATGTTCAAACACGCAAACTTACACCGTAGCGTTAAAACTCACGTACTTGTAGGTAGGTTTGCTTCTGTTTTATTAGCGCGACAGTATTTACTCGCGACAGTCCAGCATTTTTTTTTATTTGTGTAATAGATCGGCAAACGAGCAGACGGATTACCAGATGATGATAAGCAGTTACGAGTGCGTTGCCGACCTTTTAGGGATTAGGGTTTTGGTGATTTAGGGATTGGGGAACGATTGGGGTTTCTGTAACCTCACACGGCGAAACTCAAGACTGGATGTTTCACGCCGGTTTTCTGTGAGGCCGTGGTATCACTCTGGTTGAGCCAACCCTTTCGTGCGATACACTTAAAACTTACTAACCATTTATTCAAACACCTGCTGTATTCAATTAACTAGTTCATACATTAAGTAGTAAAAACGCTTGCTTGCGAATACAATAGCCATTGGTCAATATTTAGCTAACTTATTAGGTAAGAATGCCTACATACTTAAGTTATCATATCTCCATTTATTTATTCGTTCAAATAATGATCAAATAGTCAAAGGTCCCTGCCTATCATGCTTCCTTTGTTTGTTATCGTACCTATATCCTATGTTCTCTACGTACTGAATTTCAGAGAACGTATTTCTACGAAAACAGTTTCCAGTTAAATTTAATATCGTATCCTTATCTTGCACTGTGATTACGAGAAATAATTATGATCATACAGGAAGAATATGTTAGGTACTTATCGACTTTTAGTAGGTTGCTGTTCTAAATAAATAAATTAATTATGTTACCTACATCCCACTTTTATTATGAATCAGGCACCTAGTGACGAGCTTGAATACAAAATACTAAACTATTACATATAAGTTTATTCTTAATGAAGTTTATATACCTACAATATATTTTAATAGAAGAAACTTCCAGTCTTCAGCTCAATTGAAATAACTGCATCGACCCTTGAATTGAACATTGTGAAGATAATTAAAATGAACGGAATTGCATTTTCCCATTTCTTCTCCAACCTTGATAGCTAGCCATGGTCATTAATTGTAGTCGACCTACAAATACCAAAGTTGATCCATACTGGACCTGACACCTCTGTCTATTCGACCAAGCATGATTTATCTACCACAGATTTCACACCGTTTCATTGAGCGTAATTTTATATAGGTACTATGTATAGATAGAGTATAGAAGAAAACGTTGATGGTCTGGTTGATGAGATAGATTATAGAAGAAAACGTAATTAACCAACATCCTATTCTTAATCTTAGCTGTAGGGACGGAAGTAGGTCCAGCCGAGGGGCTGCAAGTACATTATGTCCCGCGGCCCCTGCTCGGAGCAGCAGTGAGGAGCATAAATAAGCATAGTAGTTTTTAGGCTAAAAAACTGAATTCGCGAGACAAGTCATTGAATAATTTCCCCATATAAAGAAGGTACCCAAGTAGGTAGGTTCATGATGACTATTTCTTCGTGATTAAAACTACGCAGATGCTTAAAACATTTTATTTTCACATTTTTCCTGGTAACGTGTAAGTTAAGTAGTCGTGACTGTTTGCAGTTACCAATAATTGCGATACCAGTGCGATTTTTGTGGTTTTCTTTACGTAAATAGTAAACGCCATAATAAAAGTAAACGCCAAGTACTTATTTGTACAATAATGAATAAATTATATGTTTATTCAAGCTAAGTAACTTTTGCTAACTTGACATACAAACGTACCTAGGTAGGTACCTACATTATACAATCCTTATATTTGGAGGCTTTCCTGTTGACAGTCAAGCTTAGCAAAGCTATAGGTATTCTAGCTATACCTACCAAACGTACAATGTATTATTAAAAAAATAACCCTGACACCAATTAAGGCGAAGTAATGCCCGGTGAGCTCATCAGCCTCGAAGTTCAGACACCTTAAGTGGTGAACGAATTCGTGATTAGTGTGCTGATTACATTTACACAATGTAAGTAGGTAGTAGTGTAGATACTTACCGTCGAAGTAAATTGAGTCATAGGACAAATATATTTTGGTAGGCATTAGGTAAGTGCATAATTAGGCTACTATGGTTTTATCTTAATACATCAAGAGCAAGTAAATAACCGTTACCCACGTATAACCTTGTAATCCTTTAAGGCAAATACACGTTTGTCAGTTATTTGAAATTAGAATTCTTTTAAATAATAACTGCTTAGTCAGATTTGTCATATTTATCTTCTTTATTGGTCTTATAATTAATTTACTTAAAACCTATATTAGGTATACCTAGAGGTTTTAAGTAAATTAATTATAAGAATTACTCATAACTTTTTGGGGTTGCAAGGGTAGACCCTACATTTTTGTATTACAAACAAGGTTTTTTTGTTCAACTGGCTATTTCGAATATACGGGTTTCGTGACTACCTGAGAAGAACCAAATTTCGTATCTTTGAATCTTTTCGAAATCAACCTTTCTATAATAGGTGGTGCCGGTTTTTTTACTAATGCACCACAACTGCTTCAACTTCAAATAAATTAATGATATATTTTATATTATCTAAGGTTGTAAACAGGTAGGCCTCGACTAATTGTCAGAGTAGGTAAATTGTAAACTAAAACTCAAAGTTGATATACCAAGTAGATACCTAAGTATCCCAACGAATACTTGACTGAAACCAACCGAAGACTTTTGTTTAGACATGACCCAATATTCAAATAGTTCCAAGCGATCTATGAATGTAGCAAAAATCTTAAAAGTCATGTAGTCATATGTGTGTAGTCATTTCCTTGTAACTCTTTATATAATAGTGTCTATAAAGGTTTTATTTTTTATTTCAGTCTCAACTGGCAGAGGCGCGAGAAGTTAAGTTTACACAGACCCTGACAGAGCCCCTGAGTATTGGATCACATATAATATGCACGGGCACGCCCAGCGACGATTTGCCCTGGTAACATTTCAGTTATAACTATTATATTGTATACAGACTATGCCAGCCACACCTAAACTCGTAAACATTTAATGGATAATCTGGCCTCCCCATCGTTTGCACTAAATACCGTTAATGGCTGCCAAATTTCACCAATAAATGTCAACGCCCACAACATTTTCCAGGCCATCTTTTACATAAACCATATATATAAAGATGTGTTTTACAAAAATACAAATAGTGTACGCACCTAATAGTACAGGTAGAAAATTGATTATAATATTTATTATCTTCGATACAAGTGCAATATCAATAAAATATAGGTACCTATCTATATATTCAAGTCATTTCAATGACTGTGTTATGTTTATTCTTACTTCATTAAAATCTTCGATAGCTACATTATTTACCTACCACTTAGTAATAACTGCCTATTGTTTACTTTATATTTGCACTTTTGATTATGGATCTCGTGCCAAGTACATGTGCCCCTACCACGTGTGTTAGTTATTTGTGAATATACAAGGTAACAGATTATTCGATGATAAGTTATCTCTATTAGGTTTGCTGTGAATATAGGAAGCGGGGACATTGACTCGGGACGCGGTGACATAGCTGTACATTTCAACGTACGTCTTCCACAAAACTATGTGGTTCGTAACACACGAAGACACAACAAATGGGGACCCGAGGAAACTACTGCTTTCAGGTAAATAAAGGATGAGAATCAAACAACATCATTAATATGTATAAGACCACACACGAGGTAATAAAATGTATGATCACTACTATACCTAAATCTGTGTGACCCCAAATAAATATTGCAATTGTTAGTAATTTAAAAATGTAGGTCTGTATACTTTCTTCGGATCCAAATGATTGAACAGTTATTGTTGTCCATACCCTGTAAAGGTTTACACGACCTTGCACGCTAGAAAGCAGACAGTCAAGCCCTTCTGGCTCCAATCGATCCCGATAACCATGGCAGTTGTTAATTACACGGTCAGAATTAACACCGTATTTCAATTTAATTAACGTAACCACACTAAAAGCCAGACACTCACGCTAGTAATTTACTCGTTAATTTTCCTGTTAGTGTCGCTAATTAAAAAGTTGGTCTTCATTTCCAGGTTGTTTCCTTTTAAAATAGATCATCCATTCACGATTGAGGTAGTTGTTGATGAAAAAGAGACGTTGTGGGCAGTTGGTGGAGTCCAGTATTGCAGCTACGCTCATAGAAATCCAAGTCCGTTGATAGCAGAATGGGTGCAGGTCACAGGTATACGAGACGCAACACTACAAATACAGAAGACTGATATATTCCCCACATTAGCACCATCTCCCGTTGAAGTAAGTAAATCCTTATCTGGAGTTCTGGTTCTGGAGTCAGAACTTGTTGACAATTTTGTTTGCACACCTTATCAAGTGTCTAATTACGTAACTGAACAAGACAATAGAATGTTGGAGTGATTCATCTACATAGTTACACCCTTCCGGCCAAATTATTCTCATGTTACAAAATCGGTTGCACTATAGTGCGTTGCAGTAATTCTGTCTGACCTTACTGGGGAATTTTAAAATCGATTTGTTTCTTCATCTAACAAGTCTAGCTTCCGCAGCACGGCGGCTGGTACAGTAGATTATTGTTAAGAATTTGATACCTACAGTAGATTATGTTAAGCACTGCTTTATATTAATAGGATAGCAACACACTTTCTTCAAGTTCTCTAACACGGATCACCTGATTCTGCAGAAGGTGCCACTTCGTCTGAAAATTATCAACATAGCTTAAAAATTCTTAAATATTTGTATTTCAGGTGCCATTAAGACCTAGTATAGACTCGCTGGCAGAAGCCTCGGAGCCTGCTTGGCAACCAAACGCAATTGCAACTTTATCGAACGGCATTCCTGAAGGTCATCAACTTGTTATTTACGGCAGGTACGTCCAACGTAACGTTTAGTTTTGTGGAAACCTCTCTTTCTCCCTCTTTTTTAGAGGAGGCCTAAATTCTAGCATTGGTCTTCTAACTTGTTAATGACTCATTGTGTGAATATTTGGGAGGACACAAAAGTACTTACATGAAGGTCATTTAGGCAATATAAGGCATTTACACATAAAAATATTCACAATCTAAACGGTCTATGAAAAATGTCGATTGGCTGCCTCCAGCCTCCAGCTTCATTTACGTTTGTTGGCTGTCTTCCAATATCACTCGTTAGCCGATATACAGTTTCATTAACATGTTTGTTTGCATTTGAATATTCCCAACCTAACACATTTATTCTGACATCGTTTATTCATAAGTATAATAAATGTTAAAAGAAGCTTCATGTTTTATCACTGGATTAAAAGATGAAATCTTTTGATGATTTCAGAGAAATGCTTCTTTGGTAATCGTTATCTTCAGGGAAAATGAGAAAAATATTCGTGTGACGCAATCAAAAAGAAAAATATTATTGATAATTCTGTAATTCTGTAGAAATAATGAATTATCTGCCTTTATTATTTTTTAGAATTAATTGAGTTTCTAATTAAACTTTTTTTTATAAATTGTGTTGCGGAACGATCGTACGAGATTAATGCAACACGGTGGCACGGAACAGAATATTTAGTAATCGAATGTTGATTGGTTAGGGACTATTAAAGACTTCTAGTCTTAAATAGTCTGATTCCATTTTAGTATTACCTGTATGTATAAGCCTTGATTAAATTCCAACGACTTTTTTACTTCAACATCTGACCGATTTTTAATTACCTACTTCTTGTTCATGTGATTCATCGTGTCCGTTACCCAGGCCAGATGTTGTCGACAATGGTCATTTGAATCTTATAGATAATTAGTTGTGCGGCTTCTGTAATTGTTGCGCACATTTTTAAATTTGTTGCGCTTAAAGTTTTTTAATTATTTCACAAAAACATTTCCTGCTGGCGTAACGTTACCACAGCCAGACCTTTTTATTTCTAATGGGAATATTTAAATAAATATTAGCTATAAAATTAGTTGTCTAGATAAAGTAAATGTTGTGCCTTATTTTGTATTTGTTCTTTCTTCGGTTGCGAAGTTATTCGAGATTTTGCTGCGGTAACGTTTTTGGTTTTGCTAGATCTTTGAAATGGTTAAGCGGATTCTTATCATATTTTGTACACGACTTCCGAGGACTTAGTTTAACAGAGTAGTTTAGAGAAGTTTTAAAGAGAAAAACACTTCAATTGGCCCAGCACTCTCAATAAGAAGTCTAAAGACTTATTTACATTACATTACGTTTAAAGTAAGTCTTTAGACTTCTTATTGAGAGTGCTGGGGCCAATTGAAGTGTTTTTCTATTTAATGAAAAAACCTTTAAAATATGCATTATTTTGGTTTTGTTATTGCACAACAAATTTAAACTAAGTCCTCGGAAGTCGTGTACAATATATGATAAGAATCCGCTTAACCATTTCAAAGATCTAGCAAAACCAAAAACGTTACCGCAGCAAAATCTCGAATAACTTCGCAACCGAAGAAAGAACAAATACAAAATAAGGCACAACATTTACTTTATCTAGACAACTAATTTTATGGCTAATATTTATTTAAATATTCCCATTAGAAATAAAAAGGTCTGGCTGTGGTAACGTTACGCCAGCAGGAAATGTTTTTGTGAAATAATTAAAAAACTATAAGCGCAACAAATTTAAAAATGTGCGCAACAATTACAGAAGCCGCACAACTAATTACCTATAAGATTCAAATGACCATTGTCGACAACATCTGGCCTGGGTAACGGACACTGATTCATCTTTTTAATAATATTTATTTTATTTGCAGACTGCGACCACTACTTCACTCGTTCGCTATAGATTTGATGGATACTGCCCGTGAATGGCCTCGACCCAACGTATTGGCCCACGTCAATGTTCGGGCGTATTTCGAATCTCAACGAGAGAGGCAGCTGGTGGTTTTGAACGCGTGGTTCGGAGAATGGGGACCTGAGCGACGACAACGCACTGCTCGACTAATACCTGGCAGCCATGTAAGTTCCAAATTCAAGCTGTGAATTCAAAATCGATCCATAGATAACCGGTCACTATCATAATAGTTCTTTAGAAAAAATCAGTAGGCGATCCAAAAGGGCCCAGGTAGATGTTTTAAAACTGCGATTCCTAATCCTTATTATAATTGTTAAGCGGGGACGTTTTCAAGCAGCTGATGATAAAATCAGTTAATTGGTATTCGTGTTAATTTGTCCTCCTGTTTCTAATTGCCTGTTGCTGAGTCATTAGTTAAAACTACGAGTGCGGTACCAGTCCAATGAACTAAATTTGTGACTGTACCTAGGTACAGTCACAAATTTAGTTACATTTAGTTATATACCTAGGTATTAGGTGGGTACTCGTAAATATATGTATAAGTATAAATACTACCTACGAGTGCAGGTAATTATTAGCATTGTGGATTATTGAGGTAACAATATTAGTTTTCCTATCGGTAAATACCTAAATGCATTTATTATGTGCGTCACTTCAATGCGAAACCAACTAACACGTTTTAGTAACTTAATTTACTCTGCAAAATGATGAATTCGATTTCTTATAACAATGGCTTTTTCATTATTCATCTAAATTACTGGAACGCACTTGACATTACGACGTCAATAGTCATGATGATTCTTACAGTTTAAATGTTATTTTCCAGACAAAATTACGAATTGTTCGTCAGCCGGCGGATTGGGCGATTTATGCGGATGACCTTCTGATTGGTGAACTGGAATTTCGCGCTTCAGCCAACGGTGTACGTGCAGTCCGTATTCGTGGCGACCTCTATCCAGAGCAGATGTACCTATGTCCGGCCACTAGCTCTCCTATAAGGGAATAGCTTTAAAAAAACATGTTTCGTGCAAAAATTTTGACTTAGATATACACGGCTCTGACAGATTTCTTCAAAATCTTCATAGGCATACAAGTCAAGCTTTCACTAAATAAATCTTTGACTAAGAGATATGTCTGTTTAAATGTGCCACGCTTGAACTCGATCTGTTTTTTTTCTTTTTTATAATATACTTAGTATGTAAAAAGCGAATGCAATTCTCTGAAGTCAATTCTGATAAGTTGAGCCATTGTTGTATTTTTGCATTTATTATAAATATATTTACATATTTACTATTGTTGATTCTCTTTAAGGAGATCTGTCGGATTATAACAGATATTGACTTAACAAATTATAGGGTTTGAAAATTATTATTACGTGACCTAAGTATAACACCAAAGTACAATAATTAATCATGGTTTAGCCGTTTGTTATTATAATAGGTCAGTCTAGTTTTAGAAAAAAGGATTTATTAATTTATTATCTGAACTCATTTTAACTGAGTTTGATATTAAATGTTTATTACTGCCTTAATAGTATTTACTCGTTATAAAACTTGTGCTGTAAGAATATTTTTTAGATAAAATGATCTTGAATTGTGTTGAGATTTTATATTTAAAATATATAAAATGCCTATTATTACTTACTTGTTTGTATAAGTAATCATTGAACATTCTAACTAAATACATTGCATCACTGAAAATGACGACGATGACGTTGACCGATACATACCTAAGTATATTTTTATAAAAACATAATGTAAAGATACTTAATTAAATTTACATCGACACATTATTTGAGTGTAAGTAATGTCGTACGAATAGTAAATATTATTTATTTTTGCAAAATAACGCTTTACTCCTTTATGTTTTCTGTACTTAGACATCATGCCTATGTTCTGCAATTACTTATCAAGTAATAAATATTTGAAGAATGTTACAAAACATCGTTTTGATTTAGTTGCTAATAAATGCCCAAGTGTTTACCTTATTATACCCTTATGCTCATCATCACTACGGTCCAGAGTCCCACATGTCAGTTATTCTACTCGTTGGCAACAGACAAGGTGCCTGGTGCATAGTAAATATGACACTGACTTCTTTTTTATGTGAAAGCTCAGCAAATTAGTATTCCTGGTGGCCTGGAGATTAGGGCACCCGCTTCTCACGAATGAGTTAATATTTAGATACCACTGACATACGGCGAAGGAAATCATCGTGAGGAAACCTGGACTTTATAGTTTATAATTATTATTATAACTTTGAAATCGCCAATCCGATTTGAGTAGGTAAGCGTGGTGACTACTGCTCAAACCATCTCCGTGTGAGAAGAGGCTCATTGCTTAGCAGTAGGCACTTTCGTAGGTATATAGGCTGATGATGTGTGAGGTCGGGATACAAGCAGCCAGATTACCTGATAGTATAAGCAATCGGCGCCGCCCATGGACACTTGCTACTCTAGAGGAGTTACGAATGCGTTACCGGACTTTTGGAGATATGTGTTTTCTGTAAGGCTGTGGTATCACTCCGGTCGAGCCGACACATTTGTGCCGAAGCCATTTGTTTTCCCACACTTCTTGCTTATTTTGTGAAAAAGTACCTTCTTAATATAGTATTATTGGCGTCTACACGCAAGTACATATAATTTTAAAATAACTTGGGCTTGGATACGCAATAATGCTAAATAAATTATTGAAATTATTTTAAGGATTTTGAATTTAATCCAATAGATAGTTTAGTTGTGTAGTATTTCATGTCGCAACAGCACGCCCCAGTTTATGTGTTTAGTAGGACGCAATACGACACAACACGCCACGCAAATTTGCCATAACCATAGTAAAATGATGTGGGATTAGTAAATGTATAAAACCGATAGGCTTCTCTCGCAACACAACAAGACATAGTCCGTTTCTCTCGCGACACTACAAGAATTTTTGTGCGCTACTTGTGGTTCTTGCATCCTCTTAAATAATGAAGCAATTAATAACAATTTTTATCAAACTTCATAAAACGTTTGCAAAGAAAAAAATAAAGTGCAAATATCGATCGACGAACTTATCGAGAATATCTAACCATCTTGACGGGCCAACATAACTTTGTCCATGGTACAAATGTTGTCATTGTCATCACCAGCTGGATTTGACACCTGGCAGCTGTCAACTAAAGATAGCAAAATATAAAGAAAAATACAAATAAAACGATTGCCGATGAGAAAATTATGACAAATTTTGTATGAAGTCATTTATAGTAACTGTACAAACAGTAATGAGAATATAATTACCTCAACCGAAGACAGTTAAACTTCTAAAAAAATTAAGAAAACACTCAAAACAAACCGGTTCGTAGTCTGTGGTAGTTTTATATGTTTGACCTTCTCAAGGTGACCGATATCGCAAACCGCGTTTGATCAGTCAGGGTTGATAGGGTCTAGCGGTTGCACGGGCTTTACCTGATTATATCCGAGTTTATTCAAAATGAGCGTACAAAGCGATTCGGATAAGCGGAAACAAATCTCTGTGCGAGGAATCGTTGCAGTAGAAAATGTTACCGAAGTGAAGAAAGCATTTAATCGTCATGTTCATTACACTCTCGTGAAGGACAGAAATGTTGCGACTCCAAGAGACTACTACTTTGCCTTGGCCCATACCGTGAGGGACCACCTCGTCTCACGCTGGATTCGGACCCAACAATACTACTATGAAAAAGACCCCAAGGTAAGACTACAAAATATTAACTTTTGTCAGAAGTTACCCACTAAATAATAGTAAAGTTTACATCTGAAATTAACAAACTTTTTGATTAAAGTATGACAATCCAATTCATTACCGGTACCTTTGTATGATACTATTATTAAAGTATTATGAAACAAAGATATTTTCAAATATGAGTATCTTTCCCCTTTTCTCATTGTTTTTGTAGTATTTATATCAATTTGTATTGTAGTTTATTTATTTATTGCCTGTTTCAAAACAATATGGTATTTTATGATTTGTCTAATTCAAACAATTTTATAGTTAAATTGGTATTTAAAATTTTTGTTGATGTGTATTTTTTTTTTTTTTTGTTATAGCGTGTATACTACCTCTCTTTGGAGTATTACATGGGTAGATCCTTGCAAAACACCATGATCAACCTGGGTATCCAGGGCACAGTAGATGAAGCTCTGTACCAACTTGGGTTAGATATTGAGGAACTCGAGGAGCTGGAGGAAGATGCTGGGCTTGGTAATGGAGGTCTGGGACGCTTGGCAGCTTGCTTCCTGGACTCCATGGCTACTCTCGGATTGGCCGCATATGGTTATGGTAAGTCAATTCAACAAAGAATAAGATAATCTGCATCCCACATGAATAAAACCTGATCAAAACAATACTTTTCCAACTGTTACAGAAATGTTAACCATTTACTAAGCTAAGCTACTAAGCTTTTCTGTAAATTTTCTGGCATTAAAAATGATACATACACATAAAAGGCTCAAATGGCATATTTAAAGTGAAATACAGTACAGAGGCTGTTAACACATAATGTTGACAGCAGATGCAACCATATAAATTATTTAAAGAAACTGTTAAAGATCATCCACAGGACATTGGGGAACATACTTGACATTATTTTAGCCAGCATAAACTAATTTGAAGCAGTTGACAACATCGCCGCTGGCGCATCGCCAATTATAAATGTACAAACTAAATTGAACACTTTAACCTATAACCATTTTGAATGCTTTCAGTATTGTTCAATCCCGTAACTACTTTATTTGCTTAGTAGGTAATTATTACCTAGCTCGTCGGATTGTCTACTTGCTATGGATAATCAGTCTGCATAACTGATTGTCCATATATCCAATATGTTTACTCATAATAGGGCAAAATTATTTTCCGAACTAAAATTCGGAATGTTCGTGACGGAAAATACTTAGAATCGATAAATATTAATAACTTATAATTTGTTGTAAAATTCTCTAGATGTCATTCGCAACCTTACGGTTTTTATTTGATAGACAACAGGAAGATAAGCTAACCGATGAAAAAAGGTCAACGTCCGTATACCACGCAATGTTCATGCCAGACATATTATCTGCGTTTACATAATATCATTTACTAAAACAATTCTTAAAGTTTAATGCATAGCAAACTAAAACAATTCAACAAAGGTACACTGAATTAAAGAATTAAATGAATAGTTTTTCTTTCTTTATCTTTCTAAGAAGTTTTGTGCGAATATCACCTTCATTATTTCTGCTTCGTGGATCGAGATCGACCGTATTCGAATATTCGAAAACTAATTTTAGTTACTTCTCATACTTAGTTTACTGCAGAATAAAATAAAGAAATACAAAAATAACATTTTCGTTGTTTGGTTATGTCAATGTCTGATCTACTACTCGTAAAGTCGTATTCATCGTTAATGCAATTTATCGAAACTAATAGACTTATATTCCACCACATAGGTATTAGGTACGAGTATGGTATATTCGCGCAGAAGATAGAACATGGTGAACAACAGGAGGAGCCTGATGATTGGCTGCGGTACGGCAACCCTTGGGAGAAGGCGCGCCCTGAGTTCATGTTGCCCGTCAACTTCTACGGCCGCGTGGTTGACACGCCAGATGGAAAGAAATGGATTGATACCCAGGTATGTACTTAAATGTATAGGAAAAGTAACCCGTGTCCTATTCCGGAGTGTATCCTATGCCTGTGCCAAGATTCATCCAGATCCGTCCAGCCGTTTTGGCGTGATTGAGTAACAAACATCCAAATATCGTAACTTTCGCATTTATAATATTAGTAAAAAGTAAGATTTGCCTTTCCTTGCGGGGAATAAAGGTAAAAATACTGTAATGGTGAGAGAGAGAGAGTCGCAATATTTTCGTAAACATTGTTCGGCTCACTAGCCAAGTAATGATTACTACCTCTTGATTTATTTTCGTGCCTGCATACCTACTTATAACTGTGTTGACTATACTTATTAGATGTAAGTATCTATGTGTATCAATCAGAACATACGAACACTTAGTAAGATTTTTTTACATTCCCCTTTCCCTATTAGGTATGTACCTACAAGAAAAATGGGTGTAACCTACACTAATTTATTATTGTCAAATACTTCCAACAAGTAGTCCATTCATACATCAATATTTAATACTTATTAAATAGTACCTATGCATACTAAAATAATCTACTCAGCCATTGACAAAATGAACACAAAGTTCAAGAGCCCCTCTCTTTCTCATGTATCATCACCGTGTAGGTATTTAGTTTTACAACTATATATTATCTGCCTCTCAAATCAAGTACTTAGGTATTAGGAAAGGATTATTTAGAATCGATTCTCTATTGCCGAAGTAGATAATGACTATGAAAATTCAGCTTCCATTACTTAGATAAAGTGAGACACATAATAATCTCTTGTTTACATAGCGATTTTTACCAATATGTTCTGAACAGAATTCTATAATTACCAAAAAACAAAAATACGCATATTTTTACCGTTACATTTAAAAATGTATATATATCTGAAATATGTTGGTAAGAATGGGTAGGTGTCCGTCTCACAGTTACAACCGCGTCAATTGCTCCTCATGCACCAATTTTCCATTTATACCAATAGGTATTATTGTTACGTTCCCCACTGACCAAATTGTTAAAGTTATACTATATACTTTAGTAGGTACCTGCTTCGGTTTTACCTTAATCGTATATATATAAAAGAAAGTCGTGTTAGTTACACCACTTATAACTCAAGAACGGCTGAACCGATTTAGCTGAAAATTGGCAGGGAGGTAGTTTAAAGCCAGGAGAAGGACCTAGGATAGGATAGAGTTGGTAGAATAGGTCAGGTAGAGTAAGGTAGGTAGAGTAGGGTAGGTAGAGTAGGGTAGGTAGAGTAGAGTATGTAGAGTAGGGTAGGAAGAGTAGGGTAGGTAGAGTAGGGTACGTAGAGTAGGGTAGGTAGACTAGGGTAGGTAGACTAGGGTAGCTAGAGCAGGGTAGGTAGAGTAGGGTAGGTAGAGAAGGGTAGGTAGAGTAGTCTAAGTATTGTAGGGTAGGTAGGGTAAGTAGTCAAATGACGGGAGCGACGCCGCGGGTAAGAGCTAGTATATGTATAAAAGATACTAGCGCTATATCTAAGTAGGTAGAGGGACATAAAAGTATCTAAATAGGAAGTGGAGATGGTATAATGCATTTAATATAAATAGTTTTTGTTTTAAATAAACAAAAATGTTGCCGACTTTTTTTGTGAGGGGAAAATCATCCAATGACTTCTCCCGCCCATTATGGTCGGGCGGGTCGGACCCTGGGCTATCATCCTAACTAATACAATAAGTGCCAAGTTAATCTAACAAACTTATATACGTAGCACAGGGTACATTAATCTAGAGGGTAATAAATATGTACCTAACCTACCTAAATACTCGCTCAGGCAAAGGTGCTATTCAAAATTTGTAAATACCTCTATAATAATCAATAACCATAAATTTATTATTGTGTGTGCATTTCATTCCTTGTTGATTCTTTCTTGAACTTATTAACTTGAACTTGTGGAGATAACAATACGATGCTTATCGTCAATATACGTCGCCTGACTTCAGTACTTAGGTACTTGTTGACAATGATCATGTGTCAACAACAAATGTCCCGTGCCGATGCTGTGTGATGTGTGACGCGTGTTTATTTCATGCTGAATGAATGTTTTGTACCTACTGCTACGTGTTCGCTGGCCGCCCTGATAAATAAACTTTTGGCACTATTTTTAGGTAGTCGGATAAACACTTATCAATCACAAAAATTGCCCTCATTCATTCAAATAATATACAATTAATTAAGTAGATATGAAAATGTATCCACTCTATGTAAGTGCAGAATCAACACGACTTAGCTTAAATTAAACAGATAATATTGATTGAAATTGTAATAGTGAAGTAATTAAAATTGTAACGTTGTTGTCAGGTCGTGTTTGCGATGCCCTACGATAACCCGATTCCCGGCTACAACAATAATGTCGTCAATACACTACGACTTTGGTCTGCGAAGAGTCCTGTCGACTTCAACTTGAAATTCTGTAAGTTTCGAGAATACTATTATGAACATGTGATGAAACCGAAACACCTATCTGTATAAGTGCTAATTGTTATCCAATTATTTCCAGTCAACTCTGGCGACTACATCCAGGCTGTACTCGATCGTAATGTCGCCGAGAACATTTCTCGAGTACTCTACCCCAACGACAACTTCTTTGAAGGCAAGGAGCTGCGTTTACGTCAAGAGTACTTTATGTGTGCTGCTACTCTACAAGATATTATCAGGAGATACAAGAACTCTAAATTCGGCAGCAGGGAGGCTGTCAGGACAACATTTGAAAGCCTTCCCGAGAAAGTAGCCATACAACTGAACGACACCCACCCCGCGCTTGCCATTCCTGAACTTCTTAGGATTTTGATCGACATTGAGAAGGTTCCTTATGACAAGGCATGGAAGCTGGTTACTCAGTGCTGCGCCTACACTAACCACACCGTTTTACCTGAAGCTCTAGAGAGATGGCCCACCACCATGTTAGAGAATGTGTTGCCCAGGCACATGCAGTTAATTTACCACATCAACTTCTTGCACCTGCAAGAGGTTGAGAAGCGCTGGCCTGGCGACATGGACCGCTTACGTCGTATGTCCCTCATCGAGGAAGAGGGAGAAAAGCGAGTGAACATGGCTCACTTGTGTGTAGTGGGATCCCACGCTGTAAACGGAGTAGCGGCCATTCACTCTGAGATCCTCAAAGCGACTGTATTCCGTGACTTCTATGAAATGTGGCCAGAAAAGTTCCAGAACAAGACTAATGGTATCACGCCCCGCCGTTGGTTGCTCCTCTGTAACCCGGGACTTTCTGATCTCATCTGTGACAAGATTGGTGAAGATTGGACAGTCCACCTGGAGAAGTTGCAGCAGCTGAAGCGCTGGTCTAAAGACCCTGCTTTCCAACGGGCGGTCATGAAGGTGAAGCAGGAGAACAAGTTAAGACTTGCGTCTCTTATTGAGAGGGATACGGGGGTGAAGATCAACCCGGCGTCGATGTTCGACGTGCAGGTGAAGCGTATCCACGAGTACAAGCGTCAGTTGCTGAACATCTTGCACGTCATCACGCTCTACAACCGCATCAAGCGCGACCCGTCCGCGCCTGTCACTCCCCGGACAGTCATGATCGGAGGAAAGGCTGCACCCGGCTACTACGTCGCCAAGCAAATGATTGCCCTGGCTTGTGCCGTCGGTAACACTGTACGTATAAACATCAGCTAATTAGTCCTAGCTACTAAAATGTTGTATTTTAAGATTTTCACGTAACACTGGTTTATTTTTATTCAGGTAAACAATGATCCTGATGTCGGAGACAAGTTGAAGTTGATATTCTTGGAGAACTACCGCGTCACGTTGGCTGAGCGTATCATGCCCGCTGCGGACCTAAGTGAACAGGTTCGTCCACTATTTTACTTAAATCCTCAAGTCAACAAAAAAAGGTTTCATATGATTGTAATCGATCCATAGTAACAATGAAGTAACGAGTGATAATCTATTCACGTGACCAATACTATCTGAACGGGAATTGCCATAAAATTCACAAATGAGAATGCTCTGTAATTTCATTATTGTAGGCTCATACCTTATCACAGTTCTGTTATCACCATTATTTTATATTGTGTGTACCATATTTGTGTACCTATAAGGTAGAGAGCATTCAGCACACGTGTGAGTAATTGATTACAGAAGAGTAATCGAACATAACTAATAATGGCTGATTAAGTGAACTTTATTATTGTAATCAATTCATATTTGATTATCATATAAGATGCTTTATGTCCACTACTTGCGTCTGTGAGCGGCTTCATCCGCATAACCCAGATCCAAAGTAGCTTACCTATTCATTATACTAGACTGTATTTCTGGGCTAATTTTCTTCAAAATCCGTTCAGCAGCATTTACGAAGTAGGAATTACATGAATGAAGACTATGCACTATGACTTTGTGCGTTTACGTGAAACTTTTCCACGGAAGTGACGGAACACTTCCAGTTTTAGTTTGATGTCCTAAGGATAGGTACAACAAAACGTTATCGTTAGGTTAGGAACTCTACGATCTTAAATCTTTCTAGTAACGTAATCCCATTTTGTCGCAGTATATGATGATATTTATTGTATTCTGCATGGTCGCCCCATCACCTTATTCTTCCACATTACTCGTATCATTTCTGAATCCTTCTAATTTCTATAATCTACATTATAGATTTCGACGGCTGGTACCGAAGCCTCGGGTACTGGTAACATGAAGTTCATGTTGAACGGTGCCCTCACCATCGGCACCATGGACGGCGCCAATGTCGAGATGGCCGAGGAAGCTGGAGAGAACAACTTCTTCATATTCGGCATGAGGGTCGATGATGTCGAAGCTTTGCAAAAGAAGGGGTGAGCCAACTGATTTTATTATTATTATCATTGATACTAACTCCGTTGAACTCCTTTGGAGTACACGTGTTCTAGAGTGGAGACCACGTCTAGGCAAACGTAGTGTAGAGCGCCCTCCAGCTAGGTAGACTGACGATATCCGCAGGGTGGCTGGCAGTGGTTGGATGAGAAGAGCTGAACATCGAGCTCAGTGGCGTGCAATTGGGGAGGACTATGTCCCGCAGTGGACCAATTCAGGCTGATGATGATGATGATGATGATGATGACTACTAAGATAAATCTTCTTATAAATAAAATGAATTTCTATTCATTAGTCTCACTAAATCACGAGAACGGTTGGTCCAATTTGAGTAATTTTGGTCTTGACTAGTCTTGAGGTATTTGTGAAATTCTTAATTCTTCTTCTTACTAATACTTCTTCCTAATACTTCTTCTTAATAATGTATTATCTACTTTATTTTGACGCGGTGAGTTAATTTGAACTTAGTACCACCTCAAAATACGGTCAGCTAGTATATTTGTCACAATTTATCAATCAAATATTTATTTGTTTTTCCAAAATATTATGCTTATCTAGGTAAATCACATTTTTGGGGATGCTCGTAAAATAAGTATTTATTCAAATATCATTAGCTGGATTTTCATTTTGTAATTTTATTTTACTACATTAACGTTATACTTAAGCTGCCTACTATCACGCTTACGCTACTATTAAAAACAAATACTCACGCCGCTGGAACTATACAGTTAGTTACCAACAACGGAACATGAAAGCCAGAGTTCAAGTCAATAAGAGCTAAATGGCTCACTTAATAAGGTTTTAATTACGAGTTACTCTATTAAAATAACATTTTCACTTCAGTTGCCTTGTGCTTATCAATGTTTTTAATACAAATATATTGCAAAACACTGCATTATGTAATGCACCGAGAAATACACGCGAAAGCAGTGTGTAAACATGACGCTCAGGGTCGCGATTGAAATTATCACGTGTAATTATAATCAGGGCGATTAATGAAGTAGTACTGATTAGCAGTTAGAATTGTTTTTTAATGTAGCAACTGGGTTTATCTTCTTCATTCATTAATCTAGTCTGTCACTTTAGGTACCTATTGAAATAAAATAAAATTTTGATGGTAACCCTTCGTTCGACCTTTAATTCTGAACGAAGACGTATTAATTATGGCGTGCCTCAAGGAAGCGTCTTAGGGCCATCGCTATTCTTAATCATAGAATTAGAAAATTGTTTATTGAAATCTACACAGTTTTGCATGTATTATCATAAAAAAACACTCTGTATATAGATCTTAATTTCTTTATTACCCATCATACTAGTGATTGTTTTTTCTTTTTCTGGGATTATAAAACAGTAACAAAGTCTATAATTTCAATATTGATTTATTTAAAACGGAAATTCAAAGGAATCGCCAAAGAGAAACCGTTTGTTTATTGTTTACAATTACATTTTGGCATCACCTACAAAACTTTCGCTATTTACTGGGCGTATTTCCAACTTCACGTCGAATACGTTGTTGATCATAAATATTAATAATGTTAATCGTAGTATAACTAACTGATCATAAGAAACTATGTAGTTCCATTTTAGACGGTGGTATGGGTGAATCCATAATGACCTAGTGTATTACTTTTTGCAAATTTGCTAGTTTGCAATATCTAGAGGTCAAAAATGTCAAAAACGACACTCTGCTGTAATAAGCAAGAAAATTTGAGAATCAAGTGTATTGAAAGGTCGATGAACTAATGTATACTTTGTTGTCATCAATACTTTATTGTATTCAATATTAATATTCGTTAACTACAGCACGTTTTTATAGGGAACCTATTGTCATTATTGTCAGTGATGAAAAGATTAGAATCAAAGTATTTTTACCCAGACTAGATTTCGCTTGCTATCGTTGAACGATATCTATGGACGTGTAACCTAACCATAAAGTTACAATCTCAAAGTTACATATTATAAAACAATTTATTTCTTAAACAGTTACAATGCATACGAATACTACGAGCGCAATCCGGAACTTAGGCAGTGCATAGAGCAGATTCGTAGCGGATTCTTCTCCCCGGGCGAGCCGGGCCGGTTCGCGCACATCGCCGACGTACTACTGCACCACGACCGCTTCTTACACCTGGCTGACTATGACGCCTACATCGAGGCACAGGAGAAAGTCTCCAATGTTTACCAGGTATGTAATCTTATATTAATTGTAAATATTTGGTCCTTTGGCCTAAATCCTCCCACTTTCCATATCCAATCACTAAATACAACCTTCAAAACTGTCGCCAAAAGGCCTATTATGTATGCAAGCGTATTTGACTTGTATACATAATACCAAGACTGATTACCTGATAGTTAGTAATCGGCGTCGCCCATGGGCCCCCAAAACGTAGGAATCACAAGAGCATTGCTACCTTTTGGGTGTTGTTAGGGATTGGTGGATTATAGAATTGAAGATTGGGTTGGATTGACATAGATAAATATATTTGGGAAGAGAAAGGAGCCTTCATTAACCGAAATACAAGACAAGTGTTGTTCACGCCTGGCCCTGCGGGCCCATTCGCGACGACTTTTTTTTCTACTCCTACTAGCGGTTGCGACCTTCAGTATCTCATGGTTGTGTTAATTTTTAATCAATACCAGATTGGTCCCCATTTTTAAATACAAAGACCTTTCCCATATTTTTCTATTCCTAACAAAGTCTGGTTAAAATATCGTAGAGTTTGAAAGGTCGATTTCGACGCTGTAGTTTCGCTATATTTGTACAAACACCACTAAATAAATAATCCTCTTAAGAGCCCTCATTGTTAAACCCCACTTGGCACTTAAACGGTTGCTTAGTTTATTTCTTTATAACAAGCAATAAATTTTACAATAGATAATTCTGACTAAAACCGTCTTCAATGTATTATTCTCATAATTTGTGCATATTTTTTAACAATGATGTCATTTATAAAGTCTTACCAGTTATCTTCTGATGAGTGGGTGAATAAGTATGATATAATTCGTTATAATGTGGGTTATCAACAGTGAAATGTATCGGCCGTGCTCTGTTCAACCTTTAGGTCCAATAATAACACATTAGCAATTACTTATCTCATATCTCATATTGACATAATTTGGCACTCGATAAAGAAATACATCGAGTCAAAACGATTTCGCTTTCTAGTGTTTTTCGTATATTTTTCAAGCAAGGATAAAATATTAAAAATATATACTACCAATGTGCCAATATTTTGGAATATTGTTATAAAGAATAGTTTTTAATTAAATGTGTAGCAGTAGAAATAACCGCACTATTATGTTCATTTTTTGAATAAAACCCTTTTTTTCTGTCGTAAGGGACACCCTACTACAATAGATTTTTTATGGTCACAATACCGAAACACGTAAATTGTTTATTCATAAATCTTTCTTTATGCAGAACCAGTCGAAGTGGGCTGAGATGGTGATTGAGAACATTGCATCGTCCGGCAAGTTCTCGTCTGACCGTACCATCGCAGAGTATGCGCGGGAGATCTGGGGCGTGGAGCCATCCTGGGAAAAGCTGCCAGCACCCCACGAGACCAACTAAACCTTCCCAATGCCCCACTGCCGAACCATGTTGACCCATAAAATATATTAATACTACGGTAATACACACCAATATCCTAGGAATATAACAGTGCCGGATTAAGCGCGCGGGGCCCCTACAATATTCTATTGAGCGGCCCGCGAAGGCAACTAAAGGCGAAGGTGATTGATTGTTGAAACCTCTTTTACCGCAAGGCCCAAAGCAATATCTGCTTTACTGCGTGTTTAATTTGGCACTTAATACCTTGATCAAGCATATTATTATTGTAAAACAATAAGATCGCTAAAGCCTTCAATGTTTACTATATTCTTTTAAATAAATTATCTAAATGATATTTATATAGTATGTGGAATTTTCTTAATCTCGATGTGCAGTAGAGTGCCAAGAAAATTATTGAAATGTAGTCAGATATGTATATTTTTATTTAATTTTTGTATACACAATGTGAAACATATGTATTGAGTCCTTTGCTACAATGTTTACGTAAGTATATACATATAAATAAATAAAATCTATTATCGTATTGTAGTGTTAAGTATAATACAATTTTGAAAGCTACTAGACTAGATGTTGAGAATATGTTTAGTAAATTTTAGATAGATTTATCTTTGGCAATTATGAGTAGATGTTGATGTCGAAGTTATAATAAATGCTTCTAGCGGCAAGAAGGTAATAAGCTCGTTACATACTCTAGTACTAACGTTCCTGAATACTTAGCCCTTACTGTTGGATGTTATGTCTTAAACTAGACAATGTAAAGAATTTATTTTTATGTGCCATACATTTTTGTATTTATAAAAAATAAATCTATTATTGAGAACACTATATTCTAATGTGACGTCTGCTAAAACTTCCAAAGTCACTTTGCATTCAATTACATAAGTATTGGAATAATGGTCTATAATTTTTTAAGAATATTTTTCTATAACTGTTATATGCCAGAAATGATTATTATACTAATACTGCCATTGAAATGTTATTTATTTTCATGTTGTTATTAATTATGATTCTACTTTTAATAAAATATAATATCGATTTAGTTTTTTTTTCACTGTACACTTTACAACCAATTAAGACGCTTTCACAAGATATAGCTACGTATTGTAAATAATGTTCCAGTCGATAGCTCACATCCTTCGAGACATGAGTGAGACGGAGCTAACCACCTTGAATTCAATATAATCCGACGAGGAGTATACACGCAAGTGCGGAGTAAACGGCCGCGAGTAGCGAGTATCTTTACGAATTTCCTGCGTGCGCATTACTTTCATGTCCTGCGACCCTCGTTTTGGCCAGGACTTTGTTGATTCGCTGAGCCGTAGAGCAGACACGATATACTACATCTATCCTTTTCTGCGGTCCGATGTCATCGGCCGTTTATATCATAGCTATACAAGTTACTCATACCGCGTCTGTAGCTTGGGCGGGTCGGTTGTCGCCACTCGTCCCTTCGCGTGTGTTGTGTGAAGTGTTGTGGGTGCTGCGCTGAGCCAACTCTCGGTCTTCTCAGGTAAGGCTATTACAATACAGTAATCTATTTTCATTCACTTTCATGCCGTGTTTATGTTATAAAAGGATTTTTTGCAAAGCGCAGAGCCGGCGAATGCGCGACCACGATCGATAACGATGTTGTCTCGAACATGTAGATATAGAGTCGCCTGCAATATCTTGCTTTTAATTTAATATTTCCTTCTCTGATATCATATTTACATTTGTAGACAATGTTTTAATAATAATTCTGTATCAAAGACGACTTTGAGTCAATTTATCACCCCCATTTAGAACGGTTCGCCGACTATCGTTGAAAGCATGTACCGACTTGAATTGCACTAAATAATGGAATTTATTTAATTTCTTGAATTAAACAAGCAATCAAATTGAATTGTCGGCCGCATTTGTCCCAATCTAAAGAACAAAATGCCAGTGGGTGGCGGATATTGAGAAACTGCCTGGTCACTCACGTTTCGCAATTATCGATCTAATTCGGATGTTATTTTTGATATGGGTACGATTTTGCTGATACGCACTTTTTAAATATTTGGCTTCCTTCATCTCCTTTTACAAGTGACGGGAAAATGTAGGAGTTTCTAGGATAACTTTTTAAATTAATTAACGTTCTTAGTTGGTTTTCCGACCTAGTACATGCGTTGTTTTGAATTAAGCTTCATATATTATAATGTATCATCCACACACAGGTAGCTTTGAGTAATCGGTGTGATTCATTCAGTTGTAAGTCGTAGCACGTGGTGAAGCAGACACCTCCCATACATTGAATTTCTTAGTAGTAGTAGTCTGGAATATGCGCTGTAACGATATGAAAACAAAGTAAGAGAGAAAACGTAGTTCCGTACGTACAATTTAAAATGGAATAAGTTCAACACTTACTGCAAGCCAGAATGTTATACTAACTTAGATAATTCTTCCACTAAATAGGTATAAATAGCAGCTAGACTATCTAACAAGCTAGCTTTCGCTGCAAAGAAAACCGGTATTTTCATAAAATTAGCTCTACGAAGAAAATGTTGGTCATTCCTTACATTTGCGTTTCATTACTTAAGTACGATTCTGCACTGTTGCATTGTGTGTGCAGTGTTAAGAACTTATAACTTAAATATTTTTTATTTAGGCCATCAATTTGGGCAGCCCCTCGATTTCGACCTTCCCCTAGTTTCGCAGTTAAGAGGGGCGACGATTCGTTTGGAAGTGCCCCACGAACAACAGCTTTAAATGAAATTAACAAAATAAAGGCAGTTTCTCGAAATTGAGCGATGTACAGCGATTGGCCGAAAAAGCCTGTTCCTCAACGGCAGGTGCAAAACGTTCCAAAACAGATGGAGCGTGTTTTTCGAGCACTTTAGCAGGTAGTCGAACCGCCCTTTACAATAATATTCTGAAGAATAATTCGTGCCTTTGTGGTAAATCAAACAATAAGACTTGTTGCTTTCTTTTTTAGATCACTTATAATGATTACTTGTTATATAGGAGTTAACGATGTTATTATGTATTTCTCTAGTTACGTTATTAAATGTCTTACTGAACGAAAAGATAATATTATAATACTTAGGCGTTTTCAAGAATTTAATGCCTTTCTCAAGGATACAGGTAACTAAGCAGCCATTGAGAATTTACAATCTCACAATCTTGGCAATCAATTTTGAAACTTGTCAGTCAGTTAGATACCTCTATAGACATAGGTACCATGTGTACCTATGTGTCTTTTTCCTGCGCAGGAGGGTGACTTTATGGGGGAGGGGAAGAATTCGCTATCTTTACTTCCATTTAGCAAAGGAGGAGGGGGGAGGAGACTCGTATTACAGCTTCCCAGACGGCTCGGAGGCGATCCGATCCATTCTATTCAACGAAATATCTATCTATAACGACAGCTTAATACTTACGTACTGAGCTGAGCCCGTCTTCAGGCGTTCAGACGTGGAGTTCATAGACATTCGGTTACTGAAGTTTTCAATGTTAGATTACAATAATGCCAGTGCACACTCTTGTTGTGATTGGATCGGATAAGATAGTAAAAGTGCAATATCTGTATGTACCGCTAAAAGATAAAACTGTTACCAGTAGGACCGTAGATAATGTTTACATTACAAAGGTAATTAGCCAAAGGGCTGACCCATATTAAGTAGGTACAAGGTCAACACATCTATTAAATACATAGTACTACAGTTGTCTGTTTACCCCTTTGCTTCATATATGTAGACATAATAAACTTTTTATATTTATCACATCATTGTCGACTTAAAAGGAGTAAAAAAGAATACATGAATACAAACGGAGGCGTTTGCCAATTTTATATTGCAAAAAGCAACCAGGGTTGCATTTAAATCTCCTAATTTCCTTTCTTCATTTGCAATAAACTAAAATAATAAATTATATTTCGTTTCACGTTCGTCTGATATATGTATGTAAATATATGTAAGTACGTACGTACGTACCCCAACGCAACGCTCTCTCGTTGAATCCAAACACGAGCGGCGCGTAGCCATTTCTGGATAATGGAGCCCAAAATAGTCTTCCGTCACTCATGCACGAGCCTGGATTTGTACTGTAGATATGCGGTCGTGGTTTACGGAAACGTCAGCCGATTGAGCCTGGGACCTACTTTGTCATGTAAAGCGCTAGTGTAATAAGCTTGGACCATCGCTGAACGTCCTTTACGGATTCCCGGTACAACCGTTTAAGCAATACGATTGTATTTGTGTCTCATGGTTGTTGATGGCGCCTAATTAAGACGATTTGCATAACATGAATGATCGTCTAGCCATGTTGCATTAACTAGGTAACTAAGTATAATAGCAAAAACAGATCCATGTTACTAAGTTCTCTCGTACATATTTCAAAAAGCTTATTGCCTGTTTTTCTAAAACTTTTAGGGAAATGTATTTTTATCAGTAACTGATCAATCTAAATATGTTGAGTGGTTGCTTGAAATTGGCTCTAAGTCGGTAAATGATCTAGATTCTCCTTGTGATTGGTTTATTTTACAAATTGGCGCGATGATGTCACTTCGTTCCTCAAATGCCTAATGTAGGTACAGTATGTAAGTAGGTACCTTCTCGTATTTAAGCCTAAATACCATTTAGTCGAAATATGTAGAACAAGAGACGAATGTTAAACCAGTCTAAAGATAAACTCGGTGTTGATCTAGTGTCTGGCTTAAATGCATCATTAAACTAGGTCTACCACATTATAATGCAAAATATTAAAACTCGTTTACAAGACAAGTCTGGGTTATTATTGGATCATGTATTACGAGAAGTCGATAAGTTGACTACTTGACTGCGTGAATTGATTTATAAAGTCAAATAAGTATTAGCAATTTATGCCTTAAATCTCATACCTTAACTACCGCTTAAATAAACATGCAGGTAAAACTTTATTTCTATGGAAAGGAAGTAAGTAATACTAATAATGTCCATCTGTTAATGCTATAATCCCTCAGCTCACACCTCCCTTTTAAATAAATTAAAGGCGAGGGATAACAAACTACATACACGCCAGAAATAGGGTTGAACGCCCTTGAACTCGCCATAGAGGAGTACTACCAGCTAACTGCCCAAAAAGTGTACTCGCTAATATTCGGTGAACTGTTTCTACCGATGTCTTAAAGTGGACCTGTACACGACTGTGGAAGTGCATTAAACAAACACTGTGGGAGTGAATACGAGTGCTTAGTTACATTACACCAAATTGGTTTATCCTTGCGTGACTGACCGTAGTTCCGCCCTGTTTTTTTGCCCCCTAGCATTATGAAACCTGGTAGATTTTTAATTTTTTAAGCAGATTACAGCATATTTAGGTTAAAAACATATGTGGATAGGTGTATATGTGCGATGTAATGAAAATATAACACCGCATGTAGGTACGGAATTGTTCGGGTATAAGAGTTTCGAAACTGACAGTTTCTTTTCTAGAAGGATGTGTAACTAATGTGAGCAATGTATAATTCAGTGTTGAAGAAGGAACATATGTATATAATATGTTGTCGAGTTATCCTTGACATGACAAATATCGCCTGACTCACAAATACTCACAATAGATTGACTTTCCCTACTTGGAATAGGCATACCCTACATAGGATGACATTGTCTTCTTATTCCTCTCCGTTGTACCACGTAAATACATACCTACAATATATTTATATAGCATATTCACTCATATATCTTCCTACTAATAGGTAGATATTATAAAACGCGAGAGTTGTAATTTGTTACTGTTTCACGTAAAAACTACGGAACTGATCTCAATGAAATTTGACATAGCGATAGATTATAGACTAGAATGAAACATATGCTAAGTACTTTAATATATCTACCTGGGTACTGAAGAGAAGCAGCTCTCAAAAACTTGTGCCCGGATCTAAATAAAACTAGTACTACGTCAGTACTAACTAATATATATTTTCAAAGAATAACAAGCTTTTAAAAGAAACGATAGCTGTTTTGTAATTATTTATGTTACGCGTTTAAGTACATAGTTACTTAAAAATAATATTGTGGAAGTATTGAACTTTAGTTCAAAGAACCGTTCTGTCGATAAGACTTCAGGAAGGAAGCTCTACAGAAGCAATAAAAATAAATACCGTTATTATCAAGCTAAATTAGAGGTAGACGCTCGCGAATTAACTTTCGATTTTTCAATTTATTTATACGTACGTATCTACTATAGAATGTGCAATAGTATTAAGAAAATTGCTCGCCATTCCATTTGGAATTAATTCACTATTAATGTAGGTACTTATTTTAAACTGTTTCCTTTATTTGTTTCAGATTCGGGCGGAGCCCAGCCGCATAGCGGCACAACGATCTCTTGATTATTTTTTTTTCGATTGTGAGTGCAAGAAACTATAGTGATCTGTGAAGTGTCCAAGTGCGAAAACATGTCGTTTATTGGATTCACTGCCCTCGTGGCACTGGCCGCTATAGGTGAGTTTATTCTTTTCAAATTTATCTTAGTACCGACTGGAGTAATTTTAACAAACATGTAAGGTGGTAAATAGCCTGTACTTCTAGTTGGTTTGTTAAAGGGTTATAGGCTGGTAAAGAGCTGAAACATAGGTCACCGGTCTGCAATTCAGACAGACTAGTAATAGCACTCTTAAAAGAATAGCAGCTATATATATAAAATGTATATTTCTATGACAGTACAATCTTGGTACAAAGAAGAATTTAATTCATGAATCTTATAATAATTTAGAAATACATTGGTAGGTTTATATTTTTCAAAAGGGTCAAAAAGTCCTTAAATTAATATATGCATGCATGCTTTTAAAAATATAATATTGTCTATCCGTGACTTTCTACGCAGTTAATGCGTAAAAACGGGTGTCACGATCATTGGGGTACGGGTACCCCATCCACACCGCACGGCGCGGCTTTTAGGAGCACGCCGTTCGTGACGTCACGGGTCGATACAGCGGCCGGGCAACGAACCTATTTAAACGTAACTCTGTTTACGACTACTAGCCAAAATGGTGTGTCTAACCTTTTATGAATGCACAGTACCTTGGAAAATTACGAGGTGATTCCGATGAGACATGATATTTCCGTAGTTTGATAAATTAGGAACCTCTTAGTACTAAAAGCGATAGGTACGTAACTGAATGAAACAGTAAATCGTAATTTGCCAAATAATGATTTTTACTACTACCCTATGTAAAAATGTTTTTAACACCCTAAGTCTATACTATTGAATACTGAACCAAGACTGAATGAAATAACATAGTTATTTCTATTGTATTAATTAGATTATATAAGTACTCTTCTTTGATATACACGAAAGCTTGAGATCTAAATGTAGAATGGGCGGTCTTTTCGCTAAATCGCTATTTTATTACAATTCATTAAATAAATGACAGAGGATGATATAAAAAAAGTTTTAATGAAAACTAGCTTAACTATGTCGAGATGACAACGCAGCATAACGAATGCAATTTTATGTATAATAGGTACCTAGTTAATAAAGTAAGTGACTGCACTGCAGCTGCAGGACTACTCTGTCATCTGTTGGAATGATTCATTTATACCTTTAATTACTGTACTGATTATTTTTCTCAAGGTAATAAATTACGTTAACAATTGATTGTTAGTTAATGTTATAAACCTACTTAACTAATGTTCTCATGAAGTCATGAAAGTTTTTATTCCAATCCTTAAGTATTCAATATAACCCGTATTATGTACCCAGTTAGTTTAAATTACTATCTAGGCTTCTAAATTGAACCTAAATTTATCAAATGTGAAAGTGCCCCTTGTATTTAAGCCGCTTGCTGGTTGGAGCGAGACAATAACCCTCTAGTTTTGACATTTCGCCACATTTCATAGCTTTCCATTGCTTATCCTACGTAACCTTACACTCTCCACGAAAGGTTGTTCATACTAAACTCTTAAATGGTCTAGCAACGAGCGTCGCGTGGGCGAGGACGCCTGGTTCAGTTCAAATGCTAGATTTTACACAAACACCGCAGAACATTGGCCTTTCGACGCTCGAAGGTCACGACCGTGACTCGAATACAACTATATCTTCTACAGAGTAAAATATCTATAAACTTTCGCACAATTCTGAATACACAGGACGAAATATAACAGATTCAAAGCGTACAGCTAACAATTTACTCGTACAAATATTAAAGACTCTACCATGAGTCAGACTTTTGTAAAAAAAGGATGACTAAGTCCTAATAAGAGTAAGATGCATGAATAACAAACTATAATAGATAGGTAGGTATATTATTATTTTATGTACAGACAAGTATACAAAATATTCGTATCGATAAAAATAAATAACTGTGAAGATAACGCTCAATTTCGTTTACTTATCACTCTTTGATAACATTAAAAACAAAGTTTTATTTACAAATATGTATGTATATTCGAACAGTCCATCACGCCTGATATTCCAGGAATGGATTTTCGTGAACCAATATTTTGGACGGCTTCCTGAAAATTATAAAACCATTAAGTATCTATTATGACTTTATTATGGTCAGAAACAAACTTGGGATGTTTGTGCTATAACTGGTGGACGCATATTTACCGTATAAGGGAGCTCGCTCGTAGCAAAAAAAAAATAAAGTTAAAGCGTGGGAGAGCCAAGCTTTGGCACCAATTGATCGGCTCGATTGGAGTTATACCACGACCTCACAGAAAACCGGCGTAGCAACCACACAGTTGTGTTTCGCCGTGTGAGTGAGGTTACCGGAGACGGAGACCCAATCGCTTTCCCAGCCTATCGTTTCCCAAATCTTAAATATCCGAAACACTTAACCTCACTAGCCGACAATGCACTCGTAATTCCTTTGGTGTTGCGGATGTCCATGGTCAGATTGCTTACCATCGGGTAATCCGTCTCCTCGTTTTCCGACATATCTCATAAAAAAGCTAAGTTTGTAATGTCCAACATTGTTGAATTGTTTAATTAAAATACAAACAAATGAGGTATCTGTTTATTCTCAAGTTGGTTGATGACAATTAAGAAGCTTAACGTGACCTTGAAATCGGTGTATAGAAATATTATAATTTCGTAACTAAGTCCACGTCTAAAAAATATTGTTATTTAAAGTCATATTTCTTCTTTTTCACTCTTGAAAAATGGTGCTTTTTAGGTCCTTGATGAGGCATCTGAATGCATTCTTCTTAGTTCTAACTCCTGAAAAATTATACCTAAAATAAAAGCAAGTTAAGTAAACGCGAATAAATGGTTTGATTTGAAGTTCTAGTACCTATACATAGTTACAAGTAGGTACACTGTGACCAAGTAATAATTGTTAATTAAAATCAAAATAGATGAATCATATGTTATTAAATTTAAAGACTGCTTATAAAGACACAGTGAGCATTTTTTGGGTGGTCAGCGTCGACTTTCATTGTTATTCTTTCTATTTTGGTTTCACACTTAAGTAGTTCTGGCCAATGTAAACACAGCGTAAACCGAGTCATTATAGTATACTATTTTAACGATTTCGTTTCATTTTCGCTTTATTACATAACATTAATTTATATTGTACTCACTGGCGTTAAATGCGCGGGATAAAGAACCATCGACAAACAGAATAGCAGAATGGCACGCAACATAACCATGAACTATTTTTATTAACTGTAGTTACTCATACTCATTCATTAACCACACATACAAATTGCGCTTAATCCTTAGTAGCAACGCCGAATCATTCTTTGTTCGAATTCATTATTATATGAGCAATAAATATTTTCAGCTTATACACAGACATGCGGAGACATTAATCATTTTGTTTCCGTTTATAACGGTCAGTAAATAAGTGCCTAATTAAATGTCGAAAGAAAAACTACAATAGCGTTGTGAGGAAATAATTGGACTGATAAGTTTTGAGGTGTAAGTTTTTTTTTATGACACATTTTTGTTTGTTGTGGGTGGAAGCTATTAAGATATCCATATTCTCTACAGTATAACTTTTAACGTTTATCTACTACCAATGGCTAAACACACTAGGTACTAACGAGGTGATGAATTACTTAGTTTTTTAAAACAAAAGAAATGTGGTAAAGCCCTGCTTCGGACGGATGGACCGGTTCGGTCGGAACGACACAACGGCCTCACAGAAAACCAACGTGAAACAACGCTTTCGTCTTTTGAGTGAGGTTACTGAAAGCCTAGTCTTTAAGAGCAGCACCGCTCTTGTAACTGCTCTAATTTTGCAAGTTTTCTTGGGCACACCAATTGTTTATTATCTGGTGATTCGTGCTCGTTTGCCGCCATTAACCATGTTCTTTAAAATGCCTCTGAACTAAAAAAAACAATCACTTAAAACTAATGAGTTCCAATATAAGCAAAGTTTATCAACAAGCCGTAATTATAAGCGTGTAATGAGCATTCAAGATACCGTTTTCAACGACTTTTTAATTCAAATACAAACTTTTGAAATAAGGCCGTCAGTTGGCATATAAACATACATATCCATCCTCATGTGGTGTTGTTGTTAACACGCAATTAATTTGGATGTGCCTTAAATAACTAGCAGCCATTATACGACTGTTCATTTATCGTCAACGGCTAGCCTACGTTTTAATTTGAGGAGCCATGTTTTGGTATCTTGGTATTCTAAACATTTCAGAAACACACGCGCGACATTATCTATGCCCCTCTATGCAACTATACTAACAAAGTATAGGTAGGTGAGGTCGACGAAGCTGCATTGTAGAGCACAATGGGTCTACAAGTACATAATCCATGAACTTACAACATTGACAAAAAATGTTTCATAAAATTTTAAAAGTATTATTTATTCTATTTAATTTTGGCTTTTGTAGTAAGAATGATAGATGACCAAATGATAATAATTATACCTACCTAACTATTCGTATGTGCTTCGGAATTTGTATTTGCTGGATAAAATATAAGTTTCAAAGTAACTATTCCTGTTTTCAAGAATGTTGAGCACATACGGCGAGTAATGTTGCAAGACGTTGAGAAACAAAAGATAAGCATAGATGATGATAATATAAGGCGTTGGTAGCCGACGTCTCAGAATTTCACGGGTCAACGGCCACAAATAGATTTAAAGCCCGGAGAGCATGCTATGTTCATAACACTAAACCCATTTTCATTGTTTATATGTAAATATACTTTCTGTGCTTCTTGGTCGGTGGAATCTCCTCTTAGTACCCACATGTCTGATACTTCTGATGTGGATATCTTGGCACCAGTGCATGCTGTTATCGTCTAAGTTCAACGATCTTCAAAACATTGACGGCGGTCTTTACAACAATGGCAACACATTAAAGGCATCACCTAGTATTACTTGTAAATGGTTAATGAATGTAGTGGCTGATTAATCGAATGGCAATGGACACTATTTTCATAATAAAGTTGTAATAAAGGCTGACAGCATTTACGTGAACGGTTGATTGTTTTCTAAATTAGGAATTCAAATCAAAGCAAACTGACGCGCGACAACCGTTTGTTTTTTGGAATTCTCTGCATGGGTAGCGCATGTTGCTCTGTTGGAATTCTCCCATGTGTATGCTCGTTATTCAGATAGCTCACCTCGTTACTCATTAGGAATTTAAACACGGATTCTATACATATACGTTTGATGAATTACTATGTTATGGTATTGTAGCAGATATTTCAGAGACAACAAATTGATCGACTGTTAAATCCTTCGATTTTTCAATCTATACTAATATTATAAAGATAAATATTATATAGGGGGTAATCTTTGGAACCGCTGGTCGGATTGCCAAAAGTCTTTCGCTGATAGATAGCTACAAGGTTCCTGAGTGCTATAGGCTATAAAACATCACGCTACGATCAAATGGAGATGAGCAGCGGGTGGAAACGCGCGTCTTTCTTATATTCATATTCTTGTATAAATTAATATCTAAGTACACATAACGTATGCAACATAAATAAGTACATACTATATCGTAGGAAGAAATTTTGCTGTTGACTGATTTCGTGTAGAGCTTGATATAAATGATAAAGTTCCTAAATAACAAGCCATTTTTCAATTGACAACATGAATGACGACACTGAATGCCTTAAAGTCTTATATTATTTACTTTCTAATAATTTCTAGTGCCTCACCATATAAATTTGAACCCGTTATTTAACAATCTAATCATATGCGAAACCAACGCATAATTGGATACGAAATCAGAATGCATAATAGCTTCTGCAATTTCTTTAAGTTATATTATACCTCTTACTTACATATGTAAGAAACACTGAAGTTTATAAATTACCTAATTGACCTGAAACTTGAACTGAAAAAGAGGAACAAACGACGTACACTAACTAGATAATATTCTTACGTCTGTATGTGTATTATGAGATTAAAGAAGTCAAACGCTTTACTAGAAATGGTAAAACATTCCTTGACCTGACTAAAATATGATTCGACACAAAACCGCACAATACTAAATTATGTGTTAGAACATGATAAAACAAAATTTTCACAGATGTTCTTTAAAAATGATCATGCATTTGTGACCACAAACTGATACTAAACGATTTAAAGGGCAACCAAATCTGAGAGATAAATCTATTGGTACTGCTTGTCATACCTTCGTGGTGTATAAAAGTTTTAAAATCCCAAAAATCAATTCCAACAAACAAACATACCTACTTGTTAAGAACAAACACCGCGTTGTTCCATCATGCAGTTTTGTTATTGTGAGAACTTAAGTATGCAGTATCCACAATCACAAATCTTGTTTCTCGAAACAATAAATTTGAGTGTCTGCAAACAAAATGATGATTTCACGGTTCTCACCTTCGAAACGAAACATTTGTACATTTATTTAGACTTCTATCAAATGCTAATTCTTTTCGAACTGAAGGATATTGAAAAAACTTGTGTTGTTAATTTATATGGAGATTTACAAATGGATAGGTCAAATATGCCAAAGTGCGTTCAGGCTAAGTCAGCTTTACGTCCAAAACCTTGAACTCTTTACGCCAAGTAAAATTTGCATTTTTGCTGCCAATGATGACGCGATCCATATATTATGGACATTCGTTACATACTGTTTTTGTTGGGTTTACAGAACTGTGTCAAATGCTTCGCAAGGGCAAAAGCACATGCCATTTCTGCTCAGAGAACTTTCACACATCTATGTTTAGATAATTTGCCTAAATAGATAACATTGGTTACACCATAAAATGAACGCGGTAAAGATTAAAATAGACTGACTGGTGACTTTATAGGATTCATAATAATTTTGTACTTCATTCATAACGGCTATCTGAGGTACGAAATACTAGCGAAAGTGACGGTCATCTACACCTTCATCGATATCGTTTTATCTGACAACTATTCTAAAGATAAGAAACAAACACGTGCGCTACTTGTATGTATGATAAAAAATATTTTTAGGTGACCGCTAAATTATTACACACTGATCAATTTATGAATACGTTATTGAAGATAAATCGACAAATAGTAGGTAATACGTAAAATAAAAAGCAGTTAATTTAATAATACGATCATAGGAACGATACCAATTTTATAAAATCAATTGAAAATCGTCAAGATAGTATAGCAAGAAATCAGAGAAAGAAAAATAGGACATTATAAAACTGGCCCATTATTGCTAAATTAGCCGATACAGTATCAGACGCAGTTGAATAAAGCACACAGACGTATAATAACTTATCGTGTATCAGTAAACATAGATAAACTGTTTTGGTGTTTATGCCAAAGTAGAGTAGAAAACGAGTAGCATTTAACAGCTATAGTCAGACTTTTAATTCGATTCCTGATTTGACATGACCTATTGTCATTTTGTGAAATAATGATACCACATATAACAGTGTAGTGATGAACACAAAAATCGATAAACAATCAGTGAATCAGTTTCAGGAAGGCATTCAAAAAATTACGGCTACCGAATGTTCTAAATGCGTATCCCATGTTGTCAAAATAGGGGAAAAAATGAGTAAGCTAGATATGTTAATTGACAATAAAAATCACAGACACAATTTATAATAAATGTTACAGAAAGTAACAGCGATAGCGATAGCGATGACGGCGACAATTTATAAAATTTCTGTTTTATTTGTCATGTCAAATAAAAAATGTGATCATGAAGGACATGATCACATTTTTTATTTATTTCAGACACAATTACAAAAGTAAAGTCTCAGATCGTTAATTAATTGACAAAACTAAATTATCGGATCAGAAATATTTTATTTCCTGATAAACTTAGATTACGAGATTAAATTTATAAACGAGAGGAATCGATTCAGAAATGTTCGATTTCCATATCGAATAATTTCGCAACGTCACTATTTAATACGTGTCATAACGTTGCAACACTGAAATTGTCAAATCTGGAATGGAATTAAAAGTCCGAGTATAGTTTAAAATTGTATAGAAACCGTCACAAGTGCTAAGATAAATCTTAGTTGAATCAGCATCCTGCGTTCAGGTTGTGATGTAAAGAACATCTGTCGTGGCTACGACCAATCAGGAGCGTGCGCGAGCGCACATCTGTCGCAAGCACGCAACACGCCCTCGCTTTTTTGTTCGCTTTGTTGCTATTTTTTGTCTCTCATCGGAGTGCTTCGTATTTGGAAAGAATTGAGAGTTTTCGAGTTTTGACCGTTTAATTTAAATATGATAATCGTTTTTATATGCATAAATGAACATTCATAGATATAGAAAAAAATGAATTAAGTGCAGATTAAAAATAAAGTTTAAAGTTTGATATCAAAGTTTTAATAAAAAAAATCAATACCTACTAAGTACTAGTAGCTTTACGACAGCAGAAGTATTTCAGTAGCATGGGATATTAGTATGTAACATTTGTCGTAGTATTTGTTGACCTAATGAGGTCACTAATTAACATTTAGTGAGTGTCACTCTTGTGCTCTTCATCTAGTGAAACGAGTAGCGAGACGTGGTATGAGAGCGCGCCACTTGTACTGGATTATATCCAGGCTTCATTATAAACTGGGTCGAGGATTTGTTCCCATAAACTAGTGTTTTGGCAAGCAAAAGAACGAACAAGCTCGGAGTAATCTGACTCCTGGATCACACACCTCTTGTTTTAAACATAAAAACAAAAAATCACAATCATCTCCTATTAATTAAGAACACCAAGTGATAGTATTATAATTGTATTTGCATGAAATAGTAAAACGTCTTCAATTCAAATAAAATACATTACCTTGTAATAATGATAAAAAAGTAATATATCTAGATAAGTAAGGATAGTTCAAAATTAACCAATTCCCAGAACAGAATACTTATACCTAAGACACCTAAACTTAGCTACAACCTATTTAGCACTAAAGCAAGATGTAACACTACAAAACAAGACCTCGTTCGTAATCCTTAAAGTTATGTATTTTTTCAGGGTCAGTGCTATGCGAGGACGAAACTATAGGACCGATATTCATGAAGGAACCCGCAAACCGAGTGGACTTTAGCAACACGACTGGAGCGACTGTTGAATGTGCGGCTCGAGGATCCCCGACACCCGACATCATCTGGGTCCGATCTGACGGAACTGCTGTTGGTGATGTCCCTGGACTGCGACAGGTAACGTTAGATATCTTCATTGAAACGTTTCTCTCTTATTGTACAGTTTTAAGAACTTATTTTAAAATGCATATTAGAAAAATATATACTTCCATCAATGATTATAACCAAGGCCTTACTAGATTACTCTTTCTTTCTGTTCTTGAAAATAGGGACGTCAAAAGAAGTCCCTCAATGCGGCATCTAACAAAGACAACCATCATCATCATCAACCATCATTAGTCACTTAATAGTTTTATTACGAATCTATCGCCTACACAGTGCCTACACACCTATATGACGAGGATATTTTATCGGTGCCCGCATAGACTATGCTATTGCATAACTGAAAACGGTTCCAACATCATGTTTATACATACTAACCACATGCTACCATAGTAAAAATTAAAAAAAAATAGTATATAATATTTTGTTTCGAATAATGTTTTAACTAGATTTTTTTCCTTAGGTTCAAGCGAACGGAAACCTTTTATTCCCGCCTTTCCGAGCGGAGGATTACCGGCAAGAAGTTCATGCCCAGGTTTACGCTTGTCTCGCTCGCAACTCTGTTGGTACCATTCATTCCCGGGACGTTAACGTTCGCGCCGGTAAGCAACAACATTTACATAAAATTACAAATTCTAAAGGAAAATACTTTAAGCTTTTGTTCGTTGGCAAAGAACTATGTAGGCACATGGGTCAGAAACCTTCAACGGAAAATATATTTGAATTGTTAACGGACAAACAGCTCACATGTAAAGTTACCTTCGACGTTACTTAAGTCACAGCCATATCTCATAAAGTACGAGATTGTGTTACAACAAAACCAAGTATCGCGTGCGCCTCTTAGAAGCACCATAAAGCTTCATGACAGATTTATAAATATTTTTAATGCGTTAACATGACATGCTAGATATAACTTTGTCAACTGACACCATGGTAGCTGTGTATATAACCGAATGCTTCCACTGGTTGACTTATCGCCCCCTTACCATTTGTAATTCAATACTCAGATGCTCATTATACGATTAGTGTATCTTTTATTTGTATGTAAAGTGTTCCAAATTGGTAATTTAACTACCGGGCGTTAAAATCCCTTAATCTATTGGATCCATCAATGGAATAAACAACAGTTCATTCGTTTGTTAATGCATTGAATGATACGCAACTCGTGCTTAATGAGACTTGGCGATGTCTATTGCAGGGACACGCGATATAAGGCGCCACATTAAATTAGAATGTTAATATAATGCGAGTTATTCACGAGACCTTTTTAAACATGTCATATAGGTTTTTTTTTAATATTGTAGCTATCTTAATAATCTTTGTGTAATTAATATGAGTACTGGTGTAGTTGGTTACAGAAACCATGTATAATATGTCTTAGCTAGTCGTAAAATATTCTATCATCAAGCTATGACCGCTGTAGGCCCCATGAAATACCATTTAATGCAGAGCAACTATGCTGCTTAGAATTATAAAAGTTTGATTGGTCATCATAGGGCGCTGCCCCTACGACACGAGGTCAAGTGCGGTCAATTAAATAATCAAAAGGGAAGAAGATGTGCTTACTAGCTATTTACGTTTGACACATTATTCATTATCACTTAATTTGCTTTAGCGTGTGTTACACTTTGACAGTTAACTTTAACTTAACTCGTGAAGAATTCGTATCACATATTTGAATTTTAGAAAACTATTTATTTTTTTTAAATTTAGACTGATCTAGTTACATTTCACTATGTAAACGCTGTGTTATTAACATTTTTCTTTCAGGAACTGAATACGTTTATTCCTGGATACTTTCATTTGTTTATCTAGGTGTTGGAAACTATGATGCCCCTTAATTTTAATATTGTATCTACTCAGACTAAGTCAATATTAATCTACTTACTTCTTTGTTCATGTTTACTAAGTGGTTGCCCAACATTACGACACCGACGTCAATAAGGAGTATGTCATTCTGGGGAACAGTATCGTGCTCAAGTGTCAGGTCCCGTCGTTTGTAGCCGATTTCATAGAAGTTCTCTCTTGGCACACTGATGACAATGAAGACTTCCTTCCCGGCGATAACTACGGTTAACTTTGCAACCGTTTTGATTCTTATTCCTTCCTATCCCACTCTCCTTTCATACAGCTCACAACTGAACTTCAATGGTATTTCCACAGTGGTACAGCAACAATACGAATCAGAAGTTAATAACGAATATGTAATTCGCGGCAATTCTGCTATTCTCAAATGTTCTATACCTTCATTTGTTGGCGACTTTGTCTATGTTATATCCTGGCAAGATGAGGTTGGCAATTCCTTCACTCATGAAGACAACAAGGAAGGAGATGGTACCACATTTTCAACTAGATAACAGTTTTTTTCTAGTTCCCAATATCCAATTCCTATATCCTACCTAAAACGCAATCTAAGTCGTATATTTATTCCAGTTGTAACACAGTACTACGAAGCTGAAGTAGTATCCGAGTATGTAATAAGAGGAAACACCGCTGTACTTAAATGCAATATTCCTTCCTTCGTCGCCGATTTCGTGAAAGTGGAAGCCTGGGTTAACTCTGATGGCGGCGAATACTTGCCGACCGATGACATTGGTAGATCCAATGCAATGTAACTTTATAACCATTCCTTACCCTCCTCCTATTTCCTTTTATGTTTAGACTTTTAAAAGTCATATACCACGTGTTATTTCAGTTGTTAATCAGTTCTATGAAGCAGAGATTCTGACAGAATATGTCATCCGCGGAAACGCCGCAGTTTTAAAGTGTTCTATCCCGTCCTTTGTCGCTGACTTCGTGAAGGTGGAAGCTTGGATCGACGAAGTGGGAACAGAGATTACTCATTCAGAAGACCTCGGTACAATGGCCTCTTAAACATATCATATTTGCTTCCCGTTCTAACAATTCCTAACACCTCGAACCGTTCCAACGTATTTATGTTTCTAATTATTATTCTTCAGTCGTATCACAGTATTACGTGACCGAAGCCGAAAACGAGTACGTGATTAGAGGGAACACTGCTATTGTTCACTGCAAGATTCCATCTTTCGTTAGTGACTTCGTTTACATTGAAGCTTGGCTTATGGATGACGGACAAATCCTTACAGTTAATAATACAAGCACTGCACAGGGTACACTTCTACAGATTTCTTCTAAGCCAAATTTCCCTATCCAATTATATTCCTTGGTTACTTCACCAGATTAACATAACGTTTTCTTGTAAAGTGGTATCACAGCCTTTCGAAGCGGAAGCCGACAACGAGTACGTCATTCGCGGCAATGCAGCTATAATGAAATGCGAAGTGCCAAGCTTTGTTTCTGATTTTGTATATGTTGAAATGTGGATGGACAGCGAAGGAGGCACATATTACCCCAGCAGTAGCGAGGGTAATTTCTCACTAGGAGAAAGCAATTCCTTATTCCTGATTCCTTTTGTTTGTATTGTCGCAGCTGTACTTCAAGCATATGAGGCTAGAGTCAACGATGAATTTATTTTGCGAGGCAATACAGCTATTCTTAAATGCATTGTACCGTCGTTTGTTGCTGACTTTGTCCACGTTGTGGCCTGGATAATGGACAATGAAACAGTGTCGGCTGAAGAACACTCTAATTTTAACAATGGTAGTTGCTGATCGTACTCCTAATGTTATTCCTGTTTCCCTGTCCTTATTAAATCTTTTGGCCAGGTTTGCACTTGTGTTTGCTAGGTATGTAAATAATAAAATAATAAATGTAAGAAACGATTTAGATATTTATAGTCTGGTTATGTTTTCGACGTCCACAGTGGTCCATCAATCTTATGAACCTCGAGTTATTGATGAAGATGTTCTACGAGGCAATTCTGCTATTGTCAAATGTACTATTCCATCCTTCGTGGCAGATTATGTTCATGTAGTGGATTGGGTGGCAGACGAAGAATCTCTCTCTGCGTTTTCGTTCAACCGCTCTGAGGGCAATTACGGTAATAGAGTAGAGCACCGCGCGGCCCCAATTGTCCTTATCCGCACTCCACTGAATCCCCGTGTCGGAGTCAAATATCCATCGCTGTATACATAGTCTAATTTGTATGTAAAATATTTCAGCGGTAAATCAGTTCTACGAATCACAAGTTTACGACATATACGTTATTCGCGGGAACGCTGCAGTCTTCAAGTGCCATATACCCTCCTTTGTATCTGATCATGTACAAGTAGTTTCTTGGCACGATTCCGAGAACGGAGAATACACAATAAATGAAAATTACGGTATAGTTTAGCAAAAATTGAAAAAAATATACACCTATGTATCCTACCCATAATAGTCATCAGAGGTATTCCTAACTTCTTACATAAATCAGTACTAAAAAGTGCTGACTGTTTGTTTTAGTTGTCTCACAAGCATACACAGTCAATTTGGTCGAAGAAAATGTATTAAGGGGCAATTCAGCTATACTGAAATGTTTGATTCCAAGTTTTGTAACGGAATATGTATCAGTGGCAACCTGGATTATTTCTGAAGGAGACAAAGAAGTTGAAATATCAATAAACGATTCAGTTGATTTACAGGGTACTTGAAACAAAAACGTTCTACTCTACATCTGATAGTCCTGTCCTCTCCTTAAATTATTGGTCTTCTTGAGAAAACCTCTTTTTTTCTAATTCTACAGTCGTTACTCAAGCTTACACCGTCAATCTCATGGAGGAGAGTGTTTTACGCGGGAACGCAGCTATTTTGAAATGTCACATTTCCACATTCGTGACTGAGTATGTTAGCGTATCGTCCTGGATTATTTCTGAAGGAGAAACTGATGAGTTGGAAATAAAAGCAGAATCTAATGACTTGGGTATATACTTCACTAGAATAGGCGTTTTTACCATTCATCCTTTTCCTTTCCTGTTTTTCGTGGTCTCGGATGCTTATCACAGGTCAAATATCTAAATATTTCAGTTGTATCTCAGGCGTACACTGTAAATTTGATGGAAGAGAATGTTCTGCGTGGAAATTCAGCGATCGTAAAGTGTCATATACCGAGTTTTGTAACAGAATATGTTACTGTATCATCTTGGATTATTGCTGAAGGCGATGTTGTAGAGGCAGAAATTCAACTAGATGAGACATTCAACTTAGGTATTGAGTAAAACAAAATAAAACTAAATTCTCCAATAACCTCTCCATTCCTATATTTTTGTGCCACATTTCCTATCGTTGCTCTTCACTTTTTCATTGTTGTCTATTTTCAGTGGTTTCTCAATCATATACTGTAAATCTATGGGAAGAGAATGTTTTACGCGGAAATGCCGCAATACTTAAATGTCATATTCCAAGTTTCGTCACCGAATATGTCACGGTCACTTCCTGGATTATCTCCGAGGGAGAACAGGATGATGTGGAGATAAATTTGAATTCCGACTTTAATTTAGGTAACTTGTACCGACATTACAAACCAATGAGGCATCATCCTTCCTTTCCTAAATTCCTCTTACTTCTTTCGTTCATAGGCGTTGTTTACCTGTAAATTCAGGTATATTCTCCTTCACAGCCAACATACGTCATCATAGTCTTACTCAACTATTTTTATATACAATTTCAGTCGTTTCCCAAGCGTATGACGTGAAATTTTGGGAAGAATACGTTTTGCGTGGCAACGCCGCTATCTTGAAATGTCAAATTCCGAGTTTTGTCTCTGAATACGTAGCTGTAAGCTCCTGGATTATCTCAGAAGATGAAAAAGAGCAAGAAATAAAAATTAATGCTTCTTCCGATCTAGGTATACTAGTTTTGTTTGTGAGATAAATATCTCCTCCTTTAATCCTAATCAACCAAAATACAACATCCTAAACATATGCAAAAATGTAAAAGTGGTGCTATAGGTAAAGATTTTTGTAACACTGCTGTCCAGTGCAAATTAACTACTCGACTCAGGTTTCACAATATTGTTTCAGTTGTATCTCAGGCATACGCCGTGAACCTGATGGAAGAGTACGTTTTAAGAGGCAATAGTGCTATTTTAAAATGTCACATACCAAGCTTTGTGTCAGAGTATGTTACGGTCATCTCTTGGATCATCAGCGAAGGCGACCAGGAATTAGACATCAAGTTAGAATCAACGAATAACTTTGACGGTACGAAATATATTGTTTTTCTGGCTGTTAATGCCTAAACCTTATCGCTAGTAATATTTAGGGAACATTCTATCTTCGAACTTTGATAGGTCGCATTTATTCATTACTACAATTTTATATTTAACCACAGAATAGGGCTTTGTTCCTAAAATGGGTTCCCGTGATTCCATGAGCCTCACGGCTTACCTTCATCCTTTATCCTTCTTCCTTAGTTTAATGCATGCAATGATATTTGTAAGTAAATCACAACCCTATGTTGTGTTGCATATTAAATTGAATTGCTTTTTATGCAAGATAGAGAGAAACTATAACTATAACAACTTTTTTTCTTTCAACAGAGGGTAAATACTTAGTACTTCCATCTGGAGAATTGCATATTCGAGATGTCGGACCCGAGGATGGTTACAAATCATACCAATGTAGAACAAAGCACAGGCTTACTGGTGAAACCCGACTTTCTGCCACTAAGGGACGACTTGTCATTACCGGTGAGTTACCACGACATACACTATCAGACGCTTAAAGTGCCATTAATTCATTTTTATCATAATTTTACAATCATCATACACCATTATTAAAGCTTTTAATTTTATTCATAATAGTTAAAGAAAATAATGAATTAATGACACGGTTTTTATTTGCAGTGAATAGTTATACCATGGTCTATTTTGTGATCTAGTAAGATTGCTTTTGTAATATATGTTTTTTTATTTCACCTGCGCCCCTGCATTCAATTTCCCTATTTACTGCAAATGATAAATTCAATTTACACACAAATATAGTGTTCTCGGTTTTCTTATTCAACTTGACATTATCTGATTAAAACTTTGCAATATGCAATATGCATACAAAGAGCATGTAATACGAAACTAAAACGAGAACGTTATATTAGACTTAGTAATTGAAATATACAAAACTATGTGCAATAATTATAATCTTTGCATAAAGTCTATAAATATTCCAAGGCTTTTTCTTATTTCTTTGATATACTATTTATAACTAAAGAAAGATTATTTTTATTGTACTTATTGAAATTTAATTACGAAACATAAATACACAACTTTATGTTGTGTCTTTAAGTTTGTTATTATTGACTTATAACTTGCCTGAATGTTGGGATAGGGTACCCTGCAGAGCCTTGACTCGCGCGGTTGTTGTATCCATAGGGATGAGTAGGGGTGTTTAGGGTCCGAATATCCGAATACTTGTCTGTCTTCTGTTCGTGATCTCGCCTTCTCCCAACATGCGCAGAGCCAGTGGGCCGGGTACCGCCCAAGTTCCCTAGCGCGTCGACTACAAGTGGCTACCAGTTTAGCCAGCTCTCCAGCCTCTCGTTACTGTGCACAGCACAGGCTTTCCCAGCACCGCTGTACCGGTAAGAGTCACATTAACGTCGTTTTGCGTACTTCCTACAGAGCCCATAGGGCGCGTACCACCTAGGTTGGCCACGACACAGGTGGGCATGATGTTTGTAACCACGTCGGGATCATCATATACATTGCAATGTCCAGCTCAAGCATTCCCTGTCCCCATATTCAGGTATGGCATTTTGCTATTCAAGTAATATTATGACCATTTTTAGAACCGGTTGGACGCGTTTCTCCCAAGTTTGCTTCAGTATTGACAGGAACCATGTTTGAAGTTAGAAAAGGCGATTCTTACGCTTTGCAGTGTCCCGCCCAAGCGTTCCCAACTCCTCTTTTCAGGTAATTTTAACTTCAATCTTTTCTTTTTCGCTACTCCTGTAGAGCCAGTTGGTCGAGTTCCGCCAAAATTTGCATCTGTTGTGATGGGAACAATGATCGGAGTCAAGAAACTTAATTCATTTGCTCTACAATGCCCTGCGCAGGCGTTTCCAGTCCCAATCTTCAGGTAGATATAACAAGCGTTTCTTGTTCTAAATTCAATTATGAGTAGGTAAATGTCAAATTTATTTTCTCCAGAACCTATGGGGAAGGTTTCGCCAAAATTTCCGAGTTTAGAAAAGAGTAGACTCTTCAACTATGACAGCAATCAAAGCGTAGCACTTTTATGTCCCGCTCAAGCATTTCCTGCCCCAATGTTTAGGTAAGCCAACGTAGGGAGTATTCCCATTTTTTTTTTATATTCAAGTACAAAAGTATTATATTCATTTCATAGAACCTATGGGAAGAGTTTCGCCAAAATTTCCAACTGGAGACATAAGTAGGACATTTATTGCTAACATGGGCGATGGAGTACCTTTACTCTGTCCTGCGCAAGGATTCCCGGCACCAACATTTAGGTAATTTTTAAATTGTCTATTGTTCTTATAATTATACAGAACCAATGGGTAAAGTCTCGCCGAAATTTCCCTCAACTGAAACTGGCCGCAGTTTTACGTTCTCCTTCGATTCTTGTGTGACAATGCTCTGCCCGGCTCAGGCGTTTCCAGCCCCAACCTTCAGGTACATTGATTTGTCTTCATGTTATCTCTCTAGAGCCTGTGGGGCGAGTTTCACCAAAATTCCCATCGGTGGATAGCTCAAGAAGCTTTAGCGCCGTATTTAACACCAGCTTGACAATGATATGTCCAGCACAAGCATTCCCGATCCCAGTGTTCAGGTAAAATTCCAAAGGATTTAAATCGATCGCAAAAATAATTATTTCATCCTAGAGCCCGTTGGTCGTGTCCCACCAAAATTCACAACAGGCGACAAAAGTCGTGCATTCGATGCAAATGGAGGTGATAGCGTCACTCTTTTGTGTCCCGCTCAAGCTTACCCCGCCCCGGCCTTCAGGTATATAAATGAACATAAATTATAATATCATCTTATGTAACTTGTTCTTAGAGCCACTGGGTAGCGCCGCTCCGAAAGTAGCTACAAAAGTGATTGATATCACAGAAGTGTCTTTCAGTAATACTGTCACATTACTTTGCCCTGCGCAAGCATTCCCCGTTCCAATATTCAGGTAAAATAAATTGATGTTATTAGTACTCGTAGATGTGGAAAATGGTTATATTTATGTCCAGAGCCCGTAGGACGAGTTCCCCCGAAGTTTCCAACAATGGATAATGTTAGAGGTTTCAGTGCCTATGTAAATGCTAGCGTAACGTTGCTGTGTCCCGCTCAAGCTTTTCCGGTACCTTTATCCAGGTAAACTGAGTGAATTGTACCCTACCTATTTTCTTCTAGAGCCAATTAATAGTGCACCACCAAAAGTACCTACTAAAACGATAGAATTCGTGGAATTTGCGATGGACTCCAGCGTTACGTTGCTTTGTCTGGCTCAAGCATTCCCGGTCCCTGTGTTTAGGTGAGTTGACCCCAGCAATAATAGGACGCGTTTGTTTTTAGAACCTGTTGGTCTAAAAGCCCCTACATTCTCAACGGATTTCAAAATGGCGTGGTATGTAAAGAACGTTGAGCAGGGCTTCGCGTTACTTTGTCCGGCACAGGGATTCCCCGCCCCTTTATTCAGGTATTTTTACTTGTGTTTCTAGAACCAATTGGCTTCAAAAGTCCTTCGTTTTCAAGCGGTTCCAAACTAGCCTGGTTTGAAATTTATCAAAATCAGGACTTTGCATTAATCTGTCCTGCCCAAGGGTATCCTGTACCAATATTTAGGTGAGCATTTTCCGTTTAAAATATATTTTAACCATTTACAGAACCCGTTGGTTCCAAGCCCCCTACATTTTCTACCGATGACAGATTGGCATGGTTCATTAGACAAGTAGGACATAGTTTAGCTTTGCTATGTCGGGCCCAGGGACATCCTATTCCTGTATTCAGGTAAAGTTAACCAGAACCTTTTATCATTTTAGAGCCAATTGGATCCAAATCACCAACTTTTTCCACTGATAATAAGTTTTCTTGGTATATGAGGAATACTGGCCAGAGTCTAAACATCCTATGTCCTGCTCAAGGTTTTCCAGTACCAGTGTTCAGGTGAATAAATTATAGCTAACTATTTCAATTGTAGAACCCGTTGGCTCAAAATCCCCCACATTTTCGAACGACGTTCAATTCTCTGGGATAACTCGTAAAACTGGTCAAGATTTTGCTCTTTTATGTCAAGCGCAAGCATTTCCAGTCCCAATATTCAGGTAAGAAAATTCTTTACTTACATCATCAATGAAATATTACATATTTGTCACAGAACCTATCGGGTCCAAAGCACCGTCGTTTTCTTTGGAGTTTAAAAGCACAACTCTTACAAAAGTGGTCGAACAAGCCATTGTTCTCTTGTGTCAGGCTCAAGCTCACCCTCCTCCTGTATTCAAGTGAGTGTCAAAATGTTCAGAAAATTTATTTCTTGGTTTAGAACCAGTAACAGCGAGAGCTCCTGCGTTTCCTACTTCCGCAAGTTCATATAATTATGAAATACAAGCTCATACAGAGGGCTCTATGCTTTGCCAGGCACAAGGGTATCCCCAACCAGTATTCAGGTAGGTTCTGTTTTTTTACTGTATTGCCCTCTTTTAGAACCTGTCGGTGCGAAAGCTCCTTCCTTTTCAACCGATTCAAAGGGCAGTATATTCGTTAGAGAAATCGGACAAAGTTTTGCATTGCTCTGTCAGGCGCAAGCATCCCCTATTCCAGTGTTTAGGTAAGTCGGAATTAACAAATTATTATTTTCTCCAGAGCCCGTAAGCTCCAAGCCACCTAGCTTCTCTACTGATTTCACATTGTCAGCGGTGACACGACATAAAGGTCAAAGTTTTGCAATATTATGTCAAGCTCAAGCTTTTCCTATACCGGTTTTCAGGCAAGTGTTATAATTTCTTATCTATGAATACAAATTTTGTATTGTCTTCCTATATGAATCTGTATGACTACAAATTGTGTATAAGCCTAAATCAGAATTATTAACTGATAATAGATTCTTCTGAGAGATGTCTCTTTTTCAAACAATAACTTGTCATTTTTACGCAGAACCTGTCGGAACCAAAGCCCCTTCTTTTTCAACTGAATCGGCTCTTTCGTCTATAAAAAGGCATCAAGGTCAAAGTTTTGCTCTACTTTGTCAAGCTCAAGCTTTTCCTGTTCCAATTTTCAGGCAAGTTTGAAATTAATATTATTAATTAGTAGTACAACAATGTTATAGAACCAGTCGGCGCTAAGTCCCCGACATTTTCTACTGAATCAATGGGAAGCATTTTTCGAAAACGTGTGGGACAACCCTTTACACTACTTTGTCAGGCTCAGAGTTATCCTGCTCCAATTTACAGGCAAGTGATATTTTTTTTCACATCACAGAACCTGTGGCCTCCAAAGCACCGACTTTTTCTACGGATGCTCGTAGCACAACTTTCATACGCAACGTCGGGCAAAGTTTCGGATTACTGTGTCAAGCACAGGCATTTCCTGTTCCCGTATTCAGGCAAGTTTGTTGTTCGATTTGTTCTGTAGTGGTCACAGCTGCGAGATAAAACTAGTAATTCTTGAAAATCTTAAACTAGTTAATCTAGGCAAGTAATTTGTTTTTGGATTTTTATCTAGAGCCAATTGGAAGCGCTGCACCAAGTATCACGACAGCACAAAAACCTGTCGTATTCTATCCCCAACAAACGTCACTAGCTATAATGTGTCCTGCACAAGGATTTCCGGTGCCAGTTACAAGGTGCGTCTACTTGTATTTCTGTTTCCTCCAAAACAATTCTGATCTACCACCGCTGTTAAAATTATTAGGAACTTACTATTTTCAAAAACTGGATAGGTATATCGAAGTAGTCGAACCGTTTAGGTGTATATGATGTCGTACTTTAAATCCACATGACTTAAAGGTAAGTCATACCTTTAAGTCAAAATGTACGGGAATAGGGTTTGCAAATGTCGTCTCTGTTATTACAGAACCAACCAATAAAATTGCACCTCGAAAGGATTCTACTAAGCACTTTGAAGGGTGGGAAGTGTTCACCGTGCGCCAAATGGACGTGGCATACTTAACGTGTCAAGTAGCTGCTTACCCGGCGCCCGTGTTTAGGTGAGTAGGCAATACAAGGAAGGTTTTGCATTCCAGAGCCGACTGGTAGGACGGGACCAAAGGTGACGGGCGATGGGCTCAATCGACAAATAGGTCGAGAAGGTGAAAGCCTCGCACTCCTTTGCGACGTTCAAGCTTTCCCAGCCCCTCTGACGAGGTACGATCTTTAATGAGTTAGGGCCGGCCGCCGGCGTCTCACGCATTCATTTATCACGTAGTCATACCATACCCATCATCCAATGTACTGATATCCGTTGTTATTGCAGTCTGTTGCGGCGGCCGCCCCGCCCACACGTGACATGAAGGCGTGATGAATCGCGGCCGGCCGCGCGCCCTATTATGGTCCCCAGCCAAAGTAACGATTGAGCAGCGTAGACACCTGTTGGTAAGTGTCAGGGTGTTCTTGCTTTCGTTCTGACGCTTTAATCTTTACTTTGTGCTTTTCGTGAGTCAAGGCTGCACTTTAATTATTTTTGTAGCCAAAATCCTGGTTTATGCGGTAGCTTTACTTTACCTCTGTCCCAACGGCTAGCTTTTTATGTTTTTAAATCTTCGTGGATATCACTTTTTTTTTCTCTATGAAATGGTCATCAACAGTTTCTTCATGACGTGTACTTATGTGCACTTTAATACATAATTATGTGATAGTTTAGATTGCATTTGTTTCTTCTTAAAGAACCAACGAACAGTATCCCTCCCAAGCTGTCTAGTGGTCGTTTACAAGAATCAGAGTTGAATATCGGACAAACGGTCACTATCTTATGCCTAAGTCAAGGTTTTCCAGTTCCGGTGTTCAGGTGGGTGGCTCTAGGAGGAACTTTATTCTCTATCTGGTGTTCGGTTAATAAGTGAAATAATGTTAAACGCCAAAGTGTTAAACAACTATAAATAACAATTTGGAGGATCTTTAAGGATTGGGTGTACTGATAGAAAAGATATATTACCATTTTTCTGAACTTTTTCTCTATTGTTTCAGATGGTACAAGTTTGTGGAAGGCACAACCAGGAAACAACCAGTTACGCTCGATGACAGAGTAAAACAAGTATCAGGAACCTTGATTATCAAAGAGGCTAAAGTTGAGGACTCTGGAAAATATTTATGCGTTGTCAATAACTCTGTTGGTGGTAAGTATTTATAATATGTTATTTCTTAAGTAATTATACATTTTAACACGGTGTTTTAAAAACTCTAACATGCTTTAAATTACAGGCGAGTCCGTCGAAACTGTATTGACTGTAACTGCTCCTTTGAAAGCTACCGTTGAGCCAGCTACTCAGACCGTGGACTTTGGAAGACCTGCCGTATTTACCTGCAGATATGAGGGTAACCCTGTTAAAACGATCACTTGGTTGAAGGACGGAAAGGATATGAAGCACCATGATGCTACCCTCAGGTAAGCGACCTATGTAAATACAGAAAACCGGCGTGAAACACCGTTTGCGTTGTGTTTTTCCGTGGAAGTGAGATTACTAGGAGGCCAATCGTCCCCCTCTCTCAATTCCAAATCTAAAATCTGACTCCCAAAAAGCCAGCAGTCCACTCGTAACACGCGGGTGTCTATGGGCGGCGCCAATTACTTATCAGCAGGTGATGGACCTGTTCGTTTGCTCTTTATAATAAAAAATACAATTAGGGACTAACGTAAGTAAGGGACGCAAGTAGACGGAATGATGAAACGGTGTTAATAAAATAACATATAATTTTCAGGATTGAATCAGTAAAGAAGGAAGACAAGGGCATGTACCAATGTTTCATTAGGAACGACCAAGAAAGTGCAGGGGCCAGCGCTGAGCTGAAACTGGGAGGACGATGTAAGTTTTGCGATGCCTTTATATTTACTATACATGTCTACTATTTAACAACTATATAGTATTATACAACTTGTTTTCGTTTACATAATATATTAATTGATATTATAAATGCGAATGTCACTTTATTTATTTGTCCAATTCTTATTAGTTGATATAACAGTATTTTTTATAATGTACTCCCCTAAATCCAAAACTGAAATTTAATTATTTGTAAGTAGTATATGAAAAAGTTCAGAAATGTCCAGAGACACCGTATAATAAACCACGCCCTCAAGGCGACTTTGATTATAATTTTAAATGAAATGAAAAATCTTAAATCACTTCGCTTATTTGTTCTTAAACTCTAAAATCGTGTTTTCAGTTGAACCGCCGCTAATCCGGCACAGCTTTGGAGAACAGACTTTCCGTTCCGGCCCATCTCTACGTCTTAAATGCGTCGCATCTGGCAACCCCACCCCCGACATTGCGTGGCTCTTGGACGGCGAGAAACTGACCAGTGGTGAAAGACTTCAGATCGGTCAATTTGTCACCGCTGACGGCAACGTTGAATCCCACTTGAACATTTCTTCTGTGCATACGAATGATGGCGGATTGTACACATGCATCGCATCCAGCAAGGTAAAAATATTATTAATTTACCTCACTAACTTCAATTTATTTTGAAAAGCTTATTAACCTTCTAATCGACAGATACTAAAAAGGATTAGGTATACTTTTTCAACAGTCTAAAGGATTCTTCAACGATCACATGTAAACCTAAATAAATTGAAAAGAAAACAACTCAAAACGTTACGACATGTTTGGAAAATAAATTATATACAAAAAATAATAATATGTTATTAATGTATAATAAGTTATTTAAAGCTGAGTTAACGCAACGATTCGCGACGAACGGCACATTTTCTCCACTTGTATAACTAGAAATTCTTGTGTAGACGCTTGGGGACCACCCACACTGAGCTGCTCCGTAAGACACTACACCAACTAAATATCCTTTGTATGTAATTGGTCCACCAGAATCGCCCTGATGGAAAAGCTAAATGTTACCAATTTGAAGAATTCAATAAACACAGATAAATCGGACAAAATCAATACACTAACCCAACAACTATCCTTTCCTTGCGTTCCAGCACAGAATTGATGGTTTTGTAAATAATTATAATAGTGCTTTATGCATACACTAGTACTCACTATTGGAACACACACTATGCGAAGAGACTTCGATGTTTTGTACTGAAATAAAAATAATGAGATCTTTTACATGTCACTAATAAAATTATAGCTGTCGTCAAAAAATCTTATTATCCTTAAAATGCTAAAATGCCTTAAAATTAATTATTCTGTCTATGAACAACCCTAAGGTGAACTGGCTCGCTGATAATACTACTGAATTATGTTTACCTATGCATTGTACATTGTTACATATATACATAATTATGAAGATTAAAATAAATTAATCAAACGTACATTCGTATAAACTCCAAATCCCGACACCACGCATAAACCATTTATTTGAAGTTGGATTCCATGGCTGGGCTGCAGCATTGGAATAGCTTGAACGTTCTCCGTGAAGTTCACAGGGGAGTCCAACTATGTAAGAGCATACAGAGGAATCCTTATTACGTAAGTTACGACACTAATAACCACAGTAATGACGAATAGCCAATACACATTCAGTAAGTTGTCAGAGTAACCTTGAGTGCCTTTTTTGAGGGAGGAAAATTATCCAATATTTCTCCCGCCTTGAGTGAGGCAAGAGAGATTGTCAGATTCTTAGTAACTAAAACCTAATCCCGTTCCACCTCTTTCTTGGGTGGGTCGGAAGCCAGGCTGCAATACCTGATTGCGCTTTGCCCACAACTCTGCCATTAAATAACTTGAGTAACATTAGGTATTTTTCTCTTTTCGTCTCTACAACCTTGGAACAGAAAAGAATCTTTCGGGAATCAGACTAACAACACGTTGCGCTGCAGGCAACAAGCATCGCCCACGGCACCGTGCTGTTACAATATTAAAAATAAAAACTTAAGTATCACAATTATTAAGGAATGGTTATGGAATTAGTTCTGATCATTCCTTCCCTGGATTCTCAATGTGCACGATCGCAGTAACTTAATAATGCCTGACTACTAAAATAACACAAATATATTATTTAAATTTACCGTTAATACAGCGAAATCATGTTTAAATTCTTCCTCGTTGTAATATTTATGTCTAAAGCAGGACAAAATTTTTCTTTTAATCGTAGGATATTTTTGCACTTCTTTTGATTGTCCTGTTGAACCTAATTTGCCGGTGCCTGCTAAGACTCTATAGGTTTTTCTATTCCACAAGCGTCTAGACAAAATATAAAATAAACGTTGATAAATAACAGGAAGATCATAAATACAAACAAAACTAAGCTAACTAGGCCGAGGTCGCGGTGGCTCATTGCGCTTACCCGGAACCCCGGCTGAACATCAGACCTATGGGGCCCCATCTGTGGTGGCTATTGGCTCTTTGAGGCGCGTGCGGAACGCTACGCGCCGTACACTCGAATCTGGTTCTGGTTGGGCGGCGAGCTACCCTTACTCGCCGTCCGCAGACCCGCGCTTACGGTGGCCGGAGATCATCTCTCGATCCCCAATGCCCGGAATGTCGCCTTCTGCGGCGGCTGGGGCGCGAGGAGGATAGTTCCCTCGCGCTCTCCGCCTCCTCCTTTGCGAGCATAACTGCTTCGCAGAAGGAGGAAATAGCTTCCCAGTTCCTCTCGCTATGAACCATGGCCTCGATTATGGCCGGGCGCGAGAGGTCGCCGCCTTCGATCACTTCCAAGAGGACACGGCGGTGCTCAGCCCAGGCAGGGCATACCGCCACCGTATGCTCCACCGTATCCTCTAGGAGGGCCTCACAATGACGACACTCGTGCGATTCCTTCCGCTGGATTCGAAACAGGATCCTACTGAAGCTGCCGTGCCCGGTAAGCACCTGCGTCAGGCGGAAGGTGAGGACGCCGTGGCGCCTCTCAAGCCACTCCTCAAAGAGGGGTCTTACCGCTACTATAATAGCGTGCCCGATTTAAACACTAACATAAAACCTTGGAGTAGTTTAGAACAGCCCTGTCGAATTACTTTGTTCCTGATTGGAAACTGATCTCCAAGGAAGGTGCTTATTAAAGAAGAAAGACAATATATCCAAGTAATACCTCAGGAGACTAGATAGGATCATAGTCACTTCAACAATCACAATAGTTAATTCAGCTAGCTAGCACTGAAGGAACGTGTAGCAGACGATGCTACACCAGGACATGCCAAATACACTTCTAAAATAAGCCAAAACTATCTAAATGTTATAAATTGATATACGAAAAGGCTTATTACTATAATAAACATAAGTCAATCCAGATTCCAGTCAGCTTACCTTCTTTCCTGGCCGTCCAACGGAACTAGTTGTAGAGAACGGAAAATCTAAACCCTTTTGGTGTACCGCAAGGTTCTGAGCTAGGACCATAATTTTTCATCTAATTCATCAACTACTTAGAGATTATTTGATGATATTTTCAGACATTAAAAGTTACTTCTAAGAAAGACTTTAAACAGATATGACGGATCTATATTATGTTATAATGTTAAATAACATTTCAGTTCTGTGTATTTATAGTATTACAATAAATAGTTAAATAATGAAAATGGTGAAATTTTAAGATACTAACCTAGGAAAACAATGGGCAGCTGTTACGACATGCCTTTGGGTTACGATTGATCCACCACAAACTAATATCCAATAAGCATTTCGGATCAAATATGTTTGAATGACGATCTGAAAAAATATTTTATACGAGGTCCGTTAGGTACATTTCCAAGTTAGGAATTTATCTTTTAGTTACACCTCCATATATGTCAAAAAACCTTTTGTCTAGACAGCGTGAAGGGTACTAAGATATTGTAAAACAATTTTTGTTATTTGTAGGTACCTACTTACTAACAATTTTGATTATTTAATCAAAATTATTTTTTTACATTTATTTACCTCTATATCTTTTATTGCTTTACCTGATATGGTACTTCATTTATATCCACTTTTTGTCCACCAACTATTCTAAGGGGACATTTGTCTACCATTGGAGGGTATTGAATATTTTCTTTTAATACTTCCTGAAAGTAACAAGTTGTCCGATATTTATTATTTACAGTTTAAACACAGTTTTGCTGCTTTCTCTATCCTCCACTAATAGAACTACCTACTAGAGCAGACACAAGTATTCAGAGGATAATATTCTTTTTTTTTAATTTTACTCTTATTATGACACAAACAGGATAATATTGGATACATACTTGAAAATCTAACTCGTTTTTCTTGGGACGTTGCTTGGCAATTACGGAATTCCCAAATAGTAACTCCACATAAATTAAAATAGTTAGGATTGTCTGGCTCAATAATTTGATTTTTGGTATATGTCGATATGTTGACGATGGCAAACATATTTTATACATCCCTCACAAAAAATTTTATTTACACTCTCATATACCCGCCAATTTGATTAATACGGTGACATATTTGACACATCATTTACTTATATTTTTTCAATAAAATAAATACTCTTTGTAATTTCACTAAAAGTTAGGTGATACTTGTAGGTAGGCCCTATTGTATTACCTACTAATCCTACTAATATAAACTCTTCTACTTATAACTTCGTCCGTGCATAATAATGACATTAGACAGATTTTTTTACCGACTTCAAAAAAGGAGGAGGTACTATGTTCGGCTGATTGTTTTTTTTATGCTAAAATTTCCAAAGCAAAATATACTCTTATATTGCCCACGGTTAGGTATTTAACTGTACAACAATTACAATTATAATTAGAAGAGAGTTCTGGCTGACGTTATTACATCACTTAATTATTTCATATTACTATTTAGGTAGATATCTACCGAAATTGTAGCTGTTAACCGTTCCTAGAAATTGCCATTTAAAGTTTTTGTAAAATTAGAAAGTATGGAAGCATGGTACAGACTTTCACGTGAGTGTATTTCATGTTGCAGGTCGGAAGTGCTTCCCACGCGGCTCGCGTCAATGTTTACGGCTTACCCTATGTGCGACCCATGAAGAAACGCCCCGTCGTCGCTGGTGACAACCTCATCGTACACTGCCCCGTAGCTGGCTATCCTATTGACTCTATCGTTTGGGAACGTGATAACAGGTGAATATAAAAATGAATTTCTTTTGTTCTCAGATCAGAGCGAACATAAGGTACCTACATAAAAGCGTATAAAACAAAATTGGCCTTCTTAGTTATGAGTTAAGATAAAACTAATTGGACGTAGTTAAATAATATTTTGAAAATAGTCGGTGGACTGGTAGGAAGAAAAATGTTCCTACCACATGCTCGTAACTGGCAATTTTATTATTGAGGTGCAGGACATTAAAAAATCTTTCTACACCCGAACTTATTATTATTATTTTTTTTTTATAAAAAAAAAGTTATTTCTGAACTGCGTTTTAATTCTAGGGTACTCCCCATCAACCGCAAGCAGAAAGTTTTCCCTAATGGCACCCTCGTGATCGAGAACGTCGAGCGAATGAGTGACGAAGCGACCTACACCTGCGTGGCCAAGAACTCCCAAGGATACACCGCTAAGGGAACATTAGAAGTACAAGTCATGGGTAAGTTCGTAAGCAATAGATTTTGAAAATTGTGGTGCCCTTGAGACCATCTCTGTTTATATTAGACGTTTCATTGTGTGAGCCCAATAGCTTACATCACTGATTGATGATTTTATGAATGTTCTATTCATGTTCTAAACTAATGTTATCAAAAAAGATAATAAAGATAAACTATTATTATTTTCATACAAACCACCCTCGAAATAATTTTGAATACTAAAATAAACATAAACCTGCGTTCGATTCTCAGGTCCAGAGATGTCATTTAATAATAAAGATAACAACATTAACTTGAGACGAAACGTATTTATATAAAATTTTCTCAAAGGCCCACAACGAGTTTTACTTTGTGAATGCAATGATTTTTTCAAATACTTACGTTAGGTATTATTATTAGTATAAAGACTTACACAAAACAACAATATTATGCGCATATTATTTTTGATAATTTTATCGTTTCATTCACAAAATATTTCAATATGTTTTTTCTTTTCGAGGAATAAAACCGTTAACTCTTTCTGGTACTAAGCGTAAAAAAAAATAAAAAAAATCAATTTTACGTACCTATATTATTGTCATTTTTACAAAAAATCTGTATATTATTCAAGTTTGTTTATAAATAACAGTTAGCGGTTGTTACCGAGTTTCTATTCAAGAAAGAAATATAAAACTCAAATTTTATTATTTAGTAAAATCAACACACATACGAAACTCGGTTGTTCCTCTTTTAATAAATTGTAATACCATAATTCACGAAATCAGTACATTTCTAAAAAAAATCCTTAAAATATTTATTCAGTCATTATATAAATATATTCGAAACACTTTTATTGAATTATGGTATTATATTATTCTCATAATTTATTATGTACTAATTAAATTTATTTTCAGGTATAAAATTGTGTGTACTTAGGTACCTATATTTAATTCAATATGAATATAATTTTGTGTAATAGAAATATAGAATAGAGCAAAATGTTTATGCCCGCCAAAGCTACATCGTTTGCCACACACGTCCCTGCACTAATGCTTAGATTAAAGTAATATTTTTACACAGTGCCCCCTCAAATATTACCATTCGAGTTTGGTGATGAGCCAGCAAACGCAGGAGATATGGCTTCCATATCTTGCGCACTTAGCAAGGGCGACCAGCCTCTAAACATTTCATGGGTCCTCAATGGTCAAGTAATACCGAAAAACAACGATATGGGGATCGTTTTAACCGTAATCAACAAAAAGACTTCGATCCTTAACATAGACTCTGTAAGTGGTATACACAGGGGCACGTACCTCTGTGTGGCGACGAACATGGCTGGCTCAGTTAATCATAGCGCTGTACTCGAAGTCAACGGTACTCATCCTAATAACGTTCAGCTTGCTTTTTTCGGTTTTGTAATGTTTATTATCCCATAATCCTAACCCATTTCAAGTAATACCTATTGATTGTATAGTCCCGCCACAAATAACGCCCTTCGAATTTGGAGAAGAAATATTAAATGAAGGAGAAACCGCATCCGTGTCATGCGTGATGAGCAAAGGCGATCTGCCAGTGAGGTTCACGTGGCGATTTAACGGAGAAGAAATAAAGGCCCGCAACAACCTTGGCATTGTGCTCACAAATATCAGCAAGAAAACTTCCATATTAAACATAGAACCTGTCAGCTCTGTCCACCGAGGCTCCTACACTTGTGAAATAAAAAACGAAGCCGGCGTAACCAACCATACTACGATACTAAGCGTTAACGGTCCGCTTTGTCTCTATTAGTTTATTACCTATTTGTTTTAATCGCTTTTTTATAACAACAGTTCCTCCCCAAATCTCACCATTTGAATTTGGTGATGAGCCCGCCAACGCTGGTGATACCGCATCGGTTCAATGCGTTATGAATAAGGGCGACCTGCCGGCTAATTTCTCGTGGAGTTTAAACGGAAGAAAAATCGCGCAGAACAATAACATGGGAATAGCTATCGGGGGCATGGGTCGAAAAATGTCTATTCTGAATATTGATTCTGTCAATGGCACGCATAGAGGTTTATATGTTTGCTACGTGGAAAACCTAGCTGGTCAAGTTAATCACAGTGCCACTCTGGAAGTTAACGGTTCTGAATATTTTCATTTTTATGTAGTCTCGTATTATTATATTTTTTCTTAATTATTTTTTATATTAAATCGTAGCTTTCTATGACAGTTTTGCCCCAAATCCATCCCTTTACCTTCGGAGACGAACCAGCCAACGCGGGAGATACAGTCGGAGTGCAGTGTATGGTGACGAAGGGCGATACGCCTGTCAATATCACTTGGCACTTAAATGGGAAACCAACTAGTAATATTCAGGGAATCACAGTGACTAAGATTGGACATAAGTCAAGCAGCCTGTCTATAGATTCAGTAGCATCCGTACACACAGGAACATATACTTGTTCAGCCGCCAACAGAGCTGGACATGCTAATTACTCAACTGAGTTGGCAGTTAACGGTACCTGCATCTTAGATTGAAATTTTGGTCGTTTATGACACGCATTGTTATTAATAATTTGCTTTATTTATCAAGTTTTACCTATTTCCTTCCCCTCCTTTAATCAATCTTTCATAAGCATAAATATAAAAAGGCGTGGTGGCAAATACGACAACTTGGTAAAGTTTGACCAAACAATATTATCGAAAACCAACGTAACAAAGTTCATACTATTCCCATACTAAATACTATTAATAAGTAAACAATTCCATCAGTTGTGCCACAGGTTACGCCGTTTGATTTTGGCGAAGAAATACTCAACGCTGGCGATACAGTATCTCTCACGTGTACAGTCGGCAAAGGGGACTTGCCCCTGAAAATTCACTGGCAACTAAACGACAAAACTCTTAACTCTGGCAACGGTATACTTATAAACAGAAATGGAAAACGAGTTTCAATTTTAATATTAGATAATGTTCAACACGAACATATCGGCAATTATACTTGTATAGCTGAGAATGAAGCCGGCCGAAGTAGTCACAGTGCAGTGCTCAACGTGAATGGTACAAATAACGTCATCTAAAACTTTCGCTTAAATATTGTTCGCACGATTTTTACGTTATCTGTTTATTTGTGTATTTTGATAACACAGTTATTTTCCTCTCACACAAACCTTTCCCTACAATTAAACTTAAATCCCAACCTAGAAAACTACAAATATAAGTAAGTCGAAATACCGTTATATTAACTAGGTTTAAAACAAATTATAAAATCGTGTGTGGCAAAGAACGACATCGATGCAGCGGCGTAATTTCAGAAATCCCACTTAATCAAATTTATTTATTTTTGGTTGCACATTTACTTTCCACTTGAGATTGAAAAAACAATGTCGTACTTACATACTATCATGAGTCACATCTAGGAAGAAGCTGTCCAGTATGTCGAAATCTGGTTTGAACTCTTATAAAATTAGACAACGGCAAAGGTATCTATATAGTAATCATCTAGTTAAACGTGACAATTAACCTCTATATTTTCTTCTTGAAGTCCCTCCACAGATAAAACATTTTGAATTCGGCGAAGGTCCAGTAAATGCTCAAGAAATGGTTTTAGTCACTTGTCTAATCAGTAAAGGGGATTTACCTGCGACAATAATATGGTACTTTAATGGAAAACCTGTGAAACCTGGCGACATCGGTATCAATCTCGTGAATACGAAACGATCAAGTCAACTTAACATCGAATCTGTTAGCCATGAAAATCAAGGAAATTACACATGTGTGGTAAAAAATGATGCTGGCACCATGAATTATACTGCGGAATTATTCGTTAATGGTATCTTACGCTAAGCATTTAAGCCTGCTAGTTATTTTTTTATTTCATTTTTTCCCATCTTGTAACTTTGGCGGGCCATAAAATAATAATCCTAGAAAAATTGAAAATCAACTCGAATTAAACGGTACATAAACTTACGTATGTTATGTAAGAATCCGATATTTCAGTGGCGCCAGTGGTTATGCATTTTGAATTTGACGAATCTGTCTTTTACGGAGAAGGTGTTCAAGTCATGTGCCACGTACCAAAAGGAGATAAACCTTTAAATTTCAAGTGGACATTTAATGGTGGAGATGTGAGTTCACTAAACGGTCTGAACATCATGAACGTGGGCGATAGGGGTTCAGCTCTCATAATCCCAGCGGTGACGGCTAAACATTCTGGCAATTACACATGCACCGCCTCTAACCTTGTCGCCAGTGCTAGCCACCACGCCACACTCAATGTCAAGGGTATACCGTCACGGTGAAATGTCTATGCTTTTGCGTCCTGTGCTATTATTTCTCCCACCACTCCTATGGCAAATTATTGTAGATATATGTAATTAGTTTCACAAACCTGTCACCAAACTGACTTCTCTTTCAGTGGCACCAATTATATCCCCATTCGAGTTCGATGAAGCCGTATTTTACGGCGAAAGCATACAGATTATGTGTCATATTCCGAAAGGCGATATGCCACTGGACTTACGTTGGTCATTTCAAGACAAACCTGTAAAAAAATCTGACGCAGTAGTAATAACGAAATTAGGAGCCCGAAGTTTAGTTTTAGCCATTCCGGCTGCAACGGAAAAACATTCTGGAAATTACACATGCACTGCTTCCAATGTTGTAGCAAGCACCAACCACACAGCTACATTAAACGTTCAGGGTACACTGGTTTTCTGATTTGTTACGATAATTTTATTTATTTTTATTTTTATTTGCCTTACCAGTTCCTCCTCACATTGTACCATTTACGGCCGAAGAGCCTGTTTTTGCTGGCGAACTTATACAGTTGACGTGCTATGTCTCAAAAGGCGATGCCCCTATAACAATCAATTGGAGTTTTCATGGCCAGGAATTGTCCTCACACCAAGGAATAGCTACAATGAAGATTGGCGAACGAACATCGTTGTTGACGATATCTAGTTCACAAGCCAGCCACAGCGGCGAATATTCTTGCCATGCCGCTAACGCCGCTGGCTTGGCAGTTCATTCGACCACAGTTAATGTTCATGGTACTCCCTAAGCCCGTTAGCCGCCCTAGCCTCTCGCACGCTGCACGCTTGTCTTCGCAATAAATATATTCTTCTGAATTAACAGTGCTACCACATATCGTACCCTTCGAAACCGACGAAATGGTGTTTGCCGGGGAACCAGTTCAGCTTACTTGTCATGTTTCCAAGGGTGACCTACCTCTCGATATCAAATGGCACTTTCATGGGCTCGAAAATACCTCATCGCATCTAGATATTATGACGAACAAAATGACATCGCGCACATCATTTTTGTCAATATCTGCGGCAACTGCTAGCCACAGTGGCAACTATACCTGCGTAGCTACTAACAGAGCCGGTTCCACAAATCATTCCACTGTTCTTAATGTTCATGGTCAGTTTACTAATTAAAGAACTATATTACTATTATTATACGAGATTATACATCACAGCGGATTGTTGCTTATTGTGTCAATCATAGGTTTGCTAACAGAATCAGCATGAATTCTGAAAACAGATCATGAAACAATTTACGCCTATGCATCACATAAATTATTGATTTTGTTCCTTATTATTTCGTTTTCTAAAATATTATTACCAATCCAAACTCTCCCGTATACCATTTTGGGTTATAGGTGTACTAAATTTTCGCTTCGAAATAGGTACATCACAACTCATATGAAATTGCCAACAAAATTTGCAGCGTCTTTTATTACTAAAATTACAGGTCGTAAATATGCTTGGTTTTTCGGTGGAACCTTGTCCTCGTAGGTCCATGAAAGACGATTGACCGACGCTTGTGTTCATGATTTTATTAAGAATAACAGACCTCTTTTATTTTTGTAATACCAATAATTTGTTGTACGATAAAAAGTTAGGCGAAATTCCTTAGATCACATCATAAATATGTACCACATTATGATATTAGACAATTACGGAATTATAAAAACTTTCCCAACTAAAATAATTAGCCTTACGAAATAGCAATTCATATTTCTGAGATTTTCTTCGTTCGATTTTATTTTTAATTATTATCAATTCGTTGAAGTAATCTTTATTACTACAATTATATAATAACAGTAAACTATTCCATCAGTTGTGCCACAGGTTACGCCGTTTGATTTTGGCGAAGAAATACTCAACGCTGGCGATACAGTATCTCTCACATGTACAGTCGGCAAAGGGGACTTGCCCCTGAAAATTCACTGGCAACTAAACGACAAAACTCTTAACTCTGGCAACGGTATACTTATAAATAGAAATGGAAAAAGAATATCAATTTTGAGTATAGAGAATGTTCAGCATGAACACATTGGCAATTACACATGTATAGCCGAAAACGAAGCCGGCCGCAGTAGCCATACTGCAGTGCTCAACGTGAATGGTACTAAAATGAACACTAGCAAACATTGGTTAGCTTTTCTGCGCACGAATTCGTATCTTTATTTAGTTTATTGGTGTATTTTTGTGATTCATAGTTTTTCCTCACACACAACCTATCCTATACATTCTTTTCGTAATCTTTCAACCAAACTGATATTGTGGATTAATAATTTATGTTATTTTAACAACAAAGTATCTACTAATGGTATAATAGTTTTAACATCACATCACGGTGTTTAGAACAAACAAATATAAAATACTTATATCTTTTTATTGCTAAAAACATTATAATTTAGTCTATAGAATCCTACATTCCTAAATTTTTATAGGCATCACGTACTAATTCTTTTGTAAATTATTGTATGTACTTTGGTCTGCAGTCCCTCCACAGATAAAACATTTTGAGTTTGGCGAGGGACCAGTAAATGCTCAAGAAATGGTATTGGCTACGTGTGCGGTCAGTAAGGGAGATCTTCCTTTAACAATAACTTGGTTTTTCAACGGAAAAATTGTGAACTCTGGGGATATTGGAATCAATTTAGTAAACATGAAACGATCAAGTCAACTAAACATAGATTCTGTTAGCCACGAGAATCAAGGAAATTACACTTGCGTGGTAAAAAATGAGGCTGGCACCATGAATCATACTGCGGAGTTATTCGTCAATGGTATCTTATGTTAAGCATTTAAGCCTGCTAGATTGTGTTGTTTTAGTTTTTATAATTTATTTTTATATCTTGTAACTTTGGCGGGACATAATTATATCATTTAAAAAAAATTATAAATGAAAGAGAAATTATTGAAAACGTTAATTTCTTAGTAAATACATTTCAGTGGCACCAGTTATTACTCATTTTGAATTCGACGAATCTGTGTTTTATGGAGAGGGGGTTCAAGTCATGTGCCACGTACCAAAAGGAGATAAACCTTTAATTATCAAGTGGACATTTAGCGGTGGAGATGTGAGTTCACTAAACGGTCTGAACATCATGAACGCGGGCGATAGGGGTTCAGTTCTCATAATCCCAGCGGTGACGGCTAAACATTCTGGCAATTACACATGCACCGCCTCTAACCTTGTCGCCAGTGCTAGCCACCACGCCACACTCAATGTCAAGGGTATACCGTCACGGTGAAATGTCTATGCTTTTGCGTCCTGTGCTATTATTTCTCCCACCACTCCTATGGCAAATGATTGTAGATAATATATGTAATTAGTTTCACAAATCTGTCACCAAACCGACTTCTCTTTCAGTGGCACCAATTATATCCCCATTCGAGTTCGATGAAGCCGTATTTTACGGCGAAAGCATACAGATCATGTGCCACATTCCGAAGGGCGATATGCCACTGGACTTACGTTGGTCGTTTCAAGATAATCCTCTAAAAAAGTCTGATGCAGTTGTTATTACAAAAGTAGGCGCACGAAGTATTATTCTTGCCATTCCGGCTGCAACCGAAAAACATTCTGGAAATTACACATGCACAGCTTCCAATGTTGTAGCAAGCACCAACCACACAGCTACATTAAACGTTCAGGGTACACTGGTTGTTCTCGTGTGCTATCATTACGTACTTTATTTATTTTTATATTTTGTTTGCCCTCACCAGTTCCTCCTCACATCGTACCATTTTCGGCCGAAGAGCCTGTTTTCGCCGGAGAATCAATACAGTTGGGTTGCCATGTATCAAAAGGCGATGTACCTATGAAAATCAGTTGGAGTTTTCATGGCCAGGAATTGTCCTCACACCAAGGAATAGCTACAATGAAGATTGGCGAACGAACATCGTTGTTGACGATATCTAGTTCACAAGCCAGCCACAGCGGCGAATATTCTTGCCATGCCGCTAACGCCGCTGGCTTGGCAGTTCATTCGACCACAGTTAATGTTCATGGTACTCCCACTGCCCATTAACAGCCCCTAGCCTCTCGCACGCTACAAGCTTGATTGCGCAATAAATATACCCTTCTAAATTAACAGTGTTGCCATACATCGTACCCTTTGAAGCTGACGAATCGGTGTTTGCTGGAGAACCAGTTCAGCTTAACTGTCATGTCTCCAAGGGTGACTTACCTCTCGACATCAAATGGCATTTTCATGGGTTCGAAAATACCTCATCGCATCTAGATATTATGACGAACAAAATGACATCGCGCACATCATTTTTGTCAATATCTGCGGCAACTGCTAGCCACAGTGGCAACTATACCTGCGTAGCTACTAACAGAGCCGGTTCCACAAATCATTCCACTGTTCTTAATGTTCATGGTCAGTTTCATTTATTCATCATATCTCATGATTTGTTTAAGTTCATCATAGCGAAATAATTTTTTTAAGATTTGCTAGCAGAATTAGCATGAGTTCTGCGTGCATTTCGAAAATAAGCGTAAGCAACCATTATTCTTTTTTGTTTTTCATTTTTCGTCCCTTACATAATTTTTATCATTCGTAATGCTGAAGAACAACACTCATACTCATTCTCGAATTGAATATTTTCTTTATTCAAAGTTCTGCTCCCATAGAATAGCAAATATTTCTGTAGGTACAACTTTAACAATATATAATACACTCTCTATTTGGATTTTCCATAAAAGGGATTCGTTCATACGAGACATACCTGGGTTTATTTAGTATTTTCAGCTTGAATCTTTATCGTGTCTTAAATCTTAATGGTTTCTCTTTTCAACTGCGTAAAACTCTTCATTTACAATTATTTTTTCTTTTTCATTTAAGTTGTACCGCACATTATTCCGTTCGAAGTTGAAGAATACATATTCGCTGGTGAATCCGTGCACCTTACTTGTCATGTATCGAAAGGCGATCGACCTCTTCAAATATCTTGGAGTTTTGAAGGCCATGAAATTCCTTATCACAATAATATGGGCATAACGACTACTAAGTTAGGAGAAAAAGCTTCAGTGTTAAGTGTTCCAACTGCTATGGGCCAACACAGCGGCAACTACACTTGCACGGCCAGTAACAGAGCCGGACGCGCATATCACTCTGTCCTCGTCAATATTCATGGTATTGGATGTGTTCCCCTAGTACAATAGCTACTGTAAGAAAATTGTTCCATATGTGTATAGATATACTGCACGTTTAGATTTTTTAGAAATCACATTTTCTTTTTATTAGTCCCTCCCCATATATTACCGTTCGAAATCGAAGAATCCATCTATTATGGAGAATCAGTACAAATGACCTGCCACGCCAGTAAAGGAGACCGACCGATGTCTATTACATGGACCTTTGAAGGCAAAGATCTCTCCACTCACATGGGAATTAAAACTATGAAAATGGCGGAGCAGACATCATTTTTGTCTATTGCATCTGTGACCGGAGCCCACAGTGGAAATTATACCTGCATCGCCAGAAATAGAGCGGGAGAAGATAGATATTCCACTACACTCAACATCAAGGGTATTTCCGCTAGATGTCACAGCATGCGCCTTATGTACCTACATACTTACTAACGTTACAATATTTTCTTTATTCAGTCGTCCCTCACATCAAGCCTTTCGAGTTAGACGAAGCCGTATTTGCGGGAGAATCTGTGCATCTCGACTGTCATGTTTCAAAAGGCGATACACCTCTGAACATTTCCTGGAGCTTTCAAGGGCATCCTGTCTCCCGCAGAATGGGCGTAAAAACCACAACCCTAAGCGAACGTGTATCCGTTCTTGATATACCCACCGCCCTGGGACCTAACAGTGGCAACTACACGTGCACAGCTATGAATAGGGCAGGCATCACCAGTCACACCGTTCTTCTCAATGTTATTGGTACTGAAATATTACAGCTCGGATGTGCTTGCTTTCTGTTTAGTTCCTCCTGTGGTCCAACCTTTCTCTTTCGGCGAAGTTGCAATGAATTCTGGACAAGTAGTAACGACCCCCTGCTCCGTTATTGAGGGAGATCATCCACTGCGATTAAAATGGCTTTTTGACAACGAACCTATTAAACCCAGATCTGGAGTAACTGTATTTAACATAGGCGAGAGAAGTGCTATTCTGAGCATAGCCTCAGTAGCCCACAATCACGCTGGAAACTACACTTGTGTTGCGGAAAACGAAGCGGGAGTCCATTATTACACGTCTACTTTGATTATAAACGGTGCTTAAATTATTTTTCGATTCTGGTGCTCGGTAAATTAGTTTTTTTTGTCATTGTCGTTTTAGAAACATATATCTCTAATATATTATAATTATCCAGTTTCAAATTGAATTAATTATGACATTCCAGTTCCTCCCAACATTCTGCCATTTACATTCGGCGAAAAACCCATCAACGTCGGAGAGTATTTACAAGCTGCATGCACTATTAATTATGGTGACCTTCCACTCACAATTACTTGGCTGTTTAACGGACAGTCCATATCTCAAAGGAATAATAATTACGTTGTGAGCAATTCCAAGCGGAGTAGCTTGTTAATAATAGAATCTGTGGACGCTATACACGCCGGGTCTTATACGTGTATCGGGGAAAATCGTGCTGGCCGTAGTACCCATTCAACAAATTTAGTTGTTTATGGTTAGTCTCATCTACGGTAGCAACTTATTATTTTGTCATTTAGATAAACTTTGTTTCAGTTCCTCCCAAGATTGCACCTTTTTCTGCCGGCCCAGAACCGGCTTTTCTTGGGGATTACTTTGCTCTTCAATGTATTGTTACTCATGGGGATCAACCGGTTTTTATTGACTGGACGGTCAATAACCAATCTGCCAAATCTATCCATGGAGTGCGTGTTAGCAACAACGACCGAAGAAGTAGTGTTTTGACAATAGAGTCCGTGGATGCAACACACGCAGGACTTTTTAACTGTACTGCGAGTAACGCTGCGGGGATTGTGTCACATACTACCGATTTGGTTGTTAAGGGTGCGAATAAAAGTGTATATTTTTACGCTTCCGTCCTTTTAACCTAAAACTTTAATTTCCTCAACGCATTTCACTTTACCAAACATTTTTTACTGTCCTAGTTCCACCGTTGATAATGCCGTTCAATTTCGGTGAGGTGCCATTCAACCCTGGTGACACAGCTTTAGTGAATTGTGTCGCCACTAAGGGAGATCTTCCTCTCGACATCTCATGGACATTCAGCAGCGAGACTATAGACTCGAGCCTCCAGCGAGACATCACGACCATGCCTCTAAATCCTCGTGCCTCCATCCTCACTATCAACTCCGTGAGCGCAAACCACCAAGGAAACTACACGTGCATCGTGCAGAATGCGGCCGGCCGCGCAGAATATGCAGCGACTCTCGTCGTCAACGGCACGTCTGAATATAATAATGCTATGATGCCGACTGAATCGTTAATATGGGAACTAACCTCACAATATCGCACCTAAAGGGACAAACCGTTCACAGTCACCATTCTATACTTCTTTTGTCATTAGTCGCTAACATTGCCTGCCTCGATGGTATCCTAATCGACCTAATCCAAAAATCTATGGTTATTTCCAGTACTGCCTCGCATAGTTCCATTCTCGTTCGAGACCCCGCTGTTTGCGGGGCAGGCCAGTCAAGTTACATGTTTGATCTCGGAGGGCGATCAACCTCTCGATATTCAGTGGTACTTTGAAGGGCAACCTTTGAAGGAGAAAGCCGGCGTGACGGCAACTAAAATTGCGCAGAGAGCTTCATTGCTTCTAATCGACCCGGCAGGCTGGTCGCACAGCGGATTGTATGCGTGTATCGCGCGAAATGCCGCTGGCATGTCCAACTATACCGCCTCACTAGAAGTCCATGGTACCGTCACGCATTTGTGTACCCTTCAATCCTAGCACGGACCAGCTTTGCGTAGATTCTATATTGTATGCTTTAATTATTCCGTTACTTTTAATGAAAATAATTCTAAAAATCGTTGATCCGTAGAGTTACGAATCCTTCTCAAATTTTACTTTATTGTAAAATGTCTTCATTTGAAAGTCGTGTCACGTTTAGGTGAATACTTTAACACAATCAGTTTACCATCTCGAGAGAGATTTAAATCAGTCTTATCGAATGCTTTAGGAACCGGCTGCGGCTATCATCGACGTACCCTTTTCATCCTATCCGTACATTTGATTTTTTTATCCCAATACCGTCCTCTCCTTTGGGTTCCTTTCTTTATATTTGTTTCATTAAATTAATTTGCGTTATTGTCATTAATTTAAAGCTTATTGCTTGGCTTACTAACTTTACAATGTCAATTGACATTATTTGTTTATATTTGTAACGCGACGCTTTGAATGTTTTGATGGTGGAGTTGGTGGAGTGTAATTCTGCTTTTTATTTATTATTCTTTTATTTTTAACAAACTCCAATTTCATATTATTTGGTTTGTAGTTTGGTATGCTTATATGTAAATATATATATTTGCTAGTTCATTTAAAAGCTACTATGGCGGCGCCTTAAAGCACATACAATGATGTATCCACAATATAAATATTTATAAAAAGCTTATACAAAATGTGTAGTTCATTAGACCCAAACTAACTTTAATTAGTCGTTATAGAAGCTTTTAAATGTGTATTTAAGTATATTTGAATAAACTTTGTCTAAAATAGAAGCCGATCGTAAGAGATATATACCTTCAAGATAATAATGAAGGTTGGCACAGAAATTCTTAACTATTGCATTAATTATACCGACAATAGTTATCAAATATACTTAAATAATTATTGTTTTCAAAGAAAAAGTCCCCCTTTGTTTTGCGAACTTAAAGTAAATGTAACAGTTTAAAGTAAATTTTATGAAATAGATTTTTTATAATAATTCACATTGCTATTTTTGATCTCTGATTATCGATTTGAATCTCTTTTTTATTGAAATTTGAAAATATTTTAATTCTTTTATTTGATGATTATACAATTTATCCTCAACAAAATTAAACAAAAGAGGATATTAAAACAAAGTTAAAAATAGTCATTTTGGTCCCATACGTATGTAGCGAATGAGACACGTGCTATAACAAAATGGTGATATTTCAGTTCCCCCCCGCTGGATTATTGAGCCCACTGATAAGGCATTTGCCCAAGGTTCTGATGCTAAAGTTGAATGTAAAGCCGATGGGTTCCCTAAGCCCCAAGTGACATGGAAACGGGCTGAAGGTAACTAAACAATATTTCATTACATTGCTCACACATAAAACATTTATTATTGTAATGGACCTAAACTAAAATAAGTATCTCGTGTTGCCCTTTAGGTGACACCCCTGGCGATTACAAAGATCTTAAACCAAACAACCCTAACGTGAAAGTTGAGGATGGAACATTGACTATTGCTAATATTCAGAAAACAAATGAGGGATACTACTTGTGCGAAGCTGTTAATGGAATCGGTTCTGGACTGTCTGCTGTTATTCTGATTAGCGTTCAAGGTAATAAAATAAATTGTTGTAATAAAATCTATTATTTAACATGACAGTGCACAATTATAATATTGTTTGCGTAAAATTTTAGCTCCACCCCAATTCGAAATTAAAATGAGAAATCAAACTGCTCGCCGAAGTGAACCCGCTGTACTGCAGTGCCAAGCTAAAGGAGAAAAGGTAACCTAATTTTAATATACTAAATTAAAATGATTAATTATAAAATATAAATTAAATATCTGAAGGATCGTATTCGAAACGTAAATAGAGAACTAAAGTTATCGACATAGCCCAAAGGATTAGCAAACTGAAATGGCAGTGGGCAGGTCACATCTGTCGAAGAGCCGATGACCATTGGGGTAAACGTGTTCTAGAGTAGAGACCACGTCTAGGCAAACGTAGTGTAGGGCGGCCTCCAGCTAGATGGACTGACGACATCCGCAGGGTGGCTGGCAGTGGTTGGATGAGAAGAGCCGAACATCGAGCTCAGTGGCTTATGCCTATGTCCAGCAATGGACGACGTCAGGCTGATGATGATGATGAAGTTAAAATTTTAATCCAACTGACCATCTTAAATAATTCCTATTGTTTTACATTACAGCCAATTGGAATCATTTGGAACATGAACAACAAACGCCTTGAACCTAAATCTGATCCCCGATACACTATTCGCGAAGAAATCCTGCCTGGTGGTGTTGTTTCCGACCTTAGCATCCGCAGGACTGAACGATCAGATAGCGCTCTCTTTACTTGTGTAGCTACCAACGCATTTGGTTCCGATGACACCAGCATCAACATGATCATTCAAGGTAATTGGAAACTATTAAGATATTAAGATATTACACAGTCAATAAATATTTTCAAAGAACTAATAATAATAATGCATTATGATTTCACAGAGGTACCCGAAGCTCCTTATGGCCTTAAAGTCTTGGACAAATCTGGAAGGACCGTGCAACTGTCATGGGCGGCTCCCTATGATGGCAATTCACCAATCAAGAAGTTCCTCATTGAATACAAACGAGCCAAGGGTAACTGGGAAAAAGATATCGACAGGTATTTAAATGTTTCAATCTATTTTGCTTAAAAGTGTAAAAACAACAATGTTTTCTATAAACCGTCTTATTTTTTCAGGGTTCTTGTACCGGGAGATACGACTGAAGCCGGAGTTTTTAGCTTGAGACCCGCCACCGCCTACCACATCAGGATCGTCGCTGAGAATGAACTGGGAACATCTGAGCCATCTGAGACTGTTACCATCATTACTGCCGAAGAAGCTCCTACTGGTCCCCCACAAGACTGCAAAGTTGATGCCGTTGATAAGCATACCCTGCGCGTCACCTGGAAGCCTCCCCCACCTCAAGACTGGAACGGCGACCTCCAAGGGTAAATGAGAAATGGATACGTTAATAATTCCTCGTTTACTTAAAGAAAGGGATTGCCTAACTTTAATTTAATATTAATATCTTTACAGATACTATGTTGGCTACAAACTTGCGTCTAGCAACAAGTCTTTCGTGTTTGAAACCGTTGACATCTCTAAGGAATCTGGCAAAGAACATCACCTAGACATTCTTAACTTGAAGTAAGTTTGAACTAAATTAATTGTATTGTGCTTCTGTAACGATTTAAATAAGTAACTTGACAAACCAGCCACGTCAGAGATCACACACACATGAGTCATTTGATCATTTAGAGTCAAGAAGCATTTGATTGCATGGTTGGCGTGGTGGTTGAGCAACGCGGGTTCGATTCCCGCACGGAACAACTCTTTGTGTGATATACAAATTGTTTTTCTGTGTCTGGGTGTGATGTGCAAGACACAAGACAAAATCCTAGTTTTGGGAAAACTAGGATTTTCTCTTTGTTTTGTTTTTATTAATAAGTTATTAATAAAAACAAAATACAAGAAAACTTAGCGAAAAACCTATTAAACAATATTCTGAGTGGTTACCACTTCGCCAGCGCACGTATGATCCCTTTGGTACTATAGACTACACTTACTATCACGCAAACTTTGTTGTCAAAAGATAAATGAATCAAAAATCTGTTCCCAGGACTTATACCCAATATGCCATCGTAGTACAAGCGTTCAACAAGATGGGTTCAGGTCCCGTGTCCGGAGAAGTACGAGCCTATACTGCTGAAGGTGCCCCATCCGCACCACCCCAAGACGTTCTCTGCACTACTCTTACGGCGCAAACAATTCGTGTTTCATGGGTCTCTCCCCCTCTCGCTGCTGCTAACGGTCTTATCAAGGCTTACAAAGTGATTTACGGACCTAGCGAAACTTGGTATGGTAAGTATCACACAGAATATGCAATAAAAATGAACAGATTAAAATACCAATTCTACCATAATTCACTCTGTACTGATTGATGCTTATTTGTAGATGAGAAGTCAAAGGACACTAAGATTACGGCCAGCAGCGAAACTATCCTTCACGGACTTAAAAAATTCACCAACTACTCTATGGAAGTGCTTGCGACTACCAACGGAGGCGATGGCGTCCGATCTGCACCTATTCACTGCCAAACTGAACAAGACGGTAAGTGCAAAACTCTACAAATTCAATATCACCAGGAAGCAGTCCAAAAAGAGAAGATATTAACGTATTATAATTTATTACAGTACCCGAAGCTCCTCGTGCTGTGAAAGCCTTAGTTATGGGACAAGACTCGATCCTGGTGTCATGGAGGCCTCCTGCGCAACCCAACGGTGTTGTTACTCATTACAATGTCTACACTCAAGCACAGAACGCTGAACCCCATCCCAACAAGGTTAGTTGCGGTATCACCTTCAGCACTTAACAAACAAATTAATACAACTATATGGAATGAAAATTATGTTTTTTTTTTTGTAACCTTTATGTAGGTACCCGCCTCTCAAACCAGCTACTCGGCAACTGAACTGAAAGCCGGCCGTTATGACTTCTGGGTTACCGCTTCTACCATCATCGGCGAAGGTCAACCCTCAGCCACCGCTTCCTGCAGCCCAAGCGACAAAGGTACGGAAACTCGCCAAGCATGTTTTTTATATGCGTTTACGTAATTCCGTTATTTTTCCTTTTTTAATAATAATGCTTTTTTGCTTTCTTCAGTTCCCGCCAAGATCGCGTCATTCGACGAATCGTTCACAGCTACTTACAAGGAAGATGTCAAACTGCCCTGCCTTGCCGTCGGTGTTCCTCCTCCTAACATTTTGTGGAAGGTATTTTATGAACTCCTTCTTATGGAATTGGCATAATCAGTTTTTTCTAAGCTTTTATTCATGTACAAACATAATTATTTAAGGTGAAAGGTCATCCCTTGGAAGCTTCAGAACGTGTGCGACAATTGCCCGAAGGATCCCTGCAGATTGCTGGTGTAGCTCGTGAGGATGCCGGCGAATACTCGTGCCATGTTGACAATCAATTCGGAACTGACACTGTTACGCATACGCTCTCGGTACTTGGTGAGTATCCCTCTAATTTAGGTACCAGGTGGGCGAAAATAGGGGCTCAGTCCAGGGAGATCCGCAATATCATTTATAGCTTTTATCCACATTTAATATGAAGTAAATATCATTAAAGTTCAAATGCCCCCGTATTATTATTCGTTAACAATGCATATTAAACATGACATAATTATCATTTTTATATGACGCTAGTGTAGAACCTATTGTAACACTTTTCTGCATCACCCTTGCGGTTGGCTGGTTCTTTTGGCATTAAGTCCACTTTTGTATTTATTACTTTAAGTGTTAAAACAAAATATTTTCCGTATGGAAAAATACGTCTTGCAAAAGTATGTAACTTACGTTTTCCCCGCAGCTCCTCCCTTCCCGCCTCAGCTCAGCATCGCGTCATCTTCCGTATCATCTCTAACTCTCCGCTTGAAGCCTTCCGTCGAAGTAGACCAGTCGCCCGCCGCAGGATACACCATCCACTACAAACAAGAGTTCGGAGATTGGGAAACCGTACAGGTACCTAAATTTTTTTATTATTATTTACATTGGCCACTGTCGAACCTGGTGGTAAACGATCATGTAACCTACGATGAAGCACGCCCAACCAACCTATTCACCCGGATCTTGAAGACACCCAAGTTATACTCTTCGGAGAACATAGACCTCTGCAAAGAATTTCAGTCCAGCCAGTGCCAGTAAGTATACTCTTCAATTAACTCTTCAATAGTTGCAGGCTTTATGTTTTATACGTGAACGTTTTATTTGCTTATTCAGATTCCAAGCACTACTGACACTTATACGTTGGAGAACCTGTTCTGCGGATCAAGATATCAACTCTACGTTACGGCTTATAATGGGTAAGTAATATTTTAATACAAGACATTTCACACTCCTTTTCCATTAGTTATTTGACCACTTTAATATGATATTTTTAAACGAGTCCTGGTTTTTATACGAATCTTCCTAGTTGAGACCTAAGGTTGAATAAGGTTTACCGGTTTTGGATCGGGCAAAATACTCTTGGAACTTCACAATCCTAGCACAGTGTTCACGGCACAAAGCGGCGAAGTCATCCACTATCATGAGATTCGTAAATAACGACGAAAACTACATTAAACATATGTGCACAGTGCACTTTTGAACTTTTGGGACTATAATAACAACAGTATCGTCGTACTTTTAAATAAAATTCTAGTATCACAATGTTATTCTAGTATCACAATGCACAAACCTTTAAAATTGTTTCGTACGTAGCATCGGCACTGGTGAGGCTTCAGACGTGGTTATCGCCCGCACTCGTGGATCCAAGCCCCCGGTACCTCGCGCCGCTGATTTCATCGAAGTTGGAAGCTCCTCAGTGACCCTGCACCTCAAACAATGGTTGGATGGCGGATGCCCCATGAGCCATTTCGTCGTTGAGAATAAGAAGAAGTAAGTTTTCATAATTTGTTTACTTTAATATTTGAATAACTCGTTTTTCTTTTCAATAACTTTAGTGGGTATATGTAACTAACACACATACCTACTAAAGTTATTGAAAAGAATATTATAAAACAAAACAATTAGCCAAAGACAATGGGCCTTTCAGTCACCAAAGCTTTCATTATCTCTAGCCATATATTTTTTTAATCAAGTCTCATAAAGTTCCGTTTCCATCCAAAACACAACTTAATCAAAAATAAATATTCTATTTTTGTACCAGGGGTGCCGCTGAATGGAATCAAATCTCCAACGCTGTGAAACCTGGTGGAAACTTCGTCGTACTCGGTTAGTACTTATCAAATATGGAGTTGCTTATTCTGTCTATAGAAGTTTGGTAGTAATATTGTATCTCTATTGGTAGATCTGGAACCTGCCACTTGGTATGTACTGAGGATTACGGCCCACAACAACGCTGGATTTAACGTCGCCGAATACGAATTTGCCACGCTTACCATGACCGGAGGTTAGTAACCGATTTTTAAAACTTATACTTTGATATTAATTTCCCTATTTTATGGCCAAAAGCCTTTACAACATTGCTGTTTCATAATTACACCAGAACGTACCTGAAATGCATCGCCTTTTATTTTAATTTGTTCATCTTTGTATCGGTGTTTTTAGAATAAAGTAACGTGGGGCTTGCATTTCAGGTACTATAGCGCCCGCGCGCGAGGTCGGCGGCGGCACTCTTACCCCCGAACAGACTCTCAAGATAATCCTGTCGCATCTTAACCTTATCGTGCCCGTAGTCGCCGCGATCCTTGTTATCATCATTGCTATCGTAGTCGTTTGCGTGGTACGAGGTGCTCGGGACCATCACAAAGGTAAATGATCATCTCTTACTGTGCTATTCTAGGAACCATTGCTCCCTTACCTGGCAACATCGGCACCGACAAGGAACTGCCCCCTTGGGTCAAGGCTTGGCTAGAACCAGAAGTCTTAGTACCAATTTTGGCAACAATCGTGGTGTTCATCGTAGGCGTGGTGGTGATCTGTCTGACCTTAGCTCGCAGAAACACCCCGCATCGCCTGCGAGGTCAGAAGGACATGTATTGTATGTATGGTGGCATGGCACGCCGCTTTATTACTATTTATTTTACCCAAATTCGACTTTATAGCGTTAGTTCGTACTTAATCATTAATCATTCGTGCATATATCAATCTGTCATCTATATTTTGACCCATACTGATTCTTAGCATTGACCACTAAGTTTCAATCATTAATTTTATATTTTGATTTACCAAATTCATAGTTTGATATAATTTGCTCGTCATAAACAAGTACCTATTTAATCGATGTTGTGACTAAGTAATAACTGTGACAAGAGCTCATAACTAGAAGTATTTTAAGCTTGTCAGAATACGTGAGTAGAGAATTAAAAGTTATGGAATAGGAGGAAAGGTGGCTTACATATATTTGTCGTGTTAGACGACGCAGTGTACAACGCGTCGCAGGCAGCGCTGGGCGGCGGCGGCGGTACTTTGGACAAACGCGGCGGACTGCGGGACGAGCTCGGTTACATCGCGCCACCCAACCGCAAGCTGCCTCCCGTGCCCGGCTCCAACTACAACACCTGCGACCGAGTCAAGCGCCAGGCCGTCATCAGTGAGTACCATACAATCTACAACTTCACCCACGAAACAAATACTTTACTTTCACTACCTAATTGTATCATATGAAATGTATTATACATATATAAAACGCAGAACACAAAGATCAAAGAGACTTTAAGATAGATAAAAAGTAAGTGAAAGACGTACTTTAAAAACAAAAAATGCGTCCTTTAAAGATTAACAATATAATTTGTCACATCTTTTCACATTCATTATCCACCACATACCTACTTTTAAGTTACACACAATCACTGTACCAAGTAGTTGGAACATAGAGCCGCCGACCACCGGTAAGGAATCGTCGATACTTTCCTTGAGGTAATGGTTTATGTACACTTAGTACTTTATGTTACTTCTTACTTATCTTCTTTTTGCACGACTATCGCTCTGACTCTTCTCTGTGCTTCATCTTCTCTTTCTTTCCTTAGAGGTGACTGTATGGTGAAAGTTATGTAGTTAATAGTTTTACAAAAAATGTAAGAAAATGTTATATGTTCCAAAAAGTCCACAGTTACGTAGGTTTTAATATTACTTGCAAGTTTATGTCCAACTCCTCATGTTTAGTTAAGCTTTATATTTTAGATTCAGTTTAACGTTTGGGTCATTCCGTTATAGGTACAATACAGAGGAAAAAATATTAAACAAGCATACTTATTTCGTAAGATGGTTCAGTTAACATTCCAGAAAATAATAAGTATAACGATCTGACCCAAAAGTTAATTCGTCAAATATGGTACAACACTACTCAATTAAATCAAACTCACTTTTTATCTTTTCTTTTTTTTTATAAGTATCGCTTCACTATCTGGTTTCTGTTCAATGTCGTGGGCGAGTTTACAAGCACAACAAAAATATTTAATAGAGGCTCTCGTAGTCGCATTTTGCGTTACTTAATAATTATTACAAGGGCCATTGGCAAAGTGAGTGAGATTGTCATTGAGTGGTGTTTCGGGTGTTAGCGCATGCGTAACGTTAGTATGGTTCAGTGGGCGCGCACTCGACGTGGGACCCGCGCCGCCATCACTACGAGCGAGTACGTCGCCCGCGCCTGCGCAGGGCAGGCTCCGGAGACACCGCCTCCACAGGTCAGATCAAATGCATGCATGACGTGAGCATACAACTAACCCGACACAATAATGGTAGATGTCATAATAAAACAAACTATGATAAGTGACATAAGTACTTTCATAAGTTTTAAAGGGAATACGAATAAAGCGATACGTATTACTGCGTAAAAGGCAGTAGACCTTTGGCTGAAATCAATGAAAAAGAACCTATTTGTAAACCTACTTATATAATAAATGTATGCAAATTGTTTTGGTAAGCGCATAACGCGACAACGCCTGTGCCAATTCTGCCAATTCTTTTTTGCTGTATTTGTTATTAACAGGAGAAGGTTCTTATCACAAAAATATAAGAAAAGTAGATAAAAAGTGACCCTTTCGTTGCTAGCGAAATAGTTAGACCCACGCGAAGCGGGGCGATCCGCTAGTGTTCAATGAAGTCAGTTGTATGCTCATGTATTGGTAGGTAAAGAAGGCATTTCAGTTTAACAAATGTCTTCTTTATTGTGCCTTGGATTGTGAGACAGATTTGCAGAGAATGATAACTAAAACATTTTTACCTGAATGACTGAATGACCCACTATTAACAACAAACGAGTGAGTATATACCTAATAATTAATTATTTTACTTATGCATGATATATACTATGTTATTATATTTTTGTTTGCACTTGTCTAACCCCAGTTATTTTGAGTTGCTTGCTTTAATACTATTATGGAGTTTTGTTTTTCAATAAATTAATGCAAACGAACCGTAAGTGGATGCTAACTTGGTATTAAGATTAAGAGAGAATATATTATAACGTTATACTGTGTAAACTTTATCAATTGTGTTTTGAGTAACAACTGGAAGACTAGGTGTTATATTTTGGCATGAACAATAACTGTATTTATAGCTATACCTAAGTAATACACAGGAGATTGGAGTGGATGTTACACTATCACTAATCTGATTCTTAAAAAATTGTAGTAAGCAAATTGGAGTACTATTTCTTTCGAATATCGTATCGATAACGAAATCAAGAAAGGAAAACTTAGTTACTTTTAAACAACAATAATTAAGTATTCCAATTGTTTACTACTTACTAAAGAATAATTCAATGTCTAATATACCTGTGTTTCGTTGTATGAACAGGCATGGAAGACGAAATCTGCCCGTACGCTACGTTCCATCTGCTGGGCTTCCGCGAGGAGATGGACCCCAGCAAGGCTCTGGCCTTCCCCCACCACCACCCCGCCCACGCTGGCACCCTCGCTCATCCTCACCCACACCACCCTGCTCACTCTCGCGCCGGATCCCAGAGCATGGTATGTGCGACATCACTATATCTATAATATATACATACTTAAATATTATAAAGAAGTAAAGTTTGTATGTAGGGGGTAATCTTTGGAACCACTGGTCGGATTGCCACTTCTAATTTTTTCACTGATAGTTAGCTAAAGTGTTCCGTTGTAAAATTAATATACAACAAAAATGTTACTTGTAATGTAATCTTACTAGTAACAGTAAGTATGGTCAAAAGAAAACAGGATTTTAATATGAATTTATGTCGTTTTAGCCTCGCGCCAACAGCCGTTATGCACGCAAGAACTCTCAGGGAGGACAGAGCGCCATCTACTCGACTGCCCCCGAATACGACGACCCGGCCACCTGCGCTGAAGAAGATCAATACGTAAGACCACTTACTCTATAAATAGTTACTATTTCTACAGACCTTTAGTCTCTAAGATTCCATAAAGCCTATCTGTGGCTGGCGTGGTGTTGCAAGTTTCAAGACCTCATGGAGCCATTCTTTGTGTGTTCACGAAGCTTCGTTCAGAGTTATAATAAGACTAGTTCCCGGTCGTGGTTTCGCCCACGTGGTATGATGATTAAAAGCCTATGTGTTAATCCAGGGCATCACCTATCGAAATACCAAATTGAATAACAAAAACACGTCTATACATTCTCACAAACTAATCGAATTAGTTTGTTGGGACAAGCCGTGCAACTCCTGTAAGACAGGATCTACACTAGATACAACCACGAAAACACCGGAACATTTAAGTCCCCATTAGTAGGATTTATTGAATAATACCTGTTATATGAAATAATTCGTCCGTTTGTGTCCCCAGCGTGCCCGTTATTCTCGCCCGATGTACGCTTGTGGCCCTGAGTACGACGAGCCTGCTTGCTGCGCTCCCGAAGACGAACAATACACCGGCGCTTACGGCACTCCCTACTCCGATCACTATGGATCTCGCCCCAGCATTGGTAAGTTCAAGTTGATCATTTAACTAGCATACACATGTAACAGAATATACATGTTGCCATATGCAATAAATTTTGTTAGTACATAAAAATAATGATATGAATAAATAAATATTGTGTCTGGTGAACGACATAATACACACACGTTATACTATATAGGTATAAGTACGTATTTCTCAAAAACCTCAAAGTCAAAGTCAAAGTCTTTGCCCTTGTTTCTGTTAGTAATAAGTTTTTATAAGTTTTGAAATGTACTAGTTTTGGGTATAATATAACCTCTGTACAGCATACGTTTCAGGTACCCGCAAGTGCGGCGGATCCCCCGAGCCTCCCCCACCCCCACCACGCAACGCCAACAACGACAACAATTGCTCCTCCTCATTCAATGAAAGCAAGGACTCGAACGAAATCTCCGAAGCCGAGTGCGACCAGCCACGCAACTATCCCGGTACGTTACAAACTAACAAAGAAATATATCATCCCCACACATTACTTTCATTAACATGACAAAGCAAAAAAAATGCTATATAGTAAAAAATATCTCTTAAATATACGTCGAGAAGAAAATTCGTTTTAACTTCTGACAGGGACACAACTTCAACTGGATCAACTGTTGATAAAGCCGCAAATCTTAAATCGTACTTTTTTTATAACAATGCTTTATCATCAGTATCACATATTTATGCAGTGATTATCATGTGCTGCTTCTACAAATATTTTAAACACCGTTACTGGGTACTAATTTTGTTAGCAGTTTCAAGTTTTTTTTTTCTATTTAGTTACCATTGATGCTAAATTATATAATTCAACATAATAATGATATGAGAAATTAAATAAATCAAATTAATACCCAGTAAAAATAATAAACAAGAAAAAAGTATGGTTTAGTTTTCTACATCAGTATTATCGTAATTCCACCCTTTGCAAACCACCTTAATTTTAGAGATGTTTTTAGAACTAAATTGAAATTGATTGTTGAATTGGTTTATGCACACTTGGGTGTCACCTGAACAGAAGACGGTAAAAATTTTGGATCGATTTATTTGATTCCTTTATGTTTCTAATTATTGTGACTGACAGCATGCAAAATTTGTACAAGTAATAACAAATTGAAAAGCTTCAAGATTAGAGTTCTTGTAATTGGCTTACCTACCTATCTTTATTTTCAAAATTACATCTACTTTTATATTTTTTTCACTTTCGCACTTGACGATATTAAAGTTATGACTTGTATACATTAGAATATAAGGCTTTAATATCGGCAAGTTCTTAAATTTACTTTGGGAAAATATTCTGAATAATTTTCTTTAAAAACAGTTTCTATAAATTTTCTATTTTATGTGCTTAGACGTGATTGTGTTAACTAATTAATTATATTTGAAATGATTCTGTAGATATTTAGTACGTGTTTTGGAGACGGACATGCGCGAATAACAACCACATAATGAAGAGCTGTGCATACTTAAGTATTTAAATGGTATAAAATAGTTCAACGTTCCACTGAAGCATGCTTAGTTATTACGTGGTTATTATTCGCGATGTCGTGTAGAAGGCGGCTCAAGGTGTCGTGGCTAGTATAGAGCGCGTCGTGACTTGTGTGTTGTTGCAGTAAGGGCCCACACTGCTAAGGACGGCTTGCACAGCGAGGAAATGAGGAAACTCATTGACAGGTCAGTTTAATAGGCCTTGCACAACCCCTCTACAGACATTGTCTCACTACAGTAAATCTTATTTCATTCATTATTTGTAAAGCACATACCTAACATAGGTACTTATAAAACGTTTTAAAAATTGCTACAACTGCATTTATTTTAAAGGAAGGTTTAAAGAAACATGTATTATAAGCCTAGTTGAGACGATAAACTAAATATTAAAGTGTCCCTTTAAATGCAAGATTGAACACTGACAAACTCACACGCACTGACAACACTACATACTAATACGTGAGCCGGATCCCTGTGTGAGCGCTAGCACGAGTACATTGTGACGTGATAGATGAATTTACCTTTAAAGCATTGTGTACTAGTCTATGCTCGTTATTAAGCATGTGTTATGTTCTGCATCCATGATCTACAGGAAACAGTAAGTCAAAGTATGTGAAAATGAACATTTTTAAAAGAATATAATCCACCTTAATTTTGCCTGATATTTTTGTTTCGTAATTAACCTTTTGTGGCTAACATTTGAACCAATGTGCACTAATATATTATGTTTTGCTCCCAGAATGGTAAGGCGAATAATTTATTATGTACCTCAGCTGATTTGGTTTTATTTTGTGAAGATTGCGTTGCCCATAACAAACGCATGAAATGTACATACCATGTATAACTATAGCCCAATATGAACTAGAACAGAGCCCTGGCACTTGTTACTTTTAGTCCAAGCGTGATGGATTTAGTTGCTTATCATTTAATAAGAAAAACTTTATCCCTTAAGTCGGTTTTTCTTTAGCTACATTTTATACATTATACTAGATTTATTTAATACACTGTAAATAGTCGCCAAATGCGCGGACCTGTACCTTATTATATTGGTGTTCCTCATATAGAGAACCCTTTAGTAATACTAGCAGTGCTATGGTTTTCCAAATGCTTCGAACAATGTTTATCAATGCCTGTCTTTGATCTTAAGGCTCCACTTTAATGCTTACAAAACATAAAATAATTAAATGTACCTTATTACGGCGCACGTGAGCAGTCATTCAACAATATGAACGTTTGGGACCGTGTTTACAGACCAGAAGCAACCACCCCAATCCCCCAGCAAGCAGTCCACGGGCGGGGACTCACAGCCTACGATACTGTGGCAGTGTAACCTGTAAACTGGGCCCCGTGTCACAGCGCGGCGACACACGCACATTTTATACTTTAATTTAGTGGACCATTACCATCTTGCTGATTTACCGCTCGCAAGCTTTGCAAAACATTTCTTTTTTCATTATAAATTTATCAATTGCACTTTCGCCCTATAATTTGGTCTACCATTCAGCAAGATGGTGATAATCGTGCCAAATCTACTCTTTTTTACAATTTAATTTGTGTGTCGCATTTTTGTATTACTATTTAATTTTAAATTTACCCCAACTTAGTTGGCTGGACATTTTACTACTTATTTAGTATACTTTTTTCTTACTTTATCTGTAGTAAATTTGGTAAGTTGAGTAATGTAAAAAATATAGTCCACCTTCCCAAATTAGAGAAACCTAAAACGCGTCACGGTAGAATTTACCATTAAAAACAGAAAATTATGGTTGTGGTAGTTATCTCAAATTGATATATTTGCTTAAATAGATAGGTGACGCGATATGTCCTATCCAAGTCATTATGTATTATACCCACATCCTACATACTCGACTTCAACACGTTTACTACATAATTATCCTTAATTATAATTATAGTTTACCTTATTTGTTCAGCTTAATTTAAAGAAAGCTTCAGTAAAATGTATCTGGATTTGGGGTGTTTGGGATTAAATTTAAATTAAGCTCAACATGTAATAACGTATGTGATATTTTGTATTTTTATCCCATTTTTAATTTTTACATGGAATAATAATCGACGTAAACTTTATTTATACTCTTAGGATGGTAATATTAGGTGACCACAACCAAGTGGTGTAACGATGCTTCCTTTTAACGTTATTGCTTTTAATTATTCTCTTTGTCTTTTTCGTTGTTGTCACACGTCCTATTTGTGTCAAACATGTTGGTTTTGATTTTGGCATTTATGCATATACTTAGGATAAGTTTAGATATAAATTTCTTTATTAGTAATTAATCAACTTTTAAACAAAGTACTATATAATCCGTAGCTAGTTAGTAACACACGTTACGCATTATAACTATGTTAAATTAATGGTAATCAATTTTAGTACTACTTTTGAAACGCATAAATATCTGGAAGTGTGTCATACTAATGATAATATTAACAGTTACCTAAAATAATAGCGAGGAATTAAGTATTCAATCTACGGCACCTGCAACCCATAGCAAACACTGCTGACATGGAATTTATAATAATCTTTTAAAATATTAATCTAGTACAGTAAGGTGCATTTTTAATAATCATAATCGTAATTTTATCCTTCTATATTACGCAGACGAGTAGGTGTAAGACACTCGAGTGTCATTTTCTAGGTGTTTCCCATTATATGTTGTGTATTGTGGTGTAAGCTTCGCAAAGTAGGCTTGTAGTTAGGTTTTCGCGACTTCCTAGCAACATAATCTTCTCTTAACCTTCCAATTAGAATTCGATTAAATAAAAATCTAGTTAAAATTGAAATGTCAACAAAATAAATAAAATTTATTCAAAATTATTGTGGTAAATAATTCTATTAAAATTTGTACCATAATCTTATTTGTATTGGCAATGGAGAGAAATTAATTGTTTATATATTTTCGCTTATGTCGATGTGCGTTTGGTTTGCAGCTATTTAAAAAGTAAGTTTCGTAATTTTTATGGCGGTATGACATCGATAACCACAGCTAACTAACTGTACCAAAGTGTTTGATTTGTGTTAAATAAACTACTCAAATGTCAACTACGCAATGTTGTTTTAATTAAATATATTTTACTTAAACACCCTTACATACATAGAATATTTAGGATATTACTCTACAGATAATGTTGAATAAATAAAATAAATATGTTCTACTGGAAACGGCGTTTATTCATACAGAGACGTAAATTAAATAGTTCTTTTAACACTAACTGTTCGTGGCAGTGTGGAGTGAAAACATTAACCAGACGCAGCCTTGACAATCTCCTCGGCGACTTCTACGGCGATAGCTGCTTGAGCCTTGGCCTGCAAACGAAGAGTGTTTTGTAGGATTACATAAGTTCCAATAGAAAATAAAGAGGTACTGGTGGTAGTTGGTAATGCTATTAAAATTCTAACACCAAGAGCCGCAGAAGACCTCCATGACAATCCTGATATACAAGTTAACAGCTATAAGGAAAGTTTTTTTTATAAAATCAGTGTGATTCCCTAGAAGAACCAACCTGGGTAGTAATATAAAAGCCAGGTACAGTCAGCGTCAAATAAATGGGGACTCACAGGGTAGTCAATTAAAAAAAAATATATAGACAGCAAAATACCAGTATAACAAAGTCACCATATAGTCACACATTCCGTGCCCCCGACTCGCCCAGTGTCTACGTAAATTTTATTCCAGTGCCGTGGATTCGCCTGGCGAGTTCAACGTAAAATGTACGAGAAATTGGCGGCATCCGAGATATCATTGTCAAAATCGTAGTGGTAATGAAATTGTTAAATATCAATACAGTTCATCGAAGCTATGTAATTTTTCAAAAATATGGAACAAATTAGGAAAATGAACTTTAGGATGATAGATTTTAAATATTAAGTCACTCGTCTAATACAACTGAAGGGTTTGACAATTAGTCATTGGCATGTATTTTGTTTTATAATGTAATTTGTGCTTAACCATTTACAAAATAATTATGTACCTATCTGTATTGTAAGCAATAAGCAGTGAACTGAGAATATTTTATCACCTATAGACCTCAAGAATATAATACACGTATGTGTGATGATTTAGAACGAAACAAAGCTATAATTATACCGCAAAAGTAATCTACACTAATATTATAAAGAATTAAAATTTGTAAGTTCGTAAGTTTGTATGTAGGAGGTAATCTTTGGAACCGCTGGTCGGATTGCCAAAATTCTTTCACTGGTAGATAGCTACAATGTTCCTGAGTTCTTTATGCTATAAAACGCGAGAATAGCTAGTACGAGATAAAGCCGACGTTTAAGAAACAATTTTCTTTTTCTGTCAAGTGACTTGATCTACAATTTTAACATTTCAAATGCTTGGATACCATTGATTGATTAAATGTAGGTACCAATTATATGACGTCGACTGTATGAGCAGATTCATGCATGTAGGAACTTGCTTGGTAGATGTTTCAACTGCACGGGAGACAAAAGTGTAAGATTTTTTTATGTATATGAGGATGTATGCTCACCTTTTCATTACCAGCAGAGTTTAATTCAGACTGAGCTTTGCTAAGGGCCTCCTGAGCTGCGCTTCGGTCGAGATTTTCCAGAGGGTGGGCTTCCTCAGCAAGTACCTACAACAATAATGATATTGCATTAAAGAGAATATTTAAGTAATAACTGGAAATATTGGTGTACACTTTGTGCAATCTAAGTCTGAAAAATATAAAATTAAAAAAAATTAAACCTGTACCAAATTGGTATTACGTCGTTATATCGTCGTAAGATGTTTGATTCTGGTAATAAAGTTTAAATTAGATTAAACATTTACTTATTTAAAAAAAACATCCCTTTGCATTTACAATTATCCTCCTTATTTTAAATCTCATTCCCTGTTACTTACTTTAATTATCATAATGGTATTTTAAAATCAAAGTTATATTTAAAGATCAAAATATAATCTAATCAATAAAAATTGGTATTTCTATAGTCGATAACTTCCAGTTCCATTCCAGTATAATAATGACATTGGTGAAGGTGACTTTTAAAACCACCTTAATATTATAAAAAATGTGTACCTGGACAGAAGAATCATCATTGACTGTGACTGTGCCTGAAGACACAAAGATTTTGCTAATTTTTCCATCATTTTCTGTCACAGTAACAATACCGGGGCGCAGGACAGCTGAAAAAAATATAATACCATTATTGCTAATACTTGCAAAATGTAAGAAGTGTTATTTTGTTGAACTTTAAATTAAGAAATACTCAACTGCATATAATATGTAATTGAATATAATAGGTTAACTACTTAATATTTTCAACAAATTCTTAAATAGGTTTTTTACACCATAACTAGAATATTGGCATACAATATCAATTCCTCAATTTTTTATTTATTCAAAGTAAACAAAACTGGTTCTTTTTTCTTCCAAACTGAAGGCTAATAGTGAAGGACAATAGCATCAATATTATTGTGGTAAGAAGCAATTAGCGTACCAAGTGTGGGGACGTGTTTGGGCAGGATACCGAAAGCTCCGCTCATTGATGGCACATCAATTTGCTTAACAACTTTTTTGTCGTAGAAGACCTGTAATAATTAACATTAACAATCTTAAAAGTGTCTGATTTTTCACAAGGTAATATAGTGCAACTGCTTAGTACGAGGCTAGCAATAGCTTGCAGAGTATTATTAGGCATATTTGATTGATTGTCTGAAATTTCACAAAACGCTTATCCATCTTACAATGAGGTTTATAACATAATAATGATATTTTTCCTAACATTTAATGTCATGGATTTCTGCAAAGTAACACCTGATTCTATAAATTATAACAATGATATAGTTATAAATTACTTTTTAATTAATTTATTTATTACATTTTAAAGAAGGCTTACAGACTAATAGGCAAATTATATAATGACTCTAATATTATCAGGCTGCTTATTGCCTCCACAGATAAAAAAAAAGAACTATTAATATAACTGTTGGAAGGTAGTTGTTAGTTATTATTGATTTACTGAGACCTCTTAGACTTACAGTTGCCTAAAATATCCCTATGATAATAAAAAAGTATTTTTAGGGTAATATGTAATATGTATTTTTAAATAGGTAGGTTAATCATGTTCATTCTCAAATCATTCATCAACAAATTCCTAAATTAGGAGATGTATTGGTTGACTTTGCAATGCTGGGGCCACAGTGATGGGAAATATCATAAATTAACGTGATAATTCATCATATTAAACAATGAAAAATTTACCTTACATCAACATACAACACAACATAGTGATCAAATTACACACCTACGATTAACTTCCATTATCGTGATAATGAATGGCATTTCCCGTTGGAGTGGCCCAAGCATAATATTACACTTATATCTAACTACCTTTCATTTTTGAGGGAAATTTTTAACTAAAGTGAAGCATTCTGAGTTTCACAGGATTAATACATATAATAAAAAAATAACTACCTTATTGCCAGCAGCAAATGTAAGTGCCATTTCGTCACCCTTGGGAGCATCTGCATAGCTACGTACTTGGAGCCTCCTCGCCACAGATCTTAAAGCACCACGGAATGCCAGAGCCATTCTGTAATTATTATATCAGATTCTGTATTTCATTGTTATCTCTCTCATCTACAGCTATGCTATATGAAAAATGTTAGTACGAAAAATCAATATATAACCTACTAAAATTAAGGTTAGAAGTTCACAAATTGAATGTTATAGGGTCATAAATTACAGTTTAGAACATTTAATTCCTAACCTACAAAACTAAATTGTAATTACTATTTACTTGCTTTTAATTAGTGTTTACATGGGTTACAAGAAATGCAAAGCATACGTTTAAGTTATCTTATTTTTGGAATAAAAGGATAAAATCTCTTTCTTATCATAAAAACAATCCTGGATTATGTAATAATTTTGTAGTAAAACACAAAACTGTACTAGGCCTGAAACTTAAATTTATTCGGATTTTCACACACTTATTTAATATTAAAATAACGTTTTTCATCTTACTTTGATATTTGAAGCGGAATTTATGAATTTTCTAAGGAGAACTCAGTTTTTTCTCGGCACCCCTTGACTACACTTGACAGATAGTGAAGTTATATTGGTATTGCCAGTTATCACATATTATCATGCTATATTTATAATATTTTTTTCATTGTCTGGACTAGACTTTAAAAGATAATCTCCTCTGAGTTTGTTTCGGCATAATATCTTCTTAGTAGTAGTCAGATGCATCACCTAGTTTCTTTTATTTTTAAATATAACTAATAAAAGCGCTTTTTAAAAAATCCCCTAAAGGTTAAAATACTCGAAAATACACGTCAAAGTAAATAATTATTTCTATATCATCACACAATTTTATCCATTTTCGTTTATACGGTTTTCTCGTAGACCACATTTGTCATGGAAATTGGATAAGTACAACACTATTCAAGAATTTCATGACACTGACAAGAGGGAAGCTTCGTAACATTCATTTTGACATTGACAAACGCGGGAAAAAATTTAAGAAACGTTTGTTTTGTTTCTCGTTGTTTTTCTTGCTTATTTAATTTTATAAGTTTTGTTCGATATTTAATTATTAGAAAACCTCAAATAACTCGTGTTTTGTAATTAATCAACTTTACAACAGGAAGCGGGTCAACAAAATTGCTTCTGTCTAACATTAATGTACGTGCATTTTTGTTGAACAGAGGTTTTATTAAAAATGAATTTAAAGGACCTGGATGTAGCAAAATTATCAAGATTAACATCCTTACAAATCGACCATGTTACTTGTTTGGAATGGTAAGATTTTAATATCTGTCGCTAATACAAACAATTGACTTCTTACCAAACTAACCTTGTATGTTATAAATTCCAGTTGTAAATACTACATAGCACCTGCAACGGCAGCTTGCGGACACACACTGTGCCATACGTGCTGGCGAGGACGTCGCACTTGCCCAGCTTGTGCCAAGCAACTAGAGCGCAAGACGCTTAAGCTAAACATTCCTCTTCAAAAACTAACAGAACATATCCAAACGCTTGGCGAAGCGTTTGAAAAACTTTTTAATGTCAAATGTAAGTCGTAAATGTCTGTATAACGTATTGTTATAAAAAAACCCAAAATCTTTTTTTAAGGAAAAAGCAACATGCTTGCTATGAAATTTATCAATATGTCTTATAATTTTCATAAATTCATCTCTGCCTACTGTTCTAAGGAACTTCTCTACCTGATTATTGTTCTAATACTTACCAATACTCATATTATATTTCAGTGGATGAATTCAATCTGGACACTCCAGGTAGACCTGATTCTGAAAAAGATCCTGATAAGAATGTTAAAGATTGGTTAACAAGCTCACAGAATCATTTTTCAGCAACAGTTCAGAATACTGAGGAATTTACTCAAGATTTACCACAACCAATCAATCCATTGGAAATATCAGCAAGCAATATAATCATTCATACTGATACTAGGAAAACTGTAAGCCCTCCAAAAGTGGTTCATGTACCACCTCCACAAGATGATTGGGACAAAATAGAACCAATGCCTGAGCCAACAAATAACAAAAAAAGTGAAAACATCATTGGACCAATGGATATAGAACCTTTTTATGTTGAGGATACTGAGTATACTACAGATAATCCTCGAAGAAGCTCAAGAAAAAGAGATTTAAAAGATGAATTAGCCACCAAGGACATGTCTTCTAACATGCATAGTTCTAGAGATTCAAGTGCTGATAATGATAAAAAGTCACAAAAATCTAAACAAACTTGGAATAATGTTAAAAAGATGAGAAAAGAGTTCAGTAAGTTGAATAAAAAAAATAGAAATAAACTTAATGTTTCAATTGAAATGGTAAAGAAGACACAAAACCTAAAACATGTTGCTAAAACGCCAATAACAACTCAACAGGCTTACAACATTGATGACAATACCCCAGAATTTTCTAATAAAGAAAATGAGGATGTAAATATAAACCAGGCTGAACTTGTAAATGATATAATTGATACAAAAGTGAATGTAACAGAAAAAGAAAATAAAAAAGATTACCCTGTAAATGATGTAGTTCAGGGAATTGAAATTATACCCAGTGACAATTGTGAAGAAGATGAAACAAGTAACAATATAAATAAAGAAAATCACACCACTTTTAAATGTATTGAACAATCTACTGAACTACAAAAACACACACAGGTTCCTCAATCAAAAATGACATTTATAAAAAAAGGTGCATTAAATCCACATAAAACTGAAAATTCTGTTGTGAAAGTAGTTGCAGATCCTATACAACCAATCACGAAATCTGTTCAATCTGAAAACTCTGATGACATTGAAATCTCAATTAAAATAGGAAATACTATAACAAATATAGTAATAAAAAAGAAAGAAAAAGATGTTCAGGTAAAAATTAATACTGACCGTGAAGTACAAACCTCCCTGGGCCCTGATCATTTAGCCAAAACTAGTAACTGTGACCTAAAATCAACAAATACTCAAAACATTGATATAAGCATTGAAAATAATTATATAGATAAACAAAAACCTCTGATTAAAGTACAAAACAGTACTGGCACTAAAACACATGAAATAAACATAAATGAAGGGGACAAGTTGCCCGTGGTTGAGAACAATATGGAGAAAACAACATCTCTGAAAAAGAATACAGCTTCTGCTGATACAGCAACTGCACAATTTGAAATAACAGAAAGTGTTGAAAAAGAACTGTCCAAGATAATGGAGTGTGAAGATACAGAAAATGAAGAAATTAAAACTATGAAAAGCATTTCAAAACCACAGTTAGAAAAAGTAAACAAAATAATAGAGCAATCAGAAAACATTAATGATTTCAATGATTTAGACATATTCCATAGTGGTTCAGTAAAGGAGGCCCAAGTTCAGCCATTAAAAGAGCATGCACCTTCAGAAATATTAGGATCTACAGTCTGTAGCAAGTTTAGGACACAAAAACTTTCAGAGAAACGTCATAGAGACATTAATGATGGAGATGTGCTACCTAATAAGAAGAAAATTAAAATAACACCGGCAAGTAAAAATAATAATGTTGAGACACAACCACAAACTGACAGTGAACCAATAAACTATGATGCTATCATGGGACAAGTGTTTGCCAGCATAGATGCAGATATGGAGGACATTAGAAAGAGTCAAGAGACTGTTAGTGGTTCAATTCTAAAGGATAAAGTAAACAGTCAGCATAACCAAGTAGCTGAACTGAACAAAAAGAATTTAACACAAATAAAAAATACTCAAATGAGCAAAAAAGTCTTGACTCAGACAAATGTCGAAATGACACCAAATTTAAAGGAATATTTCAATGAAAAACACAGTGAAAATGTATTCTCTATTGTAGAAAAGGATGATGAAGAAATTACTAAAACGGATAAGGTGAGTGTTATGTTCATACATTTTGGTGAAAGTACTTAAAAAATATACTCTATTTGAAATTAATCATTGTGTATCTGTACTTTAGGGATTTTATGTCATCCTAAAACTGGTTTTAAAATTTTACAGGTACCACAACAAATTGAGGAATTACTAACACCAGTTTTATGTCAAAATTTAAACTCTACTCAGGAGACCCAAGATTGTATTATGAAGACTAATAAAACAAATGCAAGGTCCCAAGATTATGATGACTCTGATAGGAGTGTAGTTGAGGAAACACCACAAAAGTAAGTACTAAATGTGATAAATGACTTGAAAAATCCACAGCATTGGGTTTCGTCGTGTGAGTGCCCTGAATCCCTAAATCTTCAAAACCCTTTTTCCCAAAAGGCCAATTGGGATAGGGGAAGGGGAGGGATTGGGTCTCCGATAACACACACGGCGAAACAACGCAGTGGTTGTTTCACGCCAGTTTTCTGTGAGGCCGTGGTATCACTCCGGTCGAGCCAAACCATGCGTGCCGAAGCTTGGCTCTCCCACACTTACGTCAGATAATCAGTAAGCTCGTTTGCCATCCTATATCATAAAAAAAACATCTGAAATATCCATATGTGGTCCTTACCTAAAATTAAACGTTACTATTATTCTTTGTAGGAACATATCATTCACTAAACTCAAAAGAGCCAGCACATCAAACCTATCACAAATAGCTACTACTGAAAATAAGAAAGTTTCTTTACCAAAATCTACACCAAGTGTAAAAAGTATAATTAACTTGACAGACACTGTGACTGAATCTAACAGAAGTAGCAGAGATCTAACAGTTATAGAAACTGCTGCCGCAAAGCAAGCACTGGAAACGCCATTGACAATAACAAAGTTTGCTGATCAAATTAAACATAAGTCAACTCCAATGGCGAGAAAATCACTTAATTTTGATCATGAAAATGATGATATTGATCCTGAGCAGACTCTTTGCCAGACTTCTGAAATCGCTAAAACAACGCAGGAAAGGGAGTTTATGAGTAAAGCATTTGAGAGAACGCCGACCACGCCCGCTGCACGACCTCTGGTAGCCAGGAATTTAGCGTCAAGTGCTAATAAGGAGTACTGTTTGGCCGGATCCTGTCTCACGGCAAGTCAAATAGCGAAACTTAAAATTCTTTGCAATGAAAGAAAATGGAGTTATGTTGATAAGTACACAAATGATATTACTCATTTGATAGTTGGTGTTGATGATGAGAAAAAATCACAAAGGTGAATTTTTATAATGAATTTCCAATAAAATTTGTTTGTTATTTAATTATAACTACATTGTTCATAAATCTACAGCCATAATGGCGTCAAAATATATTGCGATGTAGATGTGAAAAACATATCAATACAATAATTTTGTAAAAACTAGAAATGAATTTGAATGATATCATGTTTTCAAATAAAAATAGATTCTCAAGTAGTCTAGCTATTTTATGATAATATATGTTTTGTTACAGATCCGTAAAATACATGTGCGCACTCGCAGCATCCAAATGGATCATATCATTTGACTGGATCGATAAAATTATGCAGACTAAAGAAATAGTCAATGAGGTAAAGTAAACTGTTATTTCTAACTTTGTTACAAGGAAAATAAGTCGAATATTAACTTGTTATGAACTAATAGACTGCACGGTTGGCGCGGTGGCTGGGCAACTGGCTGCCGCGCAACGTGTCGCGGGTTCGATTCCCGCACGGAACAACTCTTTGTGTGATCCACAGATTGTGGTTCCGGGTCTGGGTGTGATGTGCATGTGAAATTGTGTGTTTGTAAACGCACCCACGACACAGGAGAAAAGCCTAATGGGGGCAACGATTTTTCTTAAAAAAAAAACTCGAAAGTTTATGGCTTAATGTTATGTCTCTTAGTCTTAATGTCAATTTATAATAATATACTATTGAGCATAATGAATATTTCAGTGTTTTACGGATGCACGTAGTTTTAACGACCTGTTAATAATGACAAGGATGAGTGGGTCACAAAACCTGCACTGACAACGTGCGTAATACAAATAAAGGATAATATTATAAGATAAATTTGTTGCAATATATATTCGGTATTTACGTACGCTCATACGTCATAATCATATTATACGATAACAAAACAGGCCACGTCTTAACCGAACTTCAGCTGACGTGATGCATTGGGATTAGGTACAGTAACAAGTAGAATAAACTTTATAAATACCATCAGGCTATTCTATAATCTATCTACTTTGTTTTATTAATCAGAAAATTTAGATGGGATAGGGTGTCAAATAGGCAGACAGATCACCTGATGGTAAGCAATTGGCGTCGCCCTTGAGCATCCTCATCACCACCACGGGAATGGCAAGTGCATTACGGCCTTCTGGGGGTAGGCCTTTGAGGATTTGGAGATTTAAGAATGGTGAATGGAGTAATCCTTGCTCACGCATAGCGGTATTGCTCAGTCCAAACAGGCCTATTCGTGCCAAAGCTTTGCTGTTTCCACGGGTTGAAGACTAGTTACTTAGAAAAAAATAAATAGGTATACTACATCAGATCGCAATATTTCTTTATTCTTTAGACACAACTAGTGTTCTGTTATAATATAACTTTAACTTAGGTTTGCTTAGGAGCTGCGTGCTTACAGCCGGGATCTATTTTCATGTTACAATCTAATCTAAAATATTATGAATAAACATATTACCAGCTTATCTCACAAAGTGTACTAAAACATTTCACAGAAAAACGGGTGACTTAATTGCGTAGTTAGGTACAATAACAAGCGATAGACATTGGACCCTAGGCACCGTGATGCAATAGTAAACATTTTTAACGAATGCTATAAAAATGACAATCAGGTATCAACCTATCTAATTAGGATGGACAAAGTTCGCTTTGTTAACAGGTTAGTCATACCTGACAGTAGCTGGGCAAGACACAAGTGCATTCAAGAGGCCCTAGGTTTTATTTTCAAGTCATACAAATTACTATCTATACTAATATTATAAAGAGGTAAAATTTGTAAGTTTCTATGTAGGGGGTAATATTTGGAACCACTGGTCGGATCCCCAAAATTCTTTTCGTTATTGATAGCTACAATGTTCCCGAGTGCTGTAGGCAAACGTCATGCTACAATCAAATGGAGCCGAGTAGCGAGTGAAAACCGCGCGGGTGTAGCTAGTTTGGGTACATTTAATACCCTCGGCATACCCTGTCCTTAAAAAATATGATTATTGTGTGCTAATAAAGTAATAACAAAGGAAGTGGTAAATTAGTCCAGAGTACTCAATGTGCACTTTCCACAAATACTTTGCCAGACGTGTTATTAAACGTGAGCTAATTTTAACCCAGCTAACACAGGCATTATATGGAGTTGCTTACGGTAGTTGAAATACTCGAATAATCTCTTTCAGAACCATCCATGAAACCTATCGTTGAAAGTCATCATGTAGAGATTTTAGAGATCTTGATATATGAGTAGTAAAAGTACTAAGTACTTTATTGTTTACTCTACTTGAAGGAATATTTTTCTCTTCCAATTTTTTATTAGAAAAATGTTTAATAATTTAATGGCACGTCTTACCAAATAATAATACAACAACAACAACAACAAAAAATCACATGGTTATTACGAAACTTTTATTATTTAAATAGCTACTCTCGCGCAGTTTCACACGCTGCTCGGCTCCATTTAATCCTAGCGTGATGTTTTATAACTACAATGTGTAGCTATCGATCAGTAAAATAATTTTGGCAATCCGACCAGCGTTTCCAAAGATTATCCCCACCTTCAAACTTACAAACATATAAACTTTATAATATCAGTACCTATAGATAACTTAAGCGTATGTTAAGCGAGGGTTGCAGCCAGCGAGCATACAAGAAACAATACTGCTACGAGTAGGTACTCTGCAGAATTATGTACCCTATCCTAAAAACCAAACTAAGCACAAAATGGCCGCGACTACAAATCCTTCTGCAACGGGACTTGTGAAACATATTTATGCTGCATAGCTCTTTATGAATACCGATATGTAGCAAATATAACAAGATACAAACTACTATTTATGTAGGCACATGACCCGGACAACATTACATCGCAAATGTAGACAGATCGCCAAGATATCCGTTATGTTATTGGATTACAAATAATCCACTGCGTTGCATGTTGACACTGTAATAACTAGGTAACCTTACGAATAAAACGTATAAAAGTTTTAAATGTTTATTAGGCATTATCAATCTCCTTTTCGAATGTTTAGCCAAAAACTAATCGATTTTCTGAAAATATTTTTTTTACTTTAAAAAAAGGATTAATGCACATTACAATGGAATAATAACTAACATACAAAATTATAAAAATACGATTTTTTTATTTGACTACCTTCATCAACCAAACCTATTCAAGTAATTTCATTCACACAGGCATATTACGAGGCCCTGGACAGCACTGGTGAGCCAGGTCCGAGGCGCTCAAGGATTGCGAAGCAGAAATTATTTGATGGCATCACGTTTTACTGCATGCCACCATTTGGCGTGCTCGATGTTGAAACCCTGAAGGTAAGTTCTTTTTAATGGTACCTAAGTGGCCAATTTTGGTGTTCTGACTGGTTATTTTAGTAGTTAGATACCTATGTCTGATATCATGCGGATTGCAGAATTTTATAGTATTATTTATAATCCTTAAACAGTTTTTTTCAATTTGCCAGTCAAAATAACAGGTTACATTTACATGGCATATTAATTTCAATGCACAAAGATAATATGACAGAGTAACATAGACATGTTATTCTGTCATTCTATCTTTAATTAACGGCATGAAAATGCGTCATGGATTGTTGAAGCATTTATTTTGTGTCTTCATACAAAAAAAAATACTTAATACTTAGCCCAGTGTCCCAGACTTCTAGTCTAATAAGCAAGAATTAACTTAGGTCTCTAGAGCGTACATACACATCTTACGTATATTTAAAACTAGCTGATACAGCAAAAACTTCGTTCCGCCACAAATATAGAAAAATATTTTTTTAATTTTGTTTATTTTTCTTAGTTTTGTATCCTTCCCTGTCCATCCAGGAATATTTCTCTTATCTTAACGAACAGCATCACACACATTTTTATATGTAGGTTTATGTATAAGATTTAGCGAAAGACCCTCAATGTCATATATCTAGGTAATAGGCACGTATGTACCTAGTACAAGTGACACCAACGATCGAATCGACAATATCGATTAAGAGTTTAGTTGCATCGAAATACCCTATTGTACATACACATCCTGTAATCTTATATGACAGTGCTAACTATGCTAACAATTGAAATGTTGCTGGAAAGTTACAGAGCACCTGTATCACGTGGCTTTTAGCATGACTTTTTATTTATAACCCCTGAAACAAAGAAAGAATTGTTATGATATATGTTAGACGAATCCATGTTTCTGTACATTTTAAAAGAAAAAGATGAACAAAAGTCATACCTGAACAGATCTCATAAGTTATCAAGAACTAGTAGTTACTTAATTTTAATTTTAAGACTCACAGCTCATTCTGATAATGACACATGAAAAGATGAAACTTTAAATTTTAAAATACACGTTTGAATTTCAAAGTATACCTAATTTAAAGTTTAAACCAACCCGCCTTGAGCAAGCGTGAATAAATAATACGTATCTTCTTCCTCGTGTAAGGATAGGCTTTATATCAGCATTGTTAATATTTCACAAATTAACTCTGGCTGTATCCTTAAACAGCGTCAAGGAACCGCGGGGCAAGCAACAAAAATATAAAAATTTTACGGTGACCTTACTGAAACCTACCAGAATTGGACTGGTGTCCAAGTCCCTCTTAAAATGAGGCCTTTATTCAATAGTAAAAAGTAATTATTATGTATCGGCTGTTTCCCTCACGTGATTGTGATCACGCATATTGCACGCTAACATTAGCTGTGATCTTTAACCTGGCATCAATATAGGTGGGATATCTTAATAGTAGACTTATTTGTTACAAAAGTGTAATAAACTATCAGAGGGCCTAGACAAGTGGCACAAACGCCAGTAGAATAGAATGGTTTATGAATGAATTGACGTCATGAAATTTGATCTAGCGTTTCGAACGTGTAATTGGTAGCCAAGTGTATCACGATTCTATTCCATTAAACGAAACGACAATGTAATACGATATTCTCCATACAAATGCGTAGCCAAGTGGCACATTTGACATGCGAATTCGACTGTAAACGTTTCTAATATACGCTTACGAAGCGAACGCTAGGACCCTGTAGAAAACGCTACGATACACTACCCAAGATGGCGATTATTTAAACAGCTGTTAGATACCGGTAGTTGCTTTTGTGAACAATTTCGTTTAAATTAATAAAATTTGTACAAATGCACGCACTTATATTATTGTGGGCGGTGCCCAAGCCGTATGGCTTGGGCGTCATTGAAGAAATAAATTTCGTCAGTTTTTAATGCAAATTAGTGAAATACCGGTGTATATGTCGCAGTAAGATAGATGTAGCCGTAATATAGTTATATCCCTAGGGTTATAATTATATACCGGAACATAGTTATACGAAAGCGATTCATTACTATCTCACTAGGGATATAGTTATAAAACGGACCAAGTTTAGTGATATACTTATATTACTAGATTAAGTTTAGTGAAATAGCTTTATAATAGTTGTTCGGTGTTCACGTCTAGTTTTCGTGCATGTGCATTTAATCGCTACGCTTGCTTAGCATTTGTATTCGTTTTATAATTGCTAATTACTTGCGCCAGCTATGAATTAAGATGAAGAAATGAATGCAGGTGGCGTGCGCCAAGGGAACGTCGGCCTTGCCCTTCAGGACATTGCCAAGTATCGGAAGAGTGCTGGGACCATAACCTTGGGGGCTCCCCTAGTTGTACTCAGCACTTAACCCGTTCTCTCCACAGCTTCGCCGGCCGCCTAACCGCGAACCGGCGCATAGGAACCCGTTGCACATTAAGATTGGTAGCGGAATTACTAGCTTAGGGAACACCAATAGATACTCACCTCCCTGCCTACACCCGGTAGGCAGGGACGCCCACACACCTCCAAATTCACCTCTTTGGAGGGTTAGAATTATAGGACCCCTCAGGCCAAAAGGCACCTAACCACCAATTTTGTTCGGGTTTCTTCTTCTTGGTGATAGGTGCAAGGAAGATACCCTCGGAGGGAATATTTTGGCACCTACCTGCTGGAGGAGGCACGCATCCGTGGCATCTCAAGCAAAGTTAATGTTGTGTTGTAGGCACGTAGGCCCTCTTCATCACGGCCCTTCAGGCCCTGCTTCTTAGCCTTGTTAAAAGGCTGAACAATAGTTCAACACTCCAAGCTAAAGTTGAACCTCAGCTTGAGAAATTTGTTCTAGACCTGATTCCGGAATCCCCGGAATAACCTGCGCCGAAGAATTCAACGGAGGCCGTCCCTCTCGCCTCGGAGTAGATACCGAATGAACTCCCTGCTGAGATACTGATCACCGCTGAGGTTCGAACGAGTGGGCCTGTCCTGTCCTGGAACCTGTCCTCCGGTTGCACCGACCCGCCCGGAAACTTCAGCCTCCCCGGCTCTGCCCTAAATATCAGCCTCTATGGCCCCTCGCTCCGCAACCACACGAAAGGCCTCCCAACACCGCTATAAACGCAACCAACCCCTTTCACGCCGCGGGGGAGGCGCACACTCCGAAAGCTATTTCACTAAACTTAATCTATTAATATAAGTATATCACTAAACTTGGTGCTTTTTATAACTATATCCCTAGGGATATAACTATATTACGGCTACATCTATCTTACTGCGACATATTATACATAGATATTCCAAAATTTTATTAAAATATATGTAATATCCCTTAACGAATCAAGATATTTCAAGAATAAGACAAGAGTAAGTAATAATCAGTACAAATATATTGTTATCATATTAGTATGTATTAAAAAATAAATCAGCAGTATTTTAATGTTTGATGTACCTGACTTGAACTATGGTTGGTTTTAGATTACCAAGGAGATTTAATTTACCAGTTGTCGTATGATGTATTGACTGCACTCACATAGCTATAATGAAACCAAGTAAAGGTGAGCCCCTTTTTAATAGAAAAGGCTATCACTCATTGAATCTACAAAAAGTATTTTTCATTTTTCATTTTTTCATTTTTCATATTATTCTATTACATATCTATATACATTTATCATCTATACATTTCATTCTATTTAAAGGAAGTCTTCGGCTAATAAAGAGCTTATAAGTATTATACAAAAGTTAATCAACATATTTTTTCAGGCTTGTGACCACAATTTAATAATATAAAATATGAATTGAAAATACGGTGGGGCCACACACGACTCTTTTTAAAATGGCCATCCAGTCAAGTGAAGGCGATTCATTCATGCGGGAACTACATATTATATCATAATGGTAAACAAACATGACGACTATTATTTATTTTGTTATAATCCTTTGGTACATAGCTTAAGACAACTACATTGTACTCTTAAATTATCTTGATTTAAACTCCATGTTTGTAATAACTAAGGTTCCAACATTTCTTTTATCATTAAGGGTGAAATAAAAAAAAACTGTATCAATAAAACTTTTTTATTTTTGGTTACTTTTTCTGCATATAATTACTTTGTTTTCAAACTTAAAATTAACATTCACATCATCTTTGGTATGACAGTCACATTTCGTTTCGTCATCATGTCGTTAAGGTTGTGCCAGGATTAATTTTATATACGTCTAGAAAGAAAGTAAATTTCAAAATCAAAAAGATAATGTACAATAGCCTATCTAATTACCAATAAAATTGCATGCAAAGCCTTCAAAGGTTTTTTAATTTCACTATATGTTCCTGTATATATTTACCACACTTTATTACCTTATCAAAACATAAAAAAAAAATTATGATTGCTAGCAATGCAGTAAAAACTAAAACCTATCACCTGCAACTCTCGTTCATGAAGGAACCTGTCACGCGTCTCCTCGAATTCACGTCGGGGGAGCTTGACCTTTACAAATTCATTTGTCGTTCTTTCGAATGGCTTTAATCCTCCTGTTCCTACGCGCCCACAATTAAGAACGACGATTTGGTGTTGTAGCTGCCGAACGCGGAAAGGCTAACGCCTGCAGTCTAGGCTTTTTGCCGGACAAAATCGCGGCGAAGAAGGAAGGAGAAAGGCGTGCTAGGATGGTGGCGTAGCTGTCTCTCGAGCCGGTGCCAAAGTTGTACGTGGTCAGCTAACTGCCTATGGATTCAACTGAAAATAATATTTTATTATCATTACTTTATTATATTCAATGAAATTAATCTTTCAGTTGCCTAAAGACAGAATTACTTTCATAATATTTATGGAATATTGATATAAAATGATTACAATCAACTTACTGGACTTTCTCTCTCTTTCTGCTGATGGTATTTCACTAGTGCTGCCTCCTGCCTGGACCAAGTGCAAGTCATTTGATGGTCTGAAATAAAATCATTTGTTATTATTTATATCTTAGAATTTTGCTTTATGTTTACTATATGACTACCATTTTTC